TGCTAGGATGAACGGGAATGAATAAGGATGAAGGGGAAAATGCTGGGATGAACGGGTATGGTAAGGATGAATAGGAAAATGCTGGGATGAACGGGTATGGGTGTGGATGAAAAGGAAAATTTTAGGATGAACGGGTATGCGTAAGGATGAATGGGAAAAGGCTAGGATGAACAGGTATGCGTAAGGAGGTTCATCAGAGGTTGTGCAGTTGATGGACCGCATGTGAAGTCTGTACCTACGGTCCTATGGTGCTACTGTATTACCATTTATAATGACATGCGTCATGCATGTGTAATGTACTCATTTGCATACTTGTGATTTCTTACATGCGGCCTCTACCCACCATCTGGAGGGGCCCTCCCCCCGGCCCCACCACCTGCCGGGGGCCTCCGGCAGACCACCAGCCGGAGAGGCCGTCCACCTGCCACATCCTGCATGGCCGCTGACCACCGCGGCCAGGCTTGCACTTTCCCCGGCCCAACCACCAGCCGGGTGACGCCCTCGGCCCGACCACCCGCCGGAGAGGCCGTCCTCCTGCCACAGTCTGCATGGTCGCCGACCACCGCGGCCACGGCCCGACCATCGGCTTGCACTCTCCTCGGGTGACACCCTCCACCCGCCGAGTGATGCCCTCGGTCCCGACGATCTGCCGAGTGATCCCCTCCGGCTCGACGACCAGCCGGGTTAAGTATTTTCTGCATGTCTTTAATTTGTGATTTTGCATTTAGTTTATTTGTGATTTTTTTCTGGTCTGGTAGAGACGGACTGGGACAGACTAGTTGTAATTTCATGTCAAAAAGCAGTTACTCAAGCAACTGGACCTGATGTACGATTTTCTGATTTATGATTTTCTGATTTATGATTTTCTGATTTATGATTGTCTGATTTATGATTGTCTGATTTATGATTTTATCCAGTTGCTTGAGTAACTTAGCATATTATTGTCTAACCTTCATCGATGTAATTTAATAATTTATGATTTTATAGCTAAAAAAATGTAACAGTTCCTTCTGTGTACCTGAACTATTGTTGGCAGGGATAATCAATGTTTCCTGGTTGTTGGTAAGGTGCTTGAATGTGTTTCGATGACATTCCGAGTGACATTGCTGGTGAGGGCCCCACCAGAAATATCCCTCTGAGTATCATTGCAACATATTCAACGCCTTGCAATCAACCAAGAGATTGTGGCTCTCCCTACTGACAATGCCTTGGGTAGATAGCGGGTAATTGTTACATTTCTTAAGTTAGTGGTACTGGAAATTTTTCATCACAAATCATTAACTTCCTGTCATGCCTCCACCAGACTGTTCATGTTGTGTGAAATAAAATACATTGTATATGTACGGAATTGACTATTCTCTTTTGAGTAATTTCAGATACCCTCCACCCGCCAAGTGATGCCCTCCGGCCCGACGACCAGCCGAGTGATGCCCTCCGGCCCGACGACCAGCAGAGTGATGCCCTCCGACCCGACGACCAGCCGAGTGATGCCGGAGGGCATCACTCGGCTGCCGAGTTATGTATTTTGTGCATGTCTTTAATTTGTGATTTTGCATTTAGTTAATTTGTGATTTTTTTTGTAAAATGTTAATATCTGGTGGAAACAGTTACTCAAGCAACTGGATCTGATTTCTGATTTTCTGATTTATGATTTTCTGATTTCTGATTTTCTGATTTATGATTTTATCCAGTTGCTTGAGTAACTTAGCATATTATTGTCTAACCTTCATCGATGTAATTTGATAATTTATGATTTTATAGCTGAAAAAATGTAACAGTTCCTTCTGTGTACCTGAACTATTGTTGGCAGGGATAATCACTGTTTCCTGGTTGTTGGTAAGGTGCTTGAATGTGTTTCGATGACATTCCGAGTGACATTGCTGGTGAGGCGCCCACCAGAAATATCCCTCTGAGTATCATTGCAACATATTCAAGTCACCTTGCAAACAATCAAGAGATTGTGGCTCTCCCTACTGACAATGCCTTGGGTAGATAGCGGGTAATTGTTACATTTTTCAGTGGACGGAAATTTTTCATCACAAATCATTAACTTCCTGTCATGCCTCCACCAGACTGTTCATGTTGTGTGAAATAAAATACATTGTACATGTACGGAATTGACTATTCTCTTTTTGAGTTTTCATAGGTGAAGATCGGACAACCTCTCATCATGAAGATCGCCGCCATGCTGACGATGTCTTGCCGCCATGCTGACAATGCTTTGGGGAAGGGTAACTGTTACTTTTTTTAGTTGACAAAAATTTTGCATCACAAATCATTAACTTCCTGTCATGCCTCCACCAGTACTGTTTATCTGACGAATGAATGCCTGACTGTACACGTGCTGTGTGTAAACAGACATGCTGTGTGAAATAGAATACATTGTACATGTACTTGAATTGACTTTTCTCGTTTTTTTTTCTTTTCATAGGTGAAGGTGACGACATCGGACAACCTCTCATCATTTTCTGATTTATGATTTTCTGATTTATGATTTTCTGATTTATAATTTTCTGATTCATGATTTTATCCAGTTGCTTGAGTAAATTAGCGTGTTATTGTAAAAATGTAACAGTTCCTTCTGTGTACCTGAACTATTGTTGGCAGGGATAATCACTGTTTCCTGGCTGTTGGTAAGGTGCTTGAATGTGTTTCGATGACATTCCGAGTGACATTGCTGGTGAGGGCCCCACCAGAAATATCCCTCTGAGTATCATTGCAACATATTCAACGCCTTGCAATCAACCAAGAGATTGTGGCTCTCCCTACTGACAATGCCTTGGGTAGATAGCGGGTAATTGTTACATTTCTTAAGTTAGTGGACTGTTCATGTTGTGTGAAATAAAATACATTGTACATGTACTTGAATGGACTTTTCTTGTTTTTTGAATGAATGAATGAACCCTCTTCATTCTTGAATGCTTGTCTGGTTGTACCTTGGTAGTGTCAATGGCTTAGCCCTTATAACTAGCGTAAATACTTAGCGTAGTACGTAGTACATGTAGTAGTAGTAGAAGTTTTTTTCCAGACAGTTGTAACCTGTCCCCTGTTACTGTATTGCAATGAGTATTATACTTTCATATCAAAGCTTTCCTGTGAGTGTAATTAGCCCACAGGGGATAGAAGGGGAGGGCTTGTGTCAAAATTAATAAATTTGCAGTAGTGATAGTGACTTTTGCAACATTTGTGAGTCGGCACTGTACTGAGTTCTGTGGAGAAAGTTTGGTAGCCAGGTTGTCATCATCCATACTTACTGCCAGCTCCCTACTGTCACTAGCTTCCATGGACTACGTACCCAGGCCAGAGCCACCGAGGTGATTTTTTTAGAACAGGCGAAAATCAAATATTATATGGATATTGACACTAACAATCCAGTAACTGTTCTACCGCCCTGAAAACACTTTGGGTGCCTGGAAGATAAGCAATTTATGCACAGAGCATTTTATAATCGCAACAAAATAATTGCAGCAGTAGAAAAGAATACTGTTTGAAGTTTATTGCACTCATTTTTTAAACTCCGATTATCTTAAAATCTTATATTCTTTAACTGTACAGGATTTAAATGTAAATGCTTGGACTTGTTCATACTATCACAACTCTTAAAAGGAGTCTTCTAAAAGAAAATCTTGCATTGTTGCTTGTTATCTACATTTCTTTTGTTCCACCCCTCACTTCCCATTCTCACATTTTTACACATCACATACAATTGCACATACTACATTCCTGTAACTGTATTACAATATAAAACATTCGGTTGGTTGCCACATATGCTCAATTCATATCTTTTTACCTCACTTGCATTTTTTAAACAGAATACATTATGCAGTTATCTACATTGTATACACATCAAACTGTTATGAATCATTCACTGCATTAACTACATGTGTTCAACCTGCCATTACCCATTTTCCACCTTAACATAATTTACAGAAAAGTGATACTTATAGAAAATACATACAATATCAACTGCATACAGTTATTTGTTCTGGTCAATGATCATCATATTTTTGAAATTTTAAGATTGTATGTAAAACATATAAAGTTTGTTTTTTTAAATTTCTGTAAGACCTAGCTTTGGAGGAAGTCATTTCAGACATTTTAAGACATTTTTAAACAAGAGACAATTTTAGTAAAGAACTTGTACGGGACAAAGTCTTTGAGGAGGTAATTTCAAAACTGTGAACTGCCTTAAGCCTTATTCAGATCTGAAGATCATTCTAAAAACTTGTACAGTACATAGTCCTGCAGGAGGGGAGGCAGCCTCAGCAGCTGTACATATTTGACTCTCTCCCTGCCCAGCAGGTGGCGTATCCTCAGTCGGCACAGCTGCATCAGGTGCCTGGGGTGAGCTGAGAAAAATTGCAAAATCAATTGAAAGTATTTATTCAGAGTTATAACATTTGTGGAAGAACTGACATAACAATCGATGACTATCGGTATCACCTTTTCGAGATGCCAACCCTGAGACCAGACTGTAAGGTCTCACCCAGGCCTGGTCTCACCCATACTGAACCACTCACACTGAGAAGGACCCCTGACATTTTCAGTAAGTGTTGTGTCCTTAAAGTTAAACATGCTTGAGGTGCATGTGACTCTCCTCAAATACTCCTCAATAATATGGGATTTTTTCTGTCATCTCAATTTTGTACGCTGTACATTGTAATATCCTGTATGTGAGGATTATTCAGGCACTCACCATCTCTGTATGTGAGGATCTTCCTGACCTCTGACCCAGGGTCAGTCAGGTCGACAGGTCTCTGTTGACTGATGTCCTTAGCGTTGATGTTTGCTCCGTACTCCAGTAGGACCTGCACCACCTCCGCGCTCCCCGTCTTCGCCGCCACGTGCAGCGCAGTCTCGTAGTTCTTGGTTGCATTAACATTAGCACCTGGGCAAAAAAAATTCTTGTTGTTAAAAAACACTTTTTCAACCTCTTTGGTCATACATGTATCAAGTCAACGTCTACAGCCTGTGTACAGGTTAGATGTGCTGGAAAAGATCTTTAGGACCTTTTTGACATGTACATTGGATAACAGTTACTGTTTATCAACATCAAGTCTGTATCTGTACATGTATTATAACTTAAGCGTAACCCACCAGCCTCTGTATCTGAATCTATATACATGCACTATATTAGCCGGTATAACCACTCTTCAGTGTAACACACCAGCCTCTGTATCTGTATCTGTATAGCCTGTATAACCAATCTTTGGAGTAACACATCAGCTTTGTGGGCACACAGTATGGCAGCAGCTGTTATACTGTGATGTACATATCTTAATACCAGATGAACTGTTACACCTAACCTTTGCACATATTCTGTGCCTGTATTTACTAATTGTTTAGGTACATTGTACAAATGTACATATTACATGCTACAGAAGTCATGAAGTCACCTTTATGTTGATAACATGTATCAGTCCTGATGAGCAGCAGTTCTAAAGATGACTGGCCAGGTTTGTTTAGGTACAAGTACAGGTACATTTGTACAGCCCTGAATGTAAACCTGTGTACCTGTACCTGTTTATGTCATGACGTGCTGTTAGTGTTCCTTACCAGCCCTGAGCAGCAGTTCTGCACACTCTGGATAACTCCTGCTGCAGACCACATGGAGAGGACTGCCGTACTGGGAGTCTACAGTCTCCACATCTGCTCCTGCCTCAATCAGCACCTCTACAACCTCGTGTCGACCTGCAGTCAAAACAAGGACAAATATCTAGCATCTCCATCCAGACATGCCTGGAACCTTTCACTGATACACTCAGATCAAGAACAACATGTAAAAACCAACAGGCATGCTCTGGGCAAACAATTGCAATATGTAGCAGGAAAACTTTTATCTGTTCTGGCAAACCCTGCCGTATTGCAATGCAGGTGCAGAAGGAATGAAACAAACAAGAAATTGTAAATTTGACACCTCAATGTTTTCAGAGTTGTTGTAATTTCTTCTTTTATAGCCTGAGTGTCAGCCTTGTTAGCTTTAGTGCGCTACCCAAGATCCACTCCCCGCCACCAACGGGAGCGGATCTTGGGTAGCGGACGAAAGCTAACAAGGCTGACACTCAGGCTACTTCTTTTAGTTATTATAATTACAAATTTCTATCTGATTCTATGCATGCATATTCCACTGTATCTTTCTCACAGCCTAAGTACTTTTTAATCTCCAATTTGATCTTCCTATCAGTCTGCAGTTACACCAACTCTTCCCACTCCCTCACTTCCTGTGATTTAATTACTGTTCCAGTATTTGAACAACTATGGACATACAAGCAAACACCCTTAAAACAAAACATAAATGGCCATGGGGTTAATGAAACAAACAGCGTACCATTAAAACAGGCTTCATGGAGCGGTGACTTGGTAAAGAGTCCGGGGTCGGGTGATATCCCATGGTGCAACAGCAGTTTGACACAGGAAACACTTCCTCTGGAGCAGGCAAAGGTCAAGGGCGTGTCCCCGTCTATGGTCCGTGGGTTCAACTTCAACATCGACACAACAGCTTTAGTAATGATGTCTCTATAAAGTGTGCCTACTTACAGTCATGACATGAAGTCATGAGTGACTTATATTTCTAGATATAAATCATCCCTTTTCCTCTAAACCTTTTCTCTTTTCCACAGTTATTCCACTTCCTCATCATCAGTGTTCTCGCTCCCTTTTCTAGCTATAGAAAAACATGGCAATTACAGTCAAACCTGGTTTAGGCAAGGCAAACTCAAGGTAAATGCAAAGGCAACTGGTAAAAGATACAGATGGTGTTCAGCACCAAGAACAGGTAGGTTAGCATGTTTGTGGACAGTGTTCAGCACCAAGGACAGGTATGTTAGCATGTTTGTGGACAGTGTTCAGCACCAAGGACAGGTAGGTTGGCATGTGTGTGGACAGTGTTCAGCACCAAGGACAGGTAGGTTAGCATGTTTGTGGACAGTGTTCAGCACCAAGGACAGGTATGTTAGCATGTTTGTGGACAGTGTTCAGCACCAAGGACAGGTATGTTAGCATGTGTGTGGACAGTGTTCAGCACCAAGGACAGGTATGTTAGCATATGTGTGGGCAGTGTTCAGCACCAAGGACAGGTATGTTAGCATATGTGTGGACAGTGTTCAGCACCAAGGACAGGTATGTTAGCATATGTGTGGACAGTGTTCAGCACCAAGGACGGGTATGTTAGCATATGTGTGGACAGTGTTCAGCACCAAGGACAGGTATGTTAGCATATGTGTGGAGTACACACAGTTTTAGTACTGTGACTGGAGGTGGTAGGACAGCCATGTTTGACAGCATTGAGCAACAATTTGAAAACAGTCCTGAACCTGAGGTTCCCCGGGGTCTTACCTTAGCCCCAGCCTTGATGAGAGCCTGTGCACAGTGGTAATGTCCCCCCAGACAGGCCTCATGCAGGGGCATGCACCAGTCTGGGGTACGGAAGTTTACGTTGGCCCCCTGTTCAATTAAGGTTCTTAAAACATGGGCCTGGCCATTAGCTGCTGCGTCGTGTAGGAGGTACGACTCCTCGTAAGAACCTGTGTGCAAGTAATGGGTTAGAGACACTAGAAACTAACTATATAACACACCTTGCCACACCAGTTCATTTGCATAATGCCCAAACCACAATAAACTGGACATCAAGCTAGTTGATGCACTTGAAACAGTCATACTGCTCACTATATTTCCACCAAGAAAACAAATTGGTGTGGCCTCATAGTAGCCATTTTGTCACAGCCTGAACTTAAGTTAAGTTAAGGGCTTGAAAAAAATGTGTACATCATCAAATTTCTTATTAAATTTTGTGTTTTGATTTCAAAGAAACAAACAGATAACAGTTCAGGAAGAAAAGTTGCTGTACTATGATTGAACATAGATATCTTTCGATGAACTCAAAAGCATAATTTGAGCTCGAGTTTCATATTGAAACATTACGAGTACATTGAAATTTCCATTAAAAAGTGTTGCCTAAAAACAGTATTGAATCAAAAGCCCTTCTTGTGGACATCAGTTAAGACTGTGACATACATGACATTGTACACCTGTAACACATTCTGCTACTGCCCACCTGTGCTCCTGCTCCAATCAGAATCTTTACACACCCTGGGTGTCCGCCCAGGCACGCGTCGTGAAGCGGGGTGAATGAGTTAAGCGTGCGAGCGTTCACGTTGGCTCCCTCCTGCACAAGCTTCTGTAGAAGGAGGACCTGTCCGCAGCACGCTGCGTCGTGCAGGGGGTACCGGTCTGCCCATGTCCCTGTCCGAACACACAAACCAATCTGACCAGTCTGACAGATACTCCTACTGGTAGTCACTACACACACTGCACCAGCCATCGACTTCCAACAATGTCTCAGTGGCAAGTACACCTTCCAAAATATCTTAAGATGACTGCAGCCCCGTTTCTTGGTTCGTGAAGGCAACACTGATATCAGCTTTCAAAATTTCCCTGAGACACACAACACTTCAGCACCTTATTCTTAAAGGAGAGTGCACTAGAAAACTTCAGTAGCACATAGAACCAGAGAAGTTGTGATGCGATGTTTACCTCTCATATACTGGCAACATGCAGCCCTTATCTTGTTTACGAGACCAAAATAGTGGCAATGCACAAACACCAAGAAGTCACAAGGTTTGGACCTCTATCTGCTCATCAGCTGGGACTTTCCACAGTTGGCACCCTGCCTTTTCATTTCTCACCCAGATTCAGGACAACTATGTTGTTGTTAACCTTGAGATATATGTGTTTTTCTCATGTGACCTTGTTATAAGAATGCAAAAAAAACTTTTATCTGACTATGAAAAGACATAATTCATTTGTCAATGTTATATAATTGGAGTGACCTCTTAAAATGTAAGGACGGAGCTGTTTATATGTCCAAGTTTAATGATTCAATAGCAGTGCCACTTTTTGAAATATGAATAGAAGTAAAGAATTATGGTGTTATTTTAATCTAATAAATATTATGTAACGTATGACCTCTAGATCATCATTCAGAGATGGCTAGTTGTTGTCCTTGAGGTTTACGTCACATGTTCAAGGTCACATGTTTTGTTGTGTGACGCTGTAGGAACTGTGCCAAAACCTCACATCTTTCTCACATGACTTTGAATTCCCTGCCAGCTGTTCTGACCAATGATAGTGCCAGTTTTGATCGGCATACCAATAAAATTACATTTAGTAACAGTGCGGTCATACAGGGATGTACTATATTTTGGGCAGATTTTGTCTTGTGAGACATCCTATTCCAGGACCTTTATTTTAATCTTGAAGGGTTCCAACATTTAGTTTTTGATATGTGCCAAATATAGTCAGATTTACAGGTGTACAAATTTATCAAAATCTATAACATTTTATATATATTATACTCCCAGATGAGTAACCTCCATACACATTATGTTGTAGTTTCCTCCATATCAAATTTGCAAGATGACTTTCCAAACATTGAACCATTTGCCACAATCATGACTAGTCTAGAAGGGTCAGAGAGTTTGATCACTTTGCCAGAAAACAGTATCAGATAACAGAATTCTGACCTCTGAGTCTCGCTACTGTGAGTCACACTAGAGGATTGCAACATGAAATGAAAACCGACACCAACCATTTACCAAGATGTCGTCCCTCCGGTACAGGCTATATAAGTCATAGAACAGGGAGCAGTGGTAGAAAACACATTCCAGAAGCACCCGCACTGCAACATACACAATCAGCAGAAACAACACGAATCCCAGGACCATGCTTGTTCATATTGGCACCACAAGCCATGTAGCTTATCTTTGTAAGCTATACTTAACTCTCTGTAGCCCTATTTGGTAAATATAGAGCCTGTAGCCATACAGACCTCCCTGTACAACAGCATCACTTGGTTTGCCCCTATCCTGGTCAGCAGTGTGCATCATGGATATAACAGACCAGTAATGCAGAAGACATTTTGCAAACAGCAGAAAGAAGACTTGAAAGATCACCAGTGCTACAAAACTCCCTAGTTCCATGCCTGCTTAATTAGACAGAAATGCAGTTTTATAAAACTTACATAACCACCTCTGACGTCTCTATATGTAGTCTTGCATATGTAACCTGGGTACAGATTATAACGGTCTATAGATACAAACCTATATCCAAGATTGTGTTCCTTTTCTGGCTGAGGCAGTGGTCTGCAGCAAACATAACTGTGCAGTGGTGCAGGAGACAACGTAGAAATATTCGGACAGAAGTGTAAAGCACTATCACCACACAAGCAAACAGACTGATCTCCTGCATGACAGGGACTATTTGTTGACTAGAATACCACAGAGAAGACCTCTGGGTAAACCATCAGAAGGGGACAAGGAAAAGGGCAGACCGCTGTGTGTAGAATAAATGTCGCATACATATACTTCATATAAATCAGGAGCACAGCTGTGCAATGTAGTAATATCACACTTGAACATGATACTTCTGATTGTGAAACTGAAGACACAGAGCAACAATGGTGCAACGTAAACCAGACAACTACATTTATCTTGTCCGCTACAAAAATAGAGCTAACGTTGTCGCAGCAAGTCATGCAGAAGGAATGAGGCCATAGGTCAGGTGTCAGTTGTGTATGTATCAACGAACCGACGTTGCCGTGAAGGAGCGCGTTTATCCGCTTGGCTTCCTTGCGATTCTCCCGGACGACGTAAACGTACTGAAAGAGGCACAGGGACGCTTTGATGAGGAGACGGAAGCACAGTAGTGCGGCGAGCACGATCAGGTTCACGGCGACATCCGTCTCAATATCGTAGTCGTGACGAGACATTTCGGTCGGACATACAGGGTCGGGTATATTCAGACCCTTGCCGGGGTTGTAGCAGCATTACAGAGATGCCTTCCCGGGTCATACCAAATACAGGGGTCCAACATGCACATAATGATCTAGACAGCCAACATTAGCAATAGCATGCATTAGCTTTTAACATTGTCAAAACGACAGCTAGAGAACAACCCATTGTGCATTCATCACTGCCTTTTTTGTCTGTGAATGCAGTTAGAGGAATTCAGTAATTACAAAGTATAATATAAATTGTCACTGGCATATCAGATAACCTTGTAACAATTGTACATGTACGTGTCCTGAGGGCCACAAGCTAAAGTATAAATTTCATACACAGTATAAATTTCATACAAACACATTTGAACAATTGAAATGACAAAATACAATTAGACAACCCTCAGATCACACATAACTACAATGTAGCTCCTAATAAAGTCTTAGGTATGTGTATGACTGGAAATAAGGAATTAAAGTGGCAGGCTTCAATTAAAGGGCATTAGTGGGAAAAGGCACCATGACCCTCTAACAAGACACATAAATCCGAGAACCAACAAATTGAATTGATGTGTCATAATGTGGCCACATCATACAAAATCACACTACACCAAAACAGATTAGCCCACCTACCACCTACATCCTTGTGTATGTCCTTGTATATCTTCTTGGCCAGTCTCCGGTTCTCCCTCACCACATAGTAGTACTGAAACAAGCACAGGGAGACTTTGATCAGGATCCTAAAACAGAACAGGGCCAGTAATACTGTGGAATAGTAGAAGAACAAGTCCCTGGCCACCTGTGGGTTGAACTGACCCTCCCTGACGGACAGACGCGAACCTGGCCCAAACTTGACCATGACTGCCCCCCCTCCCAATGCATTAGTGATGATGTGTAAATCGTCACTGAAAGCTTTAGACTGGGTGCCAGACTGTTTCCAGGGCTTTCACCAATTTTGTTTTGCTCCTGGAGGGCCAACATGCCCAATGGAAATTAGACCACAATACCTTTGAGTTAGGTACGCTGGAACAAGCGTGTTATGGGTCTGGTATCCTGGCCGTAAAATCTTTCATACTTATAACCTTAAACATACTTAGTCTAGTAACCTGGTGCCAGACTGTTCCCAGGGCCAATACAGTTAACAAGCAAGCCCAAAGATTTAATTTTCCTGGCCTTAGAAAATGTTGATCTGAATCTGACTGAGGGGTCTGTGGTAAAATTTCCTTGGGGACACGTTAGCTCTGGAGCCGAGGAGGAGCTAGCTGCATATAACGTTATAAGAGTTTACTATACAGTACCTGGAAACAGTCTGGCACCTAGGCTAACGTAATGACTGTTCGTATAAAGCAAAGTAAAATATTTGAAACCGATCCCGTAAAAAAACGGTCTGCGCTAATGGAGACACTGGCTGACCTGGCTACCAGGCTACATAGCTACAGTACAGCCGTAAGTCTATAACAAAGTTACAACAAGATTAGAACATCAAGAATCTGACTTGTGACCCCTCCCCCTTTCCCACGTAAACATTGCAGCAGACGACGCATAATTATGAAAAGGGGCTTCGCTTTCACAAATATAGCGTCTCGTTCGCACCAAAAAGGCGGTGCCCAATGAAAAATAAGACCTGGCTGTCAAGTCTATACTACCAGAAAGCCTGTCAAGCCGACACATCGGTACAAATTCAGGAAAATATGTGAGAAAAATAAAATTCCGGAGAAATTTTCGTCTGCAAGCCCGTGAATGGCGATGCTGAGAGGTGTCTAGTGAGATTTGGAATTATGCCTTTCTATATTCCCTATGAAAGAAAGCACAACGTTTGTGTAGTAAAGTAACAAATGATACATTTCAACAAATTAAGAGAAAAAAATGTTTTGCATAGTTAAAGCCAAATTTAGCTTATCTTATAGATAAGAACAATGTTCTTATTTATCAGGCACTAAAATTACTGAAATTATGAACTGCTTTTCCTGAGGTCCTTGGTCAGTACGAGTTTTAACTTTTACCAATATTGTGCAAAGTAAAGCGATTTTAACTGCACATTCCGGTATGTATGGTGTAGGATAATGCAGGATGAGGGAGAATGATGTGGGATGAGATAGGATGAGTATAAAGGATGAGGCAGGATGATGTAGGATAAGGTACTTAACGTTACATGTGCGCACCTACCGACCTGCTACCTACCTGCAGGGTTTCACAAATACACATACAGAAGGTCGCTGAAGATGAACTACGCCAGGTTTCTCAACGCCGTCAGTAAGGCGAGGGTCGCCTCACCTATCCGAGAACTTAGTGAGTCTTTTTCTTAACACTGAATGGTCAGGTAACGTTTAAGGAGGAGAAGAAGAAGGATCTGAGCTTGAAATTCTAGATGTTATCTAGTGAGGTTGCCCCCCTCCCCCGCATTGGTGACAAGTTCCACTAAAATACATATTGTAGAACTTGTAACTTACTAGTCTAGTATTAAAAAAAAAAAATTAAACACCTTGAGCCTGTATAGATAACTGGTAATTGAGTGATACATGATACTTAACCGCTTTGCTCATAATTGGCTCTCTCTACTCTAGGCCTAGCTACTCGTATATATCCTAGTACCTGAAGATTTTATATTATAACTGCATATTTAACAACAACAACAATCATTTCTTTCAGCTGCGATCCAACAGCAAGGACCTCCTACCCTCATCTCCCTGGCGAGTGGAATGCCCAATACTGACATGTTTCCCTTCACACAAGCCTCTGTAACTCTACCGTAAGTCCTCTGTTCCTGCGAGATCTCTTCTTCTTCCACGACTGCATGGTTTTGTTCAAAGTAACAAAATTTGTAATGCAAATCCATGCCTGCAGTCAATATTGTTGGGTTTAACTTAAGTTGTTAAATGCAGTTGTGATAGATTGTGCAAAGAGTTCACTGTTTATTTCTGCAAGCTGACACAAAGTTTCTTCCACTCAGGGATGACAGCCAGCTCCATCTGGATCAGAAATTGATCAAGAGAGCTTTGCAGTACTCTCCATCCCCAGGGTAGGTTCACAAAGTTTTAAAAAGTTGACTTTGGTATCTCTGAGCAGAAATAACAAGAAGCAAATGTAACACCCGTGCAATATGTGAAAGATCCTTCTCAGTGTGCATGGTTCAAAGGTGTCAATCCTTCCACAAATGTGGTAAAGCTAAATGTATAAGGACACAGTGGTTATCAAGGGCACATGTCAGTTGTCACACCTGCATGTGCCCACCAGGACACCTGACCAGTGATTAACAAACATGCACCTGTCAGGTGTCACACCTGTGTATTGTGCCCGGCAGGATACCTGAGCTGGTGCAGTGGTTGAAGGGTCTCCAGGTGCAGTTACACAGTCCGCCCACCTGCCAGCTGGCTCCAGAACAGGGACAGATGGACCTGTGTGTCACAACTGGCAGTCAGGAGGCACTGTCAAAAGTAAGAATCATTCATTTTTGTTGTACTGTTGACTGTACCTTCTACATTTGAATTACTATTAGAACAGTACTTTTAGGTCTGTATGAGTCTATTTAATCATGAAGGAGACAAAAAATAAATGTTGATATGCTCCAATTCATGATCAAAGCCACTCAATGATGTGAGCATAAACTTTTTTAAATGGAATTACGAATAAGTTAAGGTACATGTATATAGAAATAAAACCAAGGAAACTTTAAGGCATTTATGTGTCCGTTTCAGACATTTGAGATGCTGGTGACCCCCGGGGACAATATCTTGATGGACCAACCCACCTACCCAGGAACCCTTGCTGCAGTAAGTATGATTGAACACATTTAACTCTAACCCCAAGAACTGTAAACTGTCAGTCATATTCTATTCAAAATGCCATTCCCAGGCTGCTGCATGAGCTCTCAAGTAATAGTTTTGAATTTACGGTAAAGAAAATTGTACATGTATATTCAACAAATGTATGTTTTAATCTATATATATGTAGTCTTTTTATTGACACCTTTTTGCCATTGATTTTACCAGTAGACACTTTGTATATTTGTTATGTTCACAACATACTGTCCAGTTTGGTGTCCATTCTTGTTATTCCATGTGTTTTCCTTTTTTTAAATTTCCTTTCCTATGTCTGTCAGGTCCGGCCTCTAGGTTGTAACCTGTTGCCAGTAGAGACAGACCAGCTGGGGATGAAGCCTGGCGCCCTGAGAGGCGTCCTGTCCAGATGGAAACCTGAGGACTGTAAGAATCCGCAGTCTGACATCCCCAAAGTCCTCTACACCATTCCCAACGGTGGGAACCCCACAGGAGCTACACTGTCACTGGACAGGAGACAAGAGATCTATGAGGTAGCTATTCTACTGCAGTAGGTGTTTACATGTAATCGATGGTTGTGGACAATGTTTAAACGATTCACAGTATACAGTTTCTACACTTTTTTGAAGTTGTACATGAAAGCATTGAAACCTCATCTGCAAAGTATGCTACTTTAGGAATTCAGATAAGTTTCAACAGTGATAATGTACATGTGTCTCTCTTGTTTTTGTTTCAGATAGCAAGGAACTATGATCTGATGATATTGGAGGATGATCCGTACTATTTCCTGCAGTTTACAAGGGTGAGAGAAATATGCAAAAATTTGTTGTTACAGTGTTAAAAATATAACTGTGTCTTCTAAACAGTGTCTTCTTAAACTCTGACATTCGGTAAGACTTAGTTATGTTTTGAGGTCACAAGATAATATTGAATATTGTAGTCTGGGTAATGATGCTGGTTTCTTGCAGCCTCATCTTCCCAGTTTCCTCTCCATGGATGTGGACGGCAGGGTGCTCAAGTTTGACTCCTTCTCCAAAATCCTCTCTTCAGGGTCAGCATTTAGTTTTACTGTCAGTTGTTAGATATGTAAAACCCTTTGTGTGTAAGTTGTTCCCTTCTTAATAAAAGCATGTGTGAGTGCTTATATATATAATTGTACATGCATTGGAGTGTGTGCATGTGTCCAATATGTGTGTTTGTATGTCATTGAACATTCTTGTGTCATATACATGTGTGTTGTTTGTGCGCATGTGTGTTGTGTGTGTGCGTGTGCATGCATGTATATGCACATGCACTATATATAAATGTTTATGAATTACAAACATGTACACGCACATATACAACACTTATCAATGATGAGAAATTTTCGGGTGAAACAAACCTGTACTCTGTTTCTTTCCACCTCTGTACACAGCATGAGGGTGGGTTATGTGACTGGTCCCAAACCTGTCGTCTCAAAGATAATCCTGCACATCCAAGCCTCCACCCTGCACACCAGTACTCTCACACAGGTCAGGGGTCCCTTGTTGTGAAGAAATAGTGTTTAGCATGGTTTTCCTTTTACCTTTCATATTCTGGATAATGTAATTAACTATTCAATTAATGAAATGTTCTGTATGGTAGTATTTTGGCCTTCATGTTGTATCTTACCCCAGGTAATGCTTGTAGTTATTCATGTCTCCCTCCATAAACTGCATCTGAAGTGGTCACTATATGAAAAGAACCATTCAATTTTAATAGCTCAAGTACAGGTTTACCTTTTCTAGCTTTATATATACCAAAAATGAATAGTCTAGCTAGGTAGTTTCAATGATTAAAGAAAACTGAGGCTCAACATTAGCCATTTCCTGATATCATAAAACCTTGTATTGGCAGATGATCCTGTACCTTCTGCTGGAGAAATGGGGAGTTGATGGTTTCCTGGAGCACTGTGACAGGTAAGTAAAATACATTGTATATCTCATGTGCCCACAGCATCGAACTGTTGTTTGTTGATGGTATCTAATTTTTTTAAAGTTGCAAGGCACAGTGAAGTAATATTGGACATTTTTAGTAGTATAAAAGTCTTGTAGCTTTACACATCTGTTTTACAGGGTGTCAGACTTCTACAAAGAGAGAAGGGATCACATGATCAAGTCAGCTGACAGATGGCTCACAGGCAAGTGGTGTCACTAAGTATGGCTTGTCTTTTCATTGTATAATTTTTAAGAGATCTACAAAGTGTAAGACAGGACAGATGGTCATAGATATGAACAGGATGGATGTGCATAATAATGTGATTAGAAAACAATATCAATATACTGTCATTGTACTTTCCCAGGCCTTGCAGAGTGGCACTGTCCGTCAGCGGGGATGTTCCTGTGGCTCAGACTGCTGGGCATACAGAACACACACAAACTCATCATGGAGAAGGCCATGGAGAGGGAGGTTCTGTTTGTGCCTGGTAACGCCTTCTCTCTCACCCCGGGGGAGCCCAGTCCTTACGTACGGGCAGCCTTCTCGCAAGCTACTCCTGAACAGATGGATAAGGTAAGAACGTTGGAGGTCACTCAAGGCAGTTTGATGGAAACACGTAACAATTGTATGGACTTCATGAAGTCTCATCATACATTGATAGAGTTATTGTCAAAGGACAAAATGTATGTAAATTTCGTCATATGATGTTGGAGGTTGCTGATATTACTAATATTACTAGAAATATTACTATTGGTGATTAAATTCCTCCTAGTTACTTACTTTAGTCAAGGACATTATATATCCTATATAATATATATATTAATACATGTATCATAGTTGATTATAAGCATATGTCGTAAATAGATTAGTCTCTGAGGATTATTATAATGTGGATATACTATGAGCTCTGATATTATTACCATTTTTTGGCCAATAAGGGCTGCCTGGTCATTTACTAATGGTACCAAGCTGCAATAATCAACACGTAAGGTGACAAGATATATGTATTACTCCTTATGTTTTTTATGTTGATGTGTAAAAAAATGTCATGTCATCCTGCAGGGTCTGGAGAGACTAGCAGGGTTACTGAGAGAAGAGCGCCAGACGTCTTGAAACTAGACCACAGATTCTGGAGATGTTATCAATATCTCAGATGTCTTTCAGGGTTGATTTGGATGATACACTGTAATAGAGTTATAGTATGGTGGAGGGTGGTAAAATTGACACATACATGTAATTGCCCCAAATAAAAATATACAGGTAGTAACACTACATGTATCATGGGTAAATTATTGGCTTTTAATTAAGTAGTAAAAAAAACTGCAGTTGGATTAAATGTACGGATTAATGTCTTACAATAATTTTATGACTATTGTGAATAGTATTGTTTGACTATTGTACAGAAATTGATGATTGTGTAATAAAAATAGTTGACAAACTTTTCCTTTGCAATGTGTATTTGATGTCATGACTTGTATGTAAAATTGATTACACCAAATGTTAGCAAGTCGTTTTCAAGGTATAATTCCCAAATAAAACGTTGGAAACGATTTATGAAGAAAAGCTATCCAGCTAGTGAGAGAGCGCCGTCTGTGCCCTAAACAGACGCCCGTGGGGCTAATGGTTTATCCCATTCAAACTTTTAGGTCAAAGGTCATATTGATCTGGGGCAAGTGTCATCTTGGCAGCTGGGAAGATGTTGACGAATATTCTGCAGAAAAGCGCCAAATTTACGGGGATTTGGAGGCCTAAACTTCCACAATGTTCTCTCTCGGAGCTGACAAAAGTGTGCCGTACGTTTTCAACAAGCAGAAGGTAGAGTACTTCCCAGATTTAACGCTGGAGCAGAGCTTTTTTAGTTCACCCACTTAGCAGCCGTAAAACTTTTGTCCCCAAATGACCCCGATTCTTTTGCTGGGGGCAAGGAGGTTTCTTGCTGGGGGCAGTGCTAGGTACACATATGTTTTTAAGGTAGTTTTTTTTTTAAACAAGCTGGCTGTATGCTGGGTTCGCTGGCATTCAGCAACTATCCACACTGCACCGGGGGTGTCATTATAAGGAAAAAAATACTTATTATCCACACCGGGAATGTCATATCATGGAGGTAGAAAAATAGCCACGCTCATAAAATTTTGTGTCTGTGGGACCCCAAAAGGCCTGTATAAAGACCTAGGTATGGCAGTGATGAGCAGCACCGGCGCGTGTAATCATGTTTTTCCTAGGTGATCTCTTCGATTGAAAAGCAGTGAAGTGGGTGTACCTTTTTCAAGGCTCTGGACAACCCACAGAGACGGGAAAAACCTGACCAGTCTGGACTGGTCTAGGGACGAGTAATGACAGTAAATTGTAGGGCAAACACAGCTGGAAACCTGAATTTCTACCTGCGCTACTTTACCTTGTCAGTGTTTTTTTGAAGTCATGATGATCTATTGCTAGTATATGGCACAACTGGCACCACAACCTTAACTACTGTAACGACCCGTATGATACAGGATGTTACACTACTGATGTAACGTTACATAGGAGTTCCCATATAGCACTGTCACTTGACAACTAATACACTGAACAAGAAGAAGGAAGCTGAGCTACGTCTTGGTGCTAATAAATCTGTAATCAGCCATTGTCCTGGAGTTTGTGTACTTAATATTTGTCATTCCTTTAGAAATTCAAGAAAGAATGAAACATCATCATGACACTTTGAGGGTCTAAGTATGATAATCAAATCATGTGTGTGTTTGTCAATGACTCGTGTCCTACAGACAGCATGGAGTGGACCTGAAACCAGAAGGAGTCAATCTGACGCACAGTTACTACCACAGCCTCACCACCACCCCCCTCCAGGGCATCACCATTGGACAGAAACTACAGCAGACTGTACAGAAGTTTCCCGATCGTGAGATGCTGGTCTTCAAACGGGGAAACGTTCGCAGGACGTTTGAACAGTTCTTCGAGGAGGTGAATGTTTTTTCAGGAAGAGATATGATTGTAGTTTTCTGTTTCTGTGATCTAATAAGAGCTGTCAGTTGGTAAGTCAGGTACTTACTTTGAGATGATCAAGTAAAAACCACACACGAAGAGTTCGATATTTATGCTACAAGAAGAAAAGGATTTTGCAATTAAACAGAGATGGACCATTATTTGAAATATGTATCCTGTTTATGTCAGTGATCAGTGTGTCTAAGTGGCATGAAGACCATATTGTAATTCACTTTGTCAACATGGTAGCAAAATTTTATGGACTTGTACACAGAACTTAATCTTCATGATCATTGTAGCAGGAGAGGGGGTGTTACTAGTAGACAAATGATTTTATGACAGTAATAAAATATGTTCACGCTACTGAAGTGACAGAACAATGAACATTAGGGTATCGTAAAAAAAGATGAGGAACTACAGTAAGTTGTTGATAACTTGTTCCCAGTGTGACCAGCTGGCAGCAGGTTTTGTGGCCCTGGGGCTGAAGAAGGGAGACAGAGTGGGGATGTGGGGACCCAACACCCTGGAGTGGGTCCTGACACAGTTTGCAACAGCCAGGGCTGGCTTGATCTTGGTAGGTGGTACATTATATTATATATTTTAGCTCCAGAAAGTTTAGGATTAACTTATAATATATAGGTGATCTTCTACCCATATATTTTGTTCTTCCATTATTTTCTCTCTTTGTATTTTTCTCACTATAATTTAGAAGTAGCTAAAAGAGACCTTTTATTATAGTGTTTTCATGCATGCCACATTTGAAATACATTGTAGTAGAGCAGAAATACTAAGGCTTACTCCTATTTCCTTTTTTTCTGCTTTTTTGAAGGTCAACATAAATCCAGCCTACCAAACTCATGAATTGGAATATGCTCTGAGAAAGGTATGTCAGAAACTAGATAATTCAAGTAATATGTATAGTATTACCTAATTGTGTAAAGAAAAATCTCACGCTTTCTTCATTTTTGATACCCTATGTATACCTGACAATTTGCATCTTTCCTCCATTTCTCATCTCCATTTCTACCAACGTATTTAATGTAGAATCTGCATTTCAAGCTTATGTTTGCTTGCTTTTCTCTCAAAACTACACAGGTTCTCATACTTTGTCTCCAATATCATCCAGGCTCTCTTTAATAATCAATTGCAATACAATACTGTGTATGCTTTATCTAGAAGGCATTTGCGCTCGTGTTACTATGACTGTTACTTTCAGGTTTAACCAACTAGCATGGTGGCTGTATTGTCCTATGTAAACACCCTATAAGTCATTTCCAATTGCTTATTATCATAATGCATATGACAACTGCTGAATCGGATGTATAATGATTATTGACCTCTGTAAAGTAACATCACACTTTTGAAAGCTGTCTTTTCTCTGTGTACCTCTTTTCCCCCTACAGATCAAAAAGTTAGCCTCAGACATAGAAAAAGGTGAATACAATAAGTGCCCTGTAGCTGTTGTGAATACCTCTTCTATGTGGCTACTGTGTGTAATTGTACTAGTATATGTGGCTAATTGTATATCTCAAAATTGTGAGTTGATCTATACATGACTTAGTAGCATATTTCTGTGGAGTAAAAATTTTTGAGCTGTTGTTTACATATGTTTAGATTACATATTGTTCTTTGAAACAAAGTACATATATCAGGGACCATTCCGTTTTAAATTCAGTTAACATAAAATATCACAATATGTTGTGAAGAAAGAGTTTTGTATAAATGTAACATGTTTGTGTTTAGGTTGGTTGTCGTGCCCTTGTGTCAGCCACAACATTCAAGACTCAGGACTACTACAGGATGCTTCACCAGATCTGTCCTGAACTAGAGAGCTGCAAGCCCGGAGAGCTGGGAACTAAAAAGTACAAACACGTCACTACATGTATTTGTGTACATCATGTGCAATTTGCACAGTATCATATTTGGTACTTGCATGCTGGTATATATCTTCAAATACCAAATATCATCTGCAATGGAGAATGTGGACTGTTCTGTAAACAGTAATTCTGTATCTTGGGACAGCACTAACCTGTACAAATTTTGTATAAAAATCAGTACCTAACTAAGACAATTTCCTGGCCATGCGTTCCCAGGTTGCCCATGTTGGAAACAGTCATCATGCTCGGGGAGGACAAATTTCCGGGAACCTTCTCCTTCCCGGAAGTCATGGAGATGGGTGACCACGCCCACAGGAGAGCTGTCCTGGAGATGCAGGACAAACTTCAGTTTGATGATCCAATCAACATCCAGTTTACATCCGTGAGTCCTCTATCAATGTGGTTGCACTTGCAAGTGAACTTGACTGCTTGCTCTTTTCAGAACATAATACTGAGGTTTTATGAGACTCTAAAGAGGAAACCGGAGAAAACCTAGCATGAATGGTCATTCTTTAGACTGTGTTGGACTTGACAAGTTGTTACGTTTTTTACATATCTCAGGGAACAACAGGGAACCCCAAGGGTGCCACATTAACTCATCATAACATTTTGAACAACCAGTGGTTCATCGGACATCGACTAGGATATCACGAAAAGGTTTGGACTCTTTTGTGTCTGAATACAAAATGTAGATGACACCTGAAAATGCAATGGACTCTTATTCTCATTAGATCCGTCTGAAATGAAAGACAACCATAATGTGATGATAAAAACTACTTGAAGATGGATAGAATGGTGGGTTGGCCGAGTTCTCTTTGTCAGAAATATTTCCCTGAGTGTTGAGAAAGCAAACTTTGAATATTAAGCAAAATAACATGTCTACTGCTCACTTAAATTTAGCACCACAAGATCTGTATGCCCGTGCCACTGTACCACTGTTTTGGGATGGTGGGTGGTACCCTGGCTGCCGGGGTGTTTGGGACCACGGTTGTCGGTCCTTCGCCGAGCTTTGAACCAGAGCCATGTTTACAAGCCATTCAGGAAGAAAGGCAAGTATTTCAACTTTCTTGAATGTGCATCCTTTTTGCATAGTTTTAACAGCAATCTTTTTTTTCAAGTTTCTTTGATATTTTGCAGCATAAAAGATGTTTCGACATTTTATTTAATATTGGTTTTTGTGATTGATAGAAATAGAAATTCATGTGTACATTGGACTTGCTGTTTATCAGTGGATTATGTTTTACCGTATTGTAGTTGCACTGCTGTGTATGGAACCCCCACTATGTTCATCGACATGCTTCATCATTCTAATTTTGACGAATATGATTTGACAAGTCTTAACACTGGTAAGAAATGTCTACATTTCTGTTTTCGTGACAGGCTACTTCTCTAAAAAAAATTCTGTTAACACATTTCCTTTTTTTGGCTTACTCTTCCTATAATTTCTCTATATAATATTATATTGAGATGAAGAACACTAAATGCATGTGAAACAGTTACTGTAGATTTAGTTGTAGTCAGCCTTTTTATGACAGGGCTCCTTTTTAGTTTATGTTCTTTTGGTTTCATTGATTGCTTGAGACTTTTTTATTCATAAAATAATCAATATGACATCATGCCCTGTTGGGTAAGAATATGCAGTGAAGATTCTTCATTATGCTGTCTCATCAAACAGGGATCATGGCAGGCTCACCTTGTCCCATTGAGATCATGAAACAGGTGGTTTCCAGAATGCACTGTCCTGAAGTTTGCGTAAGTATTTCCATACAATTATGAGTAATTTTTTTCTTACAATTCCATTGCACAAAACTTACATTTATCATATTTGAAAAGATTTGAAACATTCAGGGCAATAGTCATTTTTACTTGAGTTAAGTGAGGAAAGTTGTATAAATTTAAAGTGCCTTTTGTAAGGGCACAAGATTGTTGGCATGTCAGGACTCAAACCCGGGACCTCTTGGCCACACGACCCCACATTCTTTTATTATTGATTTATCTTTTTTCCTGATGTTCTGTATCAGTATAGCCGGCATAACCGCCCTTCGGCATAACACACCAGCTTCGCAGGCATGCGGCGAGGCGACAGCTAGCTATATCACACCGAACGACTTGTGGATGTTGGCCAACTTTTGTGTTTTCAGATTGCATATGGGACAACAGAAAACAGCCCAGTCACCTTTATGGGGTACATGGCAGACAGTCTGGAGAGGAAAGTGGGAACCATAGGACAACCTTTTCCTCATGTGGAGGTGGGATGGTATTTTCACTATAAAGTATAGAAGCTTGAAGGTTGTAAGCAGCAGCGGTATCTCTTAATTACATGATTATGCTTTGCAGCCTCTTTCGTAAGTCTACAGATCCTATACATCCTATACACAATGCATATGTGTCCTCAGCTCAGAGCTTTCCTATTGATTTTTTGAAGCCACATAGTATACTTACTATACTGACAATGCTGAAAAGGATTCAGCAAATAGCTTTCCAGCACCAAGGAAAGTACCAAACCAGCTTCTGTTTGTCATTGTGGAGGATTGCACATGCTGGGAAAGGAGCAGACCATACAGGATGATGGATTGACACTTGACAGTCATCGCTAGTATTAATCAACATACAAAATCACTACATGTACATGTACCTGGTATAACAACAAGGTGAATACATGTAGGAGAGTTTTTCAGCAATGTTTCCATTCTCTGTCAGAAAACATTTTGGTTCATTCATGGCTCACTATGTAGGATTAACAAATGATAAAAGATAAGCAAAATTTGCAGACTTCTATTGTTTCATTTTGTTTCTTTTTGTTTATTTGTGTTTGTTGTGTCAGGTTAAGATTGTGGGTACAGACGGACGTGTGACCCCTGTGAATGAGCCGGGAGAGCTGTGCACACGCGGTCCTGGGACCATGCTGGGGTACTGGGACGACCCGGACAAGACTGCTGAAGTCATTGGAGCAGACAGGTGGTACAAGACTGGGTGAGTTATACTACGTGTGGTTTGGTCCTTTTGTGCCAAGTAAGGCATTATGCAACCAGTTTCCTAGCTGTTTCGGTAGCAGAATTTTGGAGGTACATGTATACAAGACGGGGTTGCTGGCCCTTTGCCAAAGAATAAGATTGTTCTTTACATACGTAGAACAGTTGAATATCAATTAACAATCTGACATGTAAGATTGAAGGTAGATTATTCCTTCAATCTGTCTATATATACATACCCAAGGAAAAATGACTGGAAAAAGCAGTCATTGTCAAAATGTGCTTCAAGTACATACTATTGTGCCTAGACATTACTCGTGTTTGATTGTAATCAGTCAATCTAAGTGCATGTTGACATTATCAGAGACATTGCTGTTTTGGACGAGGAGGGATACGGACAGATTGTGGGGAGGATCAAGGACATGATCATCCGAGGAGGGGAGAACATCTACCCCAGGGAGATTGAGGAGTTCCTCTACACTCATCCCAAGATTGAGGATGTGCAGGTCGGTTTCACAACCTGTTAACAAAGGGAGCATGTCAGCAGAGCGTACTACACCTGTACCACCCAGTTTTAGTTGGATATTTGGTCAACATTGCATCAGAATTTTGTCCTTTATAGGCAATACCTTTTCCAATTCCAACACAACATTTGAAAACTATACACTGGATGTCATCCTTCGATATGCAAATACAACCTTAGAAGAGGCATTCTGCCAAAATGCTATGCACAATACATAACAGGGTTTGTGCAGTCCCAGTATGCTCTGCTACGGGGGAGGGACACATTGCTAAAGGGACCTTTTACTTTCATTGTATAACAACAAGTTGAGGGGATTCATGAAACAGTCAAACTTGTATCACACAAAATTTAGCTTCCTTGTGACAGACATATATAGATCCTTGTCCATGGTCAATTCTGTTACAGCCTGCTGGCAAACCTGGTAACAAAAAAAATTGGATGTGACTGAGTTTTTCCATTGATTCTCTTCATCTACTGTAACAGTTCCTGTAGAGTATTCAATGTGTTGATGTAGGTAATTGGAGTTCCTGATGAGAGGATGGGGGAGGAGGTGTGTGCCTGGGTCAAACTGAGGGAAGGAGAGAGCATGGAGGAGGAGGATGTCAGATCATTCTGCAAGGGAGAGGTGCAGATGTTTTCACTAATTTTCTTACTAGCTATCATTGTGACTTAAAAGTACTGTGACAGATGTAGAAGACTTTTCCATTAAATTGATTGAGAGCTAATAACCCCAAATTACCCAAAGCTCATGAATTAAAGGTGGTTGAAATCAAAGATGCGTTTCAGAGGACTTCCTGATCCTTGAACCATTTCAACTGGAAAAGCAGACAGATATAACTATGTGCAAATAATGATATCTCTCAAAACACCATATAGTTGCTTATAATTAGGCCCATTCTCTTTTTGTAAAATCGTAAAGTGTAAAAAGTTGTTAACTCTTTTTTTTCTCTTCAGATTTCCCATTTTAAGATTCCAAGGTACATCAGATTTGTGGCGGAGTTCCCCCTGACAGTCACTGGAAAGGTTGGTTTTGTTTCTTTCACACACTTTTACTGTGTTATGACAGGGTAGGATTTTCTATGTGCATACCATATGTCACTCCATGATTGTATCTTTTGTTAATTTTAGGGATACACAATGTAATTCATTATCTACATATACTGCATATTGTGGGAACTGACTGTCAAATCAGATGAAAATTCTCCAGATTATTACAAGATTGGGCAATAATCGGATTTCTATAATCACATCAATCAGCAAGTCGAAGTTTGAATACTCTATACAAAGAGATGACTTTGCACTTGGCGTATGTGTTGCATCATTTCTAGTGAACCAGTATGCTGTTAGTAGTATTTCTCTATCATTAGATGTGCACATAAACCTGTAATTACACTACGTCTTGCCACAGGTGCAGAAGTTCAAGATGCGGGAGCAGATGACCAAGGACCTCAACCTGCAGATGTGGGGATGAGCATTCATTTTTTTATGAAAACGACAGAAAAACGTGGAAGAAATGTTTTTAAAAGATAATTCAAATTCAGCATTATATAGTGATATAGTTTTATTGCAAATTCATGCCCGAGAGCTAATTGCATGAACAGAAGAAACATTTGTATAAAAACAGATAATTAGTACACATAGAACTACTGATAACTATTAAGAGACCACTATATATTGATAACAGCTGTGTAACTTTTGATATTGCCTCAAAGTTGTAATTCTTACTAAAAATCATTTTGTGTCCATCACTTAGTTAAGATATCAGTTGATAGAACAGGGTTGTCTTCCATTATTCAGATGAATTTTCATCAAAGTCATCGAGAGTCAGGTCAAAAATAGACTTATTAGTGCTTGAATGTACAAAAAAATAAGAAGGAATAATCAGGCATATCTTTGATGAACACTGTAAGAATCAGAAGCATAAAGCAGATGGGATGGAGAGTTTAAAGAGCATCGTGTATAAGGGGATCTGTTTTTAAAGTTCTGAGATTTTTATGCTGATCATGAATGGTTAATCTTTTCTGGAACTGGCTAGCAAGTGGCAGCTGCCAGCTGTATTCTATTTGTGATTAGTCCAATCAGTGTCTTTCATATCATACTACAGTACTTACTTGTATATGTTAAGTTATGCAACTGAATAACTCTTTAACTATGAAATATGTACTCATACATAATTTATGAGGGACCAATAACCATTGGATTTTTGGATATATGCTGAATTTTTACTCTAGTTAATGCATTGAGTATACAGGTACTGGTGTTACCTTTAGAAATGGTGAAATGGCAATGATTGCAGAACAAGACTTAAAACGTGGTTATGATTTTTCCATTAGTCTCAGATGGAAATGATTAAGTGTAATATATTTCTATATACATGGCCAGTAATCTCACCTTTCTTACTTTCAATAATAAAATCTATTAACTTGTTATTAAGAGGATCCTTTTATTTTTTATTTCTTCCTACTCTTAGAATTCTGAAAGTCACTTGGGATTTGGAATCTCTTATTCTTACAAACTTGTATTTTCAAGCATTTCTATCAGGTCAGGACATCACAATCGTCCTCAAAGCACCAATCTGAAAAAGACCACAGAGGTTAGATCCCGATTTGCATAATTGCCATCTAATTATTTCAAGCATACCGACATATCAATTTGCATAATTGCCATCTAATTATGTCAAGCATACCGACATACTTCCCAAACAAGCTGCTGGGGGGGGCAAACTCACGTCACTTCTTCCCAAGCAGAGCACAAGAGCTATCTACCATCCAAATATCATGACCCTAGCGTGTCCAGATCAGGAGATGTCAAAACCGGTAGTTCTCCTGCAGTACCATAACAAGCCACCAGGGGGGGGGCAAAATCTATAATCTTTTTGAGATCTTATCAAGGCCTACCGACCTACCAAATATCAAGACAATCCATCAGAGCATTCTCAAGTTATCTTGTTGACAAACCACAGAGACACACAAACGCCACTGAAAGCATAATCTTGCGAAGGTATTAAATTACCGGTTCTACATTTTTGTACCGGTTGTTCCGGTGGCTTGAGGTTAAATTGTTGCACAGAAGACGACATCCGCACACCCGTTGGCTGCCACAGTTCAACTTAAGTTGTGTTACAGGAGAAGTCATGAAACCACCACAAGGTAAGACAATTGTTAGAATTAGATTTCGTAGTAGGTAAAATAAGATATTTTAAAAATCGGAATTCGACATGTAACTGTTATAGGTAGAATGGATGGCAGACTTTCCAGGGTCGGTTCCAGGGTAAACATGCCCCCAAGCAAATTACACCACAGATGTATACAACCAGCAGCAGAAAACAGCAAATAGGACGAAAAAACAGACTGCTAAGGAGGCTCCAAAATAGTAGTGGAGTACAAGTCACCCACAAAGTTATAGAAATGAACCCTTATAATGAACATCGGTACGGATAAGGCTAAACTAACTGGACCTTGTTATACGAATATTGGTAAAGCCGGTGTATACAAGTCACGAAATTTCGAAGGAGAAAATGCACGCGATAGAAGAATTTGTTACATTTCACTACACAAATTTAAATATATTATTTTGGGGAGATAACCCCTCTCTGTGTACATGTAGGCAATTGTACATGTATCAAGAATATTTTGACCTTAGACCTAGTAGTGTACGTGATACGTCGAACTCAACATGTTGATTTATTGATGTACATGTATGTGGGTTAATTCGTATATATCCACTCTTTGTATGCATAGTTATAGGACATAGTAATGAAAGTCGCTGTGCCTTTGTTGTGTCAATAAAGAATGCTGTTTTTACCTCCGGGTAGGGATGTATCCCGTGCGCGGAGGTTTTGTGGGGGAAGATGAAAATTACGTTCGCAGCCGTTTCTCGCGTTTGGGTGGACGGATATGTCTGGGACTTGGTATACGTTTTGCTATTGGGCTGTAGATGGTGCACGTTGTTTTTGGTTTTTTAGTATGTGTGTTTTAGTGCGTGAAAATGATGCGTTGTGACAGCGTATGGACACCCCTTGTGTGTGAAAGTGGTTTTGTCTTTTGATTTTCGGCGTGTATAAAGTGTCGCAGGCGTCGTCCACATCTGGTGAGAGGGGGTGTCAGGTATCGAGGAAAAATATTATCGCAGTTGTATCTCGCGTTGGGGTAGACGGGACCCATGAAAATCCAGCTCGGTACGCTGACTTCCGGGTACCGCGGGTTATTTTTTAAAATATCTGGCTCGAACATCAAAAAGGGCGCATAGAAATTGTCCCGAAAATTCTTTTAGAGTCTAATCACCCTTTTTTTGATAGGATGTTGCTTAGTAGTCGTAGAAAAAACGTAGAAAGCAGCGAAAATGTGCCTCTTCGCTGATTAAGAAATTCTATCGCGCTGCCGGCTCGATATCCGCTTATCCAATCGGAACGCAGGTCATGTGAGGTGAACCAATGAGAGCGTGGATCGCGCGCTGCTATTTACATATCAAAATAGCGCACGCATGGTTTTGTACAGCGATGTGGAGAACACGTTTTTGCCAAGTTTTTTATCCCGGAATTTTCATAGATTTGACTGATTTTTTTGGCACGCCGTGATTACGCTACAAATGACACACTAGAGGAGACAACAGATGAGTGATCATTTTACAATCGACAAGAACTTTTGATGAATGAAACAGGAATGAAATCTTGCTGATTGCGATTTGTTTTCGAAAATATTATTTTGTCTCGTGTTTGTAACGTTCGCTCAAAAGGAGGTTCTAAGTTTTAACCGTAACATGAAAGATATGAACAAGCTTCTGTGCATGTTTTGATGTGTTTTTTTGTTTTGGACGTGATTTGAACTAGTGTGGGATAAGTGGGGAGGGATGGCAGCCGCGGGGGGGAGCGTAGCGGCTTGATAAATTTTCGAGAGCAAGTTCCGCGCACTGGAGTTGATTTCTCACGCGGCCGTTTGTGTAGGTGTTTGTTTACATTATCGCTGGTCGCTGAGGGTCGGGCAGCCAGATTCGCCACGGGATGCCCCCTGTCCTTTCTATTTTGGGGCTCCAGTCGGCTAGGGGGGATTAGTGATTTCACAGATCATTTAGCCAATTACAAACATTTCGAAACTTTTCGAAAAAATGGTCTTCGCGTGAACACACACACACCAGACACCATTCACTAATTTAAAGGACAGTCCCAACATGCACCCAACATTCTGCAACATACATTACAATACCCGGAGGTACAAAATCTACGATTTTCCTTGTTGTCTATGTTTCAGGAGACAGACTTCGAGCCGTCATGTACAATGGCCCAGTTACCTGGCCGTGTGTTCTCATCCAAGTCTTGGACGCCATTATCGTCCTGGGTGTCATCCCAGCTCCTCTTCTCGCCTTTTGGGCTGGTCTGTGGGCGGCCATGGACGTCTTAATCTTCCCAAAAGATAAAGAGCTCACTGCGTGGTCCTGTGTAGCCATCGGTGTTACCCTCCTTCTCCTCCTCAACTTCTTCCAGAAGGTTTTCTATGACGCCACGAGGAACATCAACCCGTTCTTGTACGGTTTTCTTTGGCGCCTCCACGCGTACGTGGGAACATTTGCGTCCGTCAGTATGTGGCGAGGGATGTGGGAAGGCCTCGAATTTTACACAGGGAAGTCCGCGCTAAGCCTAGTCATCGGCGCAATCATAGCTGCTGCAATTCTTATACCTCTCCGGGTATTCAACGGGATTGTGGGCTCTCCAGCATTAGTAGGCAAAGAGGTCGTTGCAGACCCCTTCAAAATCCACACCCGTTTCCAGACCATTCCTTCTCGCAGCTGCAAGTTCGTCCTAGACGTATTCCTGAACGTCTTCGTGATCAGCGTTTTGACCGTGGTTTATTTTCGAGCCGTGTACGATCTGATGGAGAAAGTCTTATACCCGGGCGACAAAGTCCGCAACCTGTGGGCTTGCATGATGCTAGGAAATGGTGTATTGGTGCTCTGTATAGTAGCTCAACGGTACGTGGTCATGGCCTACCGTGCGTTGGAGGACAGAGTGTGGCTAAGGATCGCACTAGATGACGCCTTCATTCTCGTCGTTTCGTTTGGAGTGGTGAATGTGTGGAGGGGCTGGTGGGAATTCTTCGACTTCTACCTGCTGGCCTCAGGTGATATACTCCTGAGGGGATCTCTCCTGCACCTGGCAGGTGTGTCGGTGTGCTTCCTGTTGTGCATGGCCAGGACGCTGAGTTTCCCGCTGTCGCCTGAGCGACTGGACGGAGAGCTGAACTGTAAGACAGACAACATCATGGGCATGTACCTGGTGAGTATATATTGAGTACTTTACATAACTTTTACGTAGATGTCACTGCGTTTAATTTCAAGGTCCCACTCCATATGGTGTAAAGGGCAGCACACGTCTCGGTTCTTTATAGACATTGGGACAAGACAAGAAAACACTACATACCGCGGGGGTTGAAAATAAGATCTTCAACCTCAGGCCTTAACCATACTGCAGTAGGAGTTAGTCAACTTGTTTGTGTGTGTTCAACAGTCGCATTCTTCCCAATACTGTTAAACTTACCAGAGGCAAAACAAGTGTGACAAACATTCAGTCATCATTCAATTTCCTGTATTGCAAATTGTAATGTAACCATACACGTTTTTCACCAAATAGCGTTAATTTTATATCCTGACACAATAGATTCCACAATAGATTCGCGCGGGCAAATTAACCAGTTTCGCTTTGTGTTCTTCAGGAGGACAAAGAGTGCTGCTGTTTTGAGCCTTTCCACGTCACAGAAGACAACACCTGTATGAGTCAGGAGGATGAGGACGCCAGGTTGGTAGTTACTGGGACTACTGAGGAGTCGGAGGAGGGTTCGCTCCACAACAAGGCTGGGACTGGATACGGCAGCACGCCGGGGCACTAGTTCACCCTCCACGGCACGTTTTCCATCAACTATAATAAATATACTTCATGTTCTGGGAATGGATTGTTGAATCAGATAAAAGTTCTCCAGATTATTACAGGATTGGGCAATAATCGGATTTCTATAATCATATCAATCAGCAAGTCGAAGTTTGAACACAAGGAGATGACTTTGCCCTTTGGCATAAATGTTTTAAAAAGATATTTCAAATTCAGCACTAGATAACAGTTGTGCAACTTTTGATATTGCCTCAAATTTCTAATTCTTACTAAAAATCATTTTGTGATCACTTAGTTAAGATATCAGTTGATAGAACAGGGTTGTCTTCCAAGAATTATTCAGATGAATTTTCATCACAAAGTCATCGAGTCAGATCAAAAATAGACTTATTAGTGCTTGAATGTACAGAAAATAAGAATGAATAATCAGGCATATCTTTAGTGAACACTGTAAGAATCAGAAGCATAAAGCAGATGGGATGGAGAGTTTAAAGAGCATCGTGTAAAGGGGATCTGTTTTTAAATTTCCTATACTTTATACTGATCATGAATAGTTGATCTTTTCTGGAACTGCTAGCAAGTGGCAGCTGCCAGCTGTATTCTGTGATCAGTCCAATCAGTGTCTTTCATATCATACTACAGTACTTACTTGTATATGTTAAGTTATGCAACTGAATAACTGAAATATGTATTGATACATACTTTATGAGGGACCAATAACCATTGGATTTTTGGATATATGCTCAATTTTTACTCTAGTTAATGCATTGAGTATACAGGTACTGGTGTTACCTTTACAAATGGTGAAATGGCAATGATTGCAGAACAAGACTTAAAACGTGGTTATGATTTTTCCATTAGTCTCAGATGAAAATGATTAAGTGTAATATATTTCTATATACATGACCAGTAATCTCACCTTTTTTACTTTCAATAACAAAATCTATTAACTTGTTATTTAGAGGATTCTTTTTTTTTTATTTCTTCCTACTCTTTGAATTCTGAAAGTCACTTGGGATTTGGAATCTCTTAGTCTTACAAACTTGTATTTTTCATGCATTTCTATCAAGTCAGGACATCACAATCGTCCTCAAAGCACCAATCTGAAAAAGACCACTGAGGTTAGATCCCGATTTGCATAATTGCCATCTAATTATGTCAAGCATAAGTTAAGCTACCGACATACCAAAAATAACGACAATACTTCCAACATTTTCAAACAAACGCCATTGCAGTTCCCAAACAAGCTGCTAGGGGCCCCAAGCAGAGCACAAGAGCTATCTACCATCCAAATATTATGACCCTAGCGTGTCCAGATCAGGAGATGTCAAAACCGGTAGTTCTGCTGCAGTACCATAACAAGCCACCAGGGGCCCCAAAAATCTAATCGTTTTTAAATTTCATCAAGGCCTACCGACCTACCAAATATCTGGTCTCCACCAAACTCCTTTTTCAGGCTGAATAAATCGTAGAAATCGGCATAAAAAGGGTATTTAACTGGCCAGATAATGTAGCCGGCAATCGAGGGTGCTGGCCGCTCCATCAGAGCATTCTCAAGTTATCCTGTTGACAAACACAGACACGCAAACACCACTGAAAACATAACTTTATCAGGCGAAGGTAATTACGTAAACCGGTTGTTCCGGTGGCTATAAAATTCTTGCACAGATCGAAGACAACATCAGCACACTCGTTGGCTGCCACAGTTCACTGCTACCAAGTTGTGTTACAGGAGAAGTCATGAAAACAACACAAGGTAAGACAAATGTTAGAATTATATTTCGAAGTAGGTAAAATAAGAGATTTTGAAAATCGGAATTTGACTTGTAACGTTATAGGTATTGAATGGATGCCAGACTTTCCAGACTATCGACTCTTTGTATGCATTAAGTTATAGGCATATATAGTTACGACAATCGCTGTACCTTTGTTGTGCCGATAAAGATTGTTGTTTTTGTCTATGTTTCAGGAGACAGACTTCGGGCCGTCATGTACACTGGCCCAGTGACCTGGCCGTGTGTTCTCATCCAACTCTTGGACGCCATTATCGTCCTGGGTGTCATCCCAGCTCCTCTTCTCGCCTTTTGGGCTGGTCTGTGGGCGGTCATGAACGTCTTAATTTTCCCAAAAGATAAAGAGCTCACTGCGTGGTCCTGTGTAGCCATCGGTGTCACCCTCCTTCTCCTCCTGAACCTCTTCCAGAAGGTTTTCTATGACGCCACGAGGAACATCAACCCGTTCTTGTACGGGTTTCTTTGGCGCCTCCACGCGTACGTGGGAACATTTGCGTCCGTCAGTATGTGGCGAGGGATGTGGCTAGGTCTCGAATTTTACACAGGGAAGTCCGTGCTAAGCCTGGTCATCGGCGCAATTATAGCTGCTGCAATTCTTATACCTCTCCGGGTGTTCAACAATATTGTGGCCGCTCCAGCATCGGTGCCCAGAGAAATCGTTGCAGACCCCTTCCAAATTCAAACCCGTTTCCAGACCGTTCCTTCTCGCAGCTGCAAGTTTGTCCTAGACGTATTCCTGAACGTCTTCGTGATCAGCGTTTTGACCGTGGTTTATTTTCGAGCCGTGTTCGAGCTGATGGGGAAAGTCTTATACCCCGGCGACAAAGTCCACAACCTGTGGGCTTGCATGATGCTAGGAAATGGTGTTTTGGTGCTCTGCATAGTAGCTCAACGGTACGTGGTCATGCTCTACCGGGCGTTGGAGGACAGAGTGTGGCTGAGGATCGCGCTAGATGACACCTTCATTCTCGTCGTTACGTTTGGAGTGGTGAATGTGTGGAGGGGCTGGTGGGGATTCTACGAGTACTACCTGCTGACCTCAGGTGATATACTCCTGAGGGGATCTCTCCTGCACCTGGCAGGTGTGTTAGTGAGCTACCTGTTGTGCATGGCCAGGACGCTGAGTTTTCCGCTGTCGCCTGAACGACTGGACGGTGCGCTGAACTGTAAGACAGACAACTTCATGGGCATGTACCTGGTGAGTACCGTAGATATCCCCGCGTTAAACTTCGTCAAGATCCCACGCCGTATTGTTTGATTTGAGGGCAGCGCATATCTGGGTTTCTTAGACACTGGGACACCTATAAGGCCTATAAAAGGAAACACTACATACATGTAACGTTGCCAAGCAGGTTGAAAATCAGATCTCCAACCTCAGGCCTTAACCATACTGCAGTACTAGTTAGTCAACTTGTTTGTGTTCAACAGTTGTACTCTTCCCAAATACTGTTAAACTTACCAGAGGCACAATCAACTGTGGCAAACATTCAGTCATCATTCAGTTTCCTGTATTGCAAATTGTAATTTAACCATACACCTTTTTATACGTATAACCAAAAAGTGTTAATTTTATATCCTGACACAATAGATTCGCGCGGGTGAATTAATCAGTTTCGCTTTGTGTTCTTCAGGAGAACAAAGAGTGCTGCTGCTTTGAGCCTTTCACGGTCACAAAAGACACCACCTGTAGGAGTCAGGAGGCTGAGGACGTCATGCTGGTGGTTACTGGGAATACTGAGGAGTCGGAGAAGGGTTCGCTCAAAAACAAGGCTGGGACTGGATATGGCAGTACACCCGGGCACTAGTTCACCCTCCACGCGTCTCATCTGTGCTCAGCTAGCTGAATTTTATGTGAACAATGACAGATTTCAGGGTAAAACACCATTAGGTGTACATTAGCATTGTTAGCCTTGGAAGGTACTAAATGCTTTTCAGGCCGCTCTCTGGAAAATTCTTACAGTTCAACTCAAGATATTATTAAGATATCAGGGTACTAGTATCATGAATCTGCGATGGACTTTGTGTTAATTATGTGGACCCTCCCATACTATAGTCTAGCTCAGGGCAACTTCCTTTAGATATTGTGAGTTAATAGCACATCAAAAGTCATAAAAGTACGTAACTGAGAATCCGTCATTACTCGCCATTCAAATTACAACAATCTGTTCGTGTCAGGTAAAACGTGAAGATGTTTACTTGAAGATGTGTTTATTTGCGTGAAATAATATAATAACGTGATAGGTGAATAACAAAGACAAAGCTGTAAGAAGTTTAAGGCAGTGGCAAACTCATACTAATCGATATCCAGTTCATAAACAAACTGTTGTTTTCCCATCGATAGTAAACGCTATTTGTACGACAGAAAACTTTTCGTTGTCCCATCATTTCACTTTCTAATTTTTCCATTAGCGTTGCCAGGATACCCTCATGCAGTTCGTTACTAGATCTTACTAGCGCCTGACATCGTGAGCTGTAGTCATCATTGTGCGAATTAAAAAAAAAGTTGGACAATAAAGTTCATCATTAAAATCAAAGTGGTCGGGAAGGTTGAAAAATGACTGAACACAATGAACATGGTATAACATTACCGAGCAATAAATTCGTTATTATTATTATTTTTTTCATATTTAACTCTTGAAGACCGTCAAGTTGGTGGTACAAGCAAGTGTTAATTCGAGCCAAGTTTCCTCTCCTTTGGCATCTTTTCCTTTCGACTTCTGTCATCCTTCTATTCAAGTACATGAAAGAAATAGTAATGATCGCAAACGTATTTTTCGGAAGCGGACGAAAGTTGATACGCACAAGACGTCATCTGTATGATGACGTCAGCCTTCCTAACATCGGTGCGAGACCTCCTCTAGTTGCTTGGTGACCTTTGACATCCAAGATGGCGGTTAGGTAAGTTTTTGGACGCGTTTTCGATGAAACCTTCCTTATTTTCAGTCTCAAATGATCGACATTCACTTAGTTAACAACGTAAATGTGTTCTTTACATTTTGGTACTTTGTATGTATATTTGTTGTCGTGGTTCGTGTAATAAGAGTTCGATTCCAGCCGGAATTCAATTCACAACTCGCTTACGCAACGCTTTGAAATGTTGCGATTTGGAAACTCTCAAGTCTATGAGTATGATAGTATGATACAAAATTACCATTGATTTTCATTTCCAATTGTTTAGTTAGATTAATCTATAGCTTGCAAGGCCCATCGTGACAGTGTTACGTTGTAACGAAAAGTAAAACAACGTCGTAACGTATACAAATTATGTATGTAACACCAAGCAGAAGTCTTTCCCTACCATCAGAATAGGGAAGGGATATGGATAGTATTTATAAAGGGCATGTAGATATCTAGCTAGCCAGCAAGACACGCACGTCATTTCTCAGTCTGTTACATTAGCCCTAACAACATGTTAGGGCTAATGCAAAGCATGATTTTTTAAAACCCGAACATGTTGTTAGGGCTAATGTAAAAGACTGCAAGCATGAGAAGCCCTGCATCAGTCGCCACGGCTATATATCAGGTAAGGCAATGATAGAAGTAATAAAAAGAACCTAATGCTATATTAATAGGAGATATGCAGCATTTTTTTTCAGAGCATGAACTATTCTTTATTTATAACAGATGACCCTTGACAGTTCTGCTGTGGCCTGACAGTTGTCCCAGTCATCATGTGTGACCAGGAGGCCCAGGAGAATGAGCTGCTGGCCCTGTCCAGTATCTATGATGACTCTGTCTTCATGGCAGCAGAAGATGGGACAGGGGGACAGTTCTGCTCCATCATTGATCTCCCTGAGAACTTTCAAGTCAAAGCACCGGCGCCCCCTGGAGAGTCAGGTGAGTACTGCAGTGTAGTGCTACATGGACCATTCTTTCCTTCGGGAGGGTTCAAAATTTAATGACAATCACCTAATGTATGACATCATGAACGTGTGACTTCAGAAATTGGTCAGAATTTCCAAGAAGTTTTCAATGCCCGCTGCCTCACATGTTGGAACACTATGTTTTTGAAATTCCATTAAATTTTGTTCAAACACCAGTTGAAGCCCCAATTGTTGCAATGCCATGATATCAATAAAGTCACTTCTGTCACCCTGCTGTTTTCCAGTGAACAAGGCAACTGTCATTCCAGTCAAGTATCTCCCTCCCATCATCCTTCACTTCCAGTATCCAGCTGATTACCCATCATGCAGTGCACCACAGTTCACCCTGTCCTGCAAGTGGCTTACCTTACAGCAGGTTAGTGTGTTTCATGTTCATGGAATAACTTCTTATCATCCGTTATATTGTGATAAGTTAAATGGGAAGTGTTACAAGGGTGTTTACAAATAATGCCAGTCGCTATGCTTTGTTTGTGGAACCTAATACATTTACCTACATGTAGATGATAATGACTACATGACCAATAGCATACACAAAGTCTTTATTGCTTTGATACCAAGAAATTTTGATTTGTCACTATCAAAACCAACAGTTGCCACTATTATAGTATATGAAATGAGAACAGAAGTACTAGACAAGACTCTTCATACCTGTTAATACTTTTCTTTGTAGAATTTCCAAACCTCCACAACAGGCCACATAGTTGTAAATGGTTCCTCAGAAAGTAGCAATTATCTCATACTTCAGAGGAGTCTGCAAAAAGCCTTTCCCACATGTGTTATCAGTGTAAGATTGTCCTTTATCTTGTGTATTCTATCTGTTTGCAGCTAACTTTGCTCTGTAAACATCTGGATGAACTGTGGACTGAGAACTCTGGGATGGAGATCTTGTTCACCTGGGCACAATACCTACAAGAGGAGGCACTGAGTACCCTGGGGATATCTGATGTCCTGGATGTCACCTGGATAGAGGAGAAAGTGAAGCTGAAGAACAATAGAAGACAAAGGATTGATGAGCAAAAGAATGTTGGCACGGAAAGTACAAAAGAGAGTGGGATCCTGGGAGCAAGTGGACAAGATGTCGACAAGGAAAAGCAGGAAAAAGATGGAGGTGAAGAAATCGTAAAGAAGCACGGCCATGGTGGAAGAGACCATTTTGGAAAGGGGGCAAGGGGTAGGGGTGGACATCAGTCAGAACAGTCAGCTCAAGAATGGAAAGGCTACCGCAGGTATGACAGAGATGGAGGTGAAAGAACTGACAAGTATGGCAATCGTAAGGGCAATAGCACAAGACAATGGAGGGATGGAGAAAGGAGAGGGAAGAATGTACAACAGGAAGGCAACTGGAGTAAGGCACAGAGGCAAGAAAGGGGTGGCTACAAGAACTCTGGGGAAAGAAAACAGCAAGAAGAAGAGACAGTAAGTTTTTTGAGGACTAGAGAAAATCAACAACTAATGGACAACAAACTTGGCAATGAGGGTGATAGTAATGTACCAGACTCACCAGGAACTTTGGAAGAGACATCTGAAGAAGAGAAGGAAAGAGAGACAACTAAAGAGGTTGGAGACCCAAGAGCGATCCAAGACCTTGCGTCCCCGTCCCTTCTGGTGCCAGTGATTGTTGAGTATGACCAGGAGAGGAGACAGCACATGTTCAACACCACCATGTACAACTGTAACGTGTGCTTTGGGGAGAAGCTTGGTGCAGACTGCATTGGTTTTAAGGGCTGTGACCATGTGTACTGTAAAGAGTGCATGAAAGGCTATTTCCAGGTAAGATAACGGGTTCAGAAAGCTAAATCATGTAGGGTAAAACTTGTACTAAAACTTTTAGTAAAAGTAGAAAGTAAAAGAAAGGGTAGAGAGCCACAGTGGCACTTAGAAATTGGAGGCCTTTCCTAGTGAATCCAGCCTTGCACCCAGCTTGCAGCTAGACCCGCCTTTTCAAGAAGGAACTGGCAAAATTACTGATTTTGATTGTTGTCATTTTCTTGCATGCAATGTCCTTTTGACCATTAGTGCTTGGTGATTCCTGTTTATAAGATTGCACTGCACCCAAAAAGCAATCCATACAGTTTTCACTTATTACTTTACTACTTTTAGTTTTCACTTACATATATATGTACTACTTTTGCTATGTAATTAAAAAATTAATGAAGCATTGTGTAATCAATATGTTTGAATCCCAGGTGCAGATATCAGAGGGGAATGTGCAATGTCTGCAGTGTCCAGAACCTAAGTGTGAATCACAGGCACTCCCTTCACAGGTCAGTACTCCAGGCCTCACTACACTAGCTAATACTGTAGAGTTAAAAACTTACATATCTTCTGCATTCTTTGTTGCTACTGTCTATTGCTCAAATTCTTTGTCTCGATCTTGGCTACCAGTTTTTGATTTGAAATGTTCAGGTCATTCAGGCAAAGGGTAAATGATACCGGTATATCAAGTTCATACCCTTCACAATTATCCCCTCTTAATCATTTATATACACAATAAAATCACGTTTACTCCAACTCGTAACAATGCTCTCAATGTTTACATACCATATCCTAGTACTGTACCGTACATTTACTTTTAGCATTACATGTAGACTTAACGTTACAGGACGGGTAGTTTTTGTAGTATGTGAGAATCACATAGTGCCTTCTACATTGGGCATATTACTAGTAGAAGTTCACTGTGAGCCAGACGTACATTAATTGTTGACTCCCTGATGTTATTCCCCTACAGGTACAGGAGCTTGTTGGAGGAGAGTTGTTTGCTCGTTACGACCGTCTCCTGCTGCAGTCCAGTCTGGAGGGGATGGCTGACGTGGTGTACTGCCCGCGTAAGTCGTGCCAGTGCCCCGTGATGCTGGAACCTGACAGTAAGATGGGAGGATGTACGGCCTGTCAGTACACCTTCTGTACACTCTGCAAGTTAGCATACCACGGTGTGTCTCCATGCAGAGTCAAACCAGGTAGGATTTAAATTTCTGTCTATCTAGTCCATGTTGCAGGGGAAAGCTAAGTGCAGGTAGACATCAGAAATATACTGGTACCTGCACAGCCCCAATTTTACCTGCACTAATTATAAAGAAGGTGAATATATACTCATACATCCAGTATTTCTAGCCCTGTTAGTCTGTGCTTGACACTGTACAATGTAATAATGTTTAGGAATGTAACAATGTTCTGCTTATGACTGTCACTTCCTCAACATTTCCTTGGATTACTGTCAGACGACCTACGGAAGCTTCGTGAGGAGTACCTGGCTGCCAGCGATGCAGGGAAGCAGTTTCTGGAGAAGCGTTACGGGAGGAAGGCCATCAAGCAGGCCCTGGAGGAGACCTTCAGTGAGGAGTGGCTGAAGAAGTACACCAAGGAGTGCCCTCAGTGTGGGACACACATACAGGTTGGTGTTATATACTAGTACTGGATTCATTCCACGAGCTGACTGACATCTCACACAGCAGTCGTCCCTCAGTAAGACATCTGGAGCTGCATAGTTCCTGTTTAGTACTTTTATTCAGCCTGTCACATGACCTGTTTCACCTGTGTGGCTTCTTCAAGTTTACAGAGGCTAGAATCCAGGTTGGTGTGGTTCACTTTCTGAATAGTATGCAAATTAGCCTATGGAGGTACCCGGTATATAGAACATTTCCCAAATATGAAAAATGGAATGTAAAGAGCTCAATTGAACTAAATAGAAGTCAGTACCTGCAATCCTTCATTGATATTGTCATATTTACTGTACTGTCATCTTTAATTTGTTGGAGGATTACATCTTTGTGGATTCTTCTGATGAATCTTCTATCAAGGTGCCTCCCTCTATGAAGGTGGCTTCTTCTATCATTCACTGATGAAAATCCTTAAAAGAAATTTTTCATGCAGTGTGGCTCCAATTTGCGTTGCCTGAGAAAAAAATATTGGACAAAGTTTAATAATATAATATAATATGCAAGTTGGTATGTGGCATGCTACAAGGATCATTGCTGAATCAAGATTGGAAACAGTTTGCTTCTGTCGTTGTTTGTACAGAAACTTGATGGCTGTAACAAGATGACCTGCATCAAGTGCCGTGCGTACTTCTGCTGGCTGTGTGGCATGATCCTGCACCACAGCAACCCTTACGGACACTTCAACAGGCCGGGGTCCAAGTGCTTCAACCTGCTGTTCCAGGGGATGGAGGGGGAGGCAGGGGAGGAGGGGGAGTTTGAGGAGGAGGGGGAGGACTGGGATTGGATCGTGTTTGCATGATGGACAGATGATTACTGTACATCATTTTATATTCGCGGTAGCAAAATTTCGCAGGCTGAGAAAAATGTTCGCAGAACTATTCGCGGTGGCCACAGATGCAGAATAAGCAAAATTGGCGAATTATGTGCAGAAGTGACTACGAAAACTGTGAATATAAAATTACTGCGAATATAGTTATTTACAGTATTTGCAGGACTGTTGTGATTGACGAATGTGATTTCTGATTCACAGAAAAGCTTACAATAGGAATGAGCTTTACAAGGTTGCAGAAAGTTATTGAGAGGAAATAGCAATCTTTGAAATCAATTTTTGTAGTATTGGGAAATAAATGTAGCTTTACTTCACATATAATTTTTCTCGAGGATAATATGTTTGACAGAATGTGATACTTACAATGAAAAGGTTTTGTAAAACCATAATAATCTGTAGTACAGAGCATATACATGTGATACTTTATAATGTGTACCTATTATACTATAATTGCAATTTTTTCTTGTTGACCTTTTGGAATATTTACAGATAGAATAAGCTAATGTTAAACATGTCATGTCTACACATTTGTTAACGTGAATATTTTAAACAGAATCTGAAGAAAATACATTTGTACCATTTACTTTATATATTAATAGGCACAATACTTTCAAGGAGTTTCATATCAATGTATCAGATATACCAAATAAGTGCACTAACTTACATGATGCTGCAAAAAGGAGAAGACAGTTATAATTTAAACAACTGTAATGTTAATGTTAAGTTATGTGCATGAACCTTCTCCCTGCTGCTTTAACTTGTAACCAATAGAACTTTGGTGCCAAAAAGCTACGTGAAATGAGAGATGAGGTTAATTGAAAGCTTCGGCAACTACAATGATGTTTTAGTAGACTTATGAATTATGTACATGGTAAATATTTCTTGAAATATATAAATAATTATATTGGCAAATCAAGGCATCAATCAAGTCTAAATAAACAAACAGTACTACAAAGGCAAAGTCTTGTATTTATTAATATGTATACTCATGTACATTAAAAAAACACTAGAGCTGATCTGGACTAGTGAAAGAAACTGCACACTCCATATAAATTACTGCATACTCCATGTAAATTATGATACCAATATGACACAAAAATATAATACTTTTATTTGTGCTATAAAACTGCCAGTCATGTGTGTGACTGTATGTAATAAGGTTCTATAATTAGTTAAGTCAGAGGATGCCACTGTTCCACGTACGTCCCTGCATTGCAGAAGACCTCAGACCAGTGCTGCAGCTCTGTTGTACCAAACTCCCATCCCAGGCTCACCTGTCAAAAGGGTTAAATGTTTACTTTGATTCAATGCATGATATAGAGAATTAAGAGTTTTGGAATCATTAGAATCTCGAACGTTATGCTGATCAACTGAATAACCAGAAAATAGAGTCTCAGAGGAAAGTGTTAAAGGAAGATATAGTTTGATTCTAGTCTTCCTCACAGCCTTATGCCTGTGTATAAAATTATTAATCAAATCACACTTCTAGCTACAGCACTTCCATGTGCATTCTTTGGAGAAGGGGGTCCCAAGTGAAACAGCCCCTGGCAGCAAGAGATTAATATGTAATGCAATTAACACTGCCTTGTGTTTCTATGTCTTTGTTCTTATGCTGCCTTTTAAAATTGATGGAGACAAGAAAATAAACTGGTGTGGTTGAAAAGAAAATGAAGTAGGTGTAGGTGTCACATGCAGTCAACCAAAAATGTTACCATTTCTTGTTCAGGGATTAATTGTAATTTAACCTTAGGCCACACCAATTTAATTTCTTGGTTAACGGATTCGCCGCTTCATTTTTTTCTGATTTGCAAATAAAAATAAAAATCCAGAATCAACTGCAAAATGCTCATATTTTACCCTGAACAGTTGAAAATAGACCTTTTCATCCTAGTTGTTACAATTATTCCATCTTTCAATGCAATGGTATCATTAAAAGTTCAAAATTCATTGTTTAAATTTTGAACCAGCCTGGTGTGTTGACTTCATGGCTCCTATCGTACCATTTTGGGCCATAATACGATGCCTAGGCCTGTTTTTATTTTTATTTTTTTTTCGCCCGCCCGCTCCATTATTTTTCTGGAAAAATCCGTTAACCAAGAAATTTAATTGGTGTGGCCTTAGTATATTGTATGTAACCTGAATGCTGCATGTGATTACTGTTAAATCCTTTCGTCTTACCTTCCCAACAGTGATATTTCTGTGCATAGTCTGTTTCTCCATGAGTTTGACTGTACAAGAGATGTTGGGCAGGTTGGACAACATTCTGGACAGGTCAAAGTAAAGATGCTCCTCCCATTGAGGGTCATCGGCAGTAGTGGTGCAGAGCTTTGTCTTCTTTTTGGCCTTTCTGTTGTCATCACAGTACAGCTCCACTTTAACGTAAGTGCCTTAAATATTGAGAAATGTGGTATTAGCATCATGTAACCATATGATCATGATATACATTTATAAGGATGGTAACCATTGGAGTGCACTGGGCTGTTTAAGCATTTGTGTTTCTACAGAGTGTCCCTGGTTTAACTTGTCACAGAAGATTTTAAACAAAAGCAATTGATCAAGATGGTTCAGGTACCAGACTATAGAATCAGCAGTGTGATAAGATTTCAAGTTGAAGGACATGAAAAGTATTGCAAAAACTTTCTACATATCTCAGTGATCTTAATCTTTTTCCACTTCCAAGGCATTTCAGTACACCATTTTCTATTTCATTCTCTATTACTCTATGTAATCTAGCTAAGACTTACTTCTTGGTCCCTTGAGGTTTGCAGGCCTGGTGAGGTCCTGCGCCCTGAGAATCTGGAACACCAGCCGCTTTGCTGTCCTCATGTAACACACTGAAAACAGCAGCTCTCCTATCTCACTCTAATGGGGGAAACAAAAACAAGTCTCAGAATGCTAGCAAAAGGCTGCAAATAAAGAGCAACAGTCTCTGAATACTTTAATTTTTGCTTGAAACTTTTTTATTCCTGTTCAACATCACTTATCACTATTCTTTGCAATTGCACATGCAGATGGCCCCATTATGTCATCTTTCAAAACAAAGTGTTAATAAACTGTACGTTGATTGGACAAGGTGTCAATTCTGTCTACATTCTTAGCATTCCAGTGAAAAGTGGGGACTACCCTTGACCTAATTACCTTTTACAAGTCAGAAGTCCAGAGATGTGCTGCCATCCAGACCAGTTACTACTGTAGTTTTCTAATTAGACAGTTAGGAAAGCAATTGCACTTCTATAATCGCAAAGAATTAATGCTCCCTTTCCTTTTAGAGAATGAAAATAGCTGACAGTGTACCTTTTCTTTCTTTGGAGGCCTGAGTTGAAGCCAGATGTTCTGTTCTTTACTGAGATCCAGCTTGCTGAGATCTATGTTCACCTGCCCCAGGAACTTTCTCCTCTGTTCATCCTCGTATGACAGAACCACCAGTTCTGCCTTTCTGTTACACATGCTCTCATACAGCATGTCAATCACAAATGTCTGGTTGAAGACAGGACTCTGAAAACATGCCATTGATGAAAAATAGAAGTTAGAAAGAAAACCGGCAGTCAAATTTATTTCAAATTCTCCACCATAAGAACTATCTTAATTTCAGCACCAGGGAGAGACATTGCATGGGGAATTTAGAGATGTTATGAGATTTCAGCCACACTAGCAGAAGTATTTTTTCTGTACTATCTGGCTCAAAATTGGAATGGAGAGCATTTCAAATCTAACTCTAACTAATTGGTGTTTTATATTGCAATATTCAAACAGATTCCTAATTACTAGGATTGATATCTTTAGTACGGAGCTACAAGACAGTTTTCCCTTAGGATATTTTCCTTGTTCTTCCATTGCTGCATACACAGTGAATCCCCCCACCTGTGTGCCCATGACATGTTGTGTAGTGAAGCCATCCCTGTGTCCAGGCATGATCCAGCCCCGGACATACGGGTTCACTGTACAGGTAGTGGTGTTGTCTTGGGTACCGTTTGGCACTGACAGATCTACTGCCTGTAAAAAGAAATTTAAGCATTTTATAAACTTGGCTACTATCCTCATTAGATGCTTCACTGAAACAACTCCAACATATTGACAAGTCTTCATGTGAGATGAAATATGGAAAATAACATTTAATATTGACTGAATCCTTATAATAATATTGCATATTCCTGCCCAGGAGGGCTAACTGTATATTGTGATCATATGTGGTCTAGAGGATTTAAAACATGGAGTATACTGAAATGCTAGATTCTAATGCTAAATCTACGTATTAAAACAACACTGTGTACAATCATTCAACTACTGTTAATTGCTGTTTCTTGAAATACATGGAGACATGCAGCATACTTTGTCTATGTGATGTTGTTTCCTATACCTGAGCCACAGTGATTGACAGCTGTGCATGCCCCGTGTCCCTGCGACACTGCAGGATGATGTTGAGCTGTCCCAGGTACGGAGCAGACCTGCCGTCTGGTGAGGTCACCTGCACCGCGGGCTGGCTCAACCTGGGCGAGGCTCCACTCAACTGTGGAGACTGTTAGACCAATTTGTTGGAGATGAGTGCTTGTGTGTGAGTATCATATCCAAAATGCCATTAGCCTTGGTACCATCCTGGTCCTATTTTCAGTACATTCAACAACTTTTGGGAGACGACTACAACCGTCAGTGAAGCAGATAGCCAACCTTGCTAGCGACAAAGGGAAGTGGAGGGCTCTTGCAGTCACCTGTGCTACAGCCGACCAATGATGATGATCCTGGTCTAAATTAATGTCTAGCATTTCCCAGTTTGATACTACAGCCTTTCCCTTATTCCTATTTCCCAGGTTTTGTACAGGAATACAACAATCCTTACTCTTACCCCAGGACTTCTTTCCTCCATAGAAAGTCTCCGTCTCACTGTGGATGCAGATGTGTCGGGGGTAGTGATGATGTGGCCATCCTCTCCCACCAGAAAGAACTTCTTGGGCGTAGCAGGTGTGGCAGAAGTGCTAGGCGGGGCGGACATTACCTCATCGTTGTCCGACCAGTTGTAGCTGATCTTGTGATCTGATAAGGAGAGTGTGACACATCTAAACATTAAGGAGAACACAACCCCAGACTGTAATGTGCTGTTAATAAAAGTTTTAGTAACTAAAACTGCATCTGTTTTTGTGTCACTTTCAGCTATACGTTTGTCCATGGTGGGTGTTGCTTGCTGCTTATTATCATTTATAACTATCTTGAGAAAGACAAATTAAGTAAAAAACCATCTGGTTGAATTCTCCCAATGGTACAAATGATGCTTATAGACCATCATGTTGACAGATTACACATCACAGTAACTGTTATACACTGTATGTTGTCTCAGAGACCTGCTGCTGATGCAGTTTTTATTTGTGCCAGTAGGTGGCATCCATAATCTCATAATCTCAGTTACCTTCCTCTTGTTCTCCTAGTACATCCAGGCTGGTCATAGACAAGGACCTGGGTTGTAGCTGTGGGCTGGGTGGAATGACAGGCATCATGGCCAGGGCCATGGGGGAGGCCAGTAGCTGGTGTATGCCAACATCCTGCTGGTGTACTGTAGTAGTAAAGATGAGATTCCATTTATAGATACTAGTACATGATGTAGTTGATGGTTTACAAAGTTAGGCCACACCAAGTAAATTTTATGGATGACGTCCTTTGGAGACCCTAAATCTAATGCGAGAGGGCGAAAAAATAACAAGAAGGGCCCTAAAAACAAGATGCCTAGATTAGAAATATACTAAGAGACAACAAATGTTAGGACACAAATTGAATGAGATGACACAGTGTAACAAACAAGAAGTCTTTTATTCATCATCAAAACAGCAATAATATATCAGGTGGAACAGCAGTTGTCGTCCTGTGCTTTGGGGAGACAGATGGAGCGGTCAGCAAGTTTCTTCAAATGTGGCAGCATGTACTGAACTGAATTCCTAATTGAAGTCATGATTTCCTTGCTTGATGCTTCATAAGCTTTGGTCCGTACAAACCTATTTGCAGCACTGTCGTGACTCTTTGGTCATAGTTACAGGCCAAAATCAATGCGCGCGCGGACGTCATCCATAAAATTTACTTGGTGTGGCCTTATCAAGAAAATCTTGGTGCAATCTACCCTAGCTCCAGGACACCAGGAATCAAACCGGCACCAAAACCAGGCAGCCAGCTTACGAATTGCTAACTGCTAGGCTGAAAGGTCTAGACACGTACAAGAGGTCTGGACCTTGTCAGACAAGTCAGTTGGTAACTTCAGAAGGGCAAAATAAGCTGGAAATCTTAACAGAATTTTATTAAAATTTTTACTGACCAAATTTTACTAAAATTTCATCTCACAATGCTCTGCTTAATTAGTTTACTGTAGTCCATCTCATGGCACTGAGTAGCACTGCTCCTACCTGCAGGTGGTTGTAGATATCCTCCCCTCAGTACATCCGGCATGATGGGTGGGTGGGGAGGGCTCCTGTCAGCCTGCTGGGGGATGGTGAACAGCGGCACCTTCCCTGCCGTTGCCATGGGAATGGCACTCTGTCTCCGTGGGACGGTATGGTCTGCGTAGGACGGAGGATGGATGGGGCCGTTCGCTGGTGAGCCGGCTTTGTCTTCAATAGGACTGTAGGAAGGATGCTTCGCTCGCCCTAAAGTGACGGGAAATTTATTTCAAGACATTGTATCCATGGTAGAGTCACTCAGGCACCTAAGTTTGTCTATGACTATATAGGAGTCCAATTTAAGCAGGTTAGCTTACAATAAACAGAATATAAAATGCTATAAGTGTTTACAACTACTGTTACAACACGTATCTGACAAATTCTATATACTATTGTCTTTCATAAAATTTATGTAAAAGTTACCAATAAAGTTAGTGACTGTATTCTATCTTCCTACACTTTTGAAGAGACCCCTAAAAATGTCTTACCACTGGCAGACATTATTGGCGCAGTGTTATAATAGGTAATACAATAATTTTATTTCTGCACCTTTGTTTTTGTATCACTATCATGACATGGTCAGAAGTATTTTGCCGTACCTGTCCATTTTGCGAGCCACTTCTTGAGCGAACCCTTGTGGCAGCAGTCCTCCGTACACCACAGAGCGCCGATCTTCCACAGCACGGCTATCGTGGCCAACGATGCAAACACAAGACAGGCGGTAGAAACGCCCACTACCAGCTCCACTGGTACTGCATCTGATCATGAATATCATTAAGTGTTGTTAGTAACAAATTACAAGTTTTGTAACAAATCACAACCCCACTTTCCATAGAAAATTAAATAATAAACCTTCAATGTCTCAACCGGTGAATGTGAAATAACTGTGGAAATGCACCTATTTTCACAGGGACTTAATTTGCTGAAAGGCGATTTCTGCTTTTGAAATGATTTTGTTCTAACGTTACAATACTAGTAGTCAATGCAAATGGATATTCATGCTGTCATGATTTTGTAGTAGAGAGTGCCACCGCAAAAACTGCGAAAAAAAAAACCCCACCACAAATGTTTCAAAGTTTACGGTTGCTGTAGTGTAATTCTCTGAGACAAGTCAGGCAGTACAGAATAGTCTCCAAGAACAATCTCGGGGCTAAAGAGAACAAATTGGCTGCCTGTAACCAGGCCACCTGTAACCATTGGCAAATGGTAATTTGGGTGGCCAATTTGATTGTCCCCTGCCCCCGCAGAAATACCCAACAAATTAAAAGTAACTGTAACCAGTATAACGGTTGTAAGGAGTCATGACACTTGTCAACCTGCCCATTGTGTGTGTAGCACACAAATGGGGCACACATAAGTGGTGTGTCTACATTTGTACCTCAGGCATGCCAAACAAAAACATTAATACCCATGCAAAAAGATCAGTTAAAATCAGCCCAAAGAACCTGCTAGTAGGTAAAAAATCAGCATGTCCCATTTGAGATATACATGTACATGTACATTGTATCTCGCAATATCCTTTAGTATAAGGGGTGGCCATATCTTCACCTAAAGAAAACATCCTGGAATCTTACCTGGTGAAGTTGTTGTTTCGTCCATCTTGTGACGGACTCAAAAACCACCCTACCTGCCGTTGGTAGAGTTTTCTGGACTGGACAATGTACACCTGTGGTCAACCAAAAGAAGAAGAGTTGGCTCCAGTAATCAGCACAGACAGGCCTGTGTTTTTCTGTGTGAAAGTTCCTTGTATGACGTAGATAAGGTATTCAAGTTCCTAACACCGTGCCTTGTGGCTTTCCAGGTCAAGCATGAAACAACATTCTCGCACGACTCGTCCCTTGGTTACTGCATGATTATTTGCCACTTATAGATGCTAACAACTGTTTGCTTATATTCTAAACGTGAGGAAAAACTCTTCTGCCTGTCAACTCTGGCATCACCTAGAGAACATGAGAACCTAGAGACATCACCTAGAGAATGCTAAGTTAAACTTTGGAACATGTTCAGGCATACGGGAAGTAGCTGTTGGCTTTGCTTACCTTGAAGTCACACCATGACAATAATGATGATCCATTCTGGTGCACCACATGGCTTTTGTGCACTATTATTAGCAGTTAAGTCCACATATTGAAAAAGTACAATAAAAAAGACCCAAACACCCTGTTGTGGTTGTTAGGAGAAATGTAATATCCTGTTTTTGAACCCAGTCGCTGGCTGACACCGGTCTGACTGAAAAGAGCAAATGAGGCATGACTGCACGCAGGTATGTTTAACTAGAATGCCCAGAGGAAGTTGTTGACGCAGGATGGGGTGTCTTTTCAAGACGGTCAGTGATGCAGATATAAGCGGTTCACTTCCTTCTGAGCCCATGTCACTCGCATACCTGCATTTTGAGTGTGGCCTCACTTGTCCAGCTAAAAAGCTTAAATTACTACCACAGACTATATGTGGGTGAATTAATTTTTGGGAAACAGATGGCATCCATACAATGACTTTCAAAGTCTGCGTGGCCTTACAACCATTTAAGGTTAATGGCAATGTTAATAAGTCATTTTACAAACAAAACCCTTGAGAAACTACATCATAAAATAATGTCACATTTCTTATACAATTGATATCAATAGAAGTGTAAGGCAGAAAAAAATACACAGGAAAACATGAAAACAGTTCAAAGTCTTGATAAATGCTTCTTTTATTTCTCATATGCATGTTGAAAGCTTAACAATTTCCCTGGACATACACAATGTACATGTACATGGTACCTGACCGAGGTTCTCCCTGATACAGACCATCATTTATCAGACCATGATATTGCACAATTACCAAATACACGAAGAAAACAATATCACACAATGATTGTGGTTAAACATACAAACCATATAATAACATTTAAACGTACAGTAACTGTACATTTATTCATTAGGAATCAACACTGAGAAAAACAACATGACCTCCATTAAACATTGCTACACATTGATATCCATATAAGTTGGATTGTACAAGGTGGGAATTGGCAACAATTGATACCAATTCAAAAAATAAATACATTGTAATTCATAGCTACCTAGACATACATAATTGTTCAGGAGTTAAGAGGCAATAACTTACATTTTGTATTACAACCATACCATCTTGAACTTAAAAAAAAAAGAACATGGAAAACAATTCTGTTTCAGACATTTTAAAAAAGCTTACTGGCATTGCTATTTATTTTCTCTGTGCAAACAATTACAGTAGACCAATCAGATTCAATATGATCTCAGATTACAATAAGGCCACACCAATTTAATTTGTTGGTTCTCGGATTCACCTCTTCGTTTTTTTCTGATTTGAAAAAAAAAAAAAATTTGATTCTGGTCCTGAATCAACTGAAAAATGCTCATGTTTTGCCCCCCAACAGTTGAGGAAAGTCCTTTTCTTCCTAGTCATTACAGTTTTCCCATCTATCATTGCAGTGGTTTGATTAAAAGTTCAAAATTCAATGTTTAAATTTTAACCCAGCCTTTTGTGTTGACTTCATGGCTCATTTTGTAGCATTTAAGCCTATAATAGGATGTCTAGACCTGTTTTTATTTTTATTTTTTTTCGCCCTGTCGCTTCATATTTTTTCTGAAAAAATCCGAGAACCAACAAATTAAATTGGTGTGGCCTAAAAGGTCAGCAATAAGAGCTGTTTCTGACAAAACAGATGTATCTAAATCAGCTCCATACTGCTCAACCTTCTTCCTGTTGAGCCATGGCCTTTTGGTGTATTGGATACAGGGTTAGGCAGCAGGAAGAAGGTTTAATTTCTCACCCATCCTCTATCATTCTGCCCTTTGCTTTCCATATTTTCAATCATAGGTCGCATACTCTTTCTCTCACCCTTCTCGGTTCTTTTGTTTTCACTCAAACCTAACGAGCTTTGCTGCATTTCTTAGGTTACAACACAAAATTTCTCAGCTCCAGAAACTGTTCAGATTCCCCTTTGAATCAACATGTATGTAATGTACAGTCAACAGGATGGTTCCGATTACTTGTATACATGCAATCAAAATTAGTACAAATTTGCTTGGCTAGCATCAAGATTTCATGTACATGTGTAATGCTCACATGACTAATGACAAACGATGGAAGCAAATCATGGCATTTTTTGTACATGTGCCAGTGATATAAAAGTTACATGGTCCCAACAGTACACAACATGTTGTTCTGCTACAACTATAGGAATACTGTTTTCCACTGATAAAGATAGAGACCTATCAGCTCACTATTGTGTCTATCATGGCTGTCATTGCTATTACGTGTATTAGCAACTGTGCACCCAGTAAACTTCACATTGTCAACAACAAGCCCTTGCACACAACTTTCCCAAATTAGATTAGTAAGAAGTAACAGTTCATCTATTGTTAAAAGCAATTATAATGGTGTATTTGGAGACCACAAAACAGTAGCATGTGTACCAAAAATAAAAACCCTTTAAAAAATATCAACAAAATTTGTGCTAAAAAAGATTGATAACTAGCTATAGACATTGCCAGGTAAAAAAAATAATAAATTCAAAAACTCCAAATTAGACAATTCATACAAGAATTTTTTTCTCTCGCATAGTATATCAAGTGATAGCTTAAGTTTTTTTCTTGACTCCTAGTCTTATATGTATATGCTCTACCTGATAAACTCACCATGGCTACACAAAGGAATGCAAGTAGTACCAGAGGAGGGACCGAACACACGTGTGTAAGGCGTCCCGGGGATGCTCTAGTGCCATCGCCATGGAAACAACACTGTGAACGGAGAAGGACACAGCCTCACCAACACAGACACAACCAACAGCTCGCTTTCAACTCACAACATGGCAATTTCCACAGTTTACATATTACTTTTAATTAACATTTAAGCTCTTCATTTTGTGCAATCTAAAATGTTTATTAAAAATGAACAGGACCCTGTTTGGAACTAGGACCGAAGGAAGATTTTTCTGATAATAATTTTTAAAACAACAGTGCTTAGAATATTTTATTCTAAACTCTAGTTGAACTGGGTTTCTTCCCCATTTTCAGAACCAAGCCAAAGAGAAGTTTGTTACTTAAAAACTGTGATTGAACAAACCACTCTTAATCTAAGCAGGGTTCAAACATGCAATAGAAAATGCAATGCCACAGTTACATGCAGTAATTTTAACAATATTGCCCCAAACCTTGATTTCCACTAGGTTATACACACTGTACACAGTTTTACATCACATACATGTATACACAGGCATTTATGTGTATATAAGTCTATACATGTATCTTATTCTATAGTTATTAACTACACATTTATTGGCATTTATCAACTTTGATATTGAGGTTTTACATTGCTACTAAATTTCTTAAGTACTGTGTCTATCCATGCTTGCTATACACACCTATCTATGATTGTTATTTTGTACATTATCATCTGGTGAATGTATTGGTGAATTGCACTCACGATGTTACATTATACCAAGGAGCTAAAAATTGCGATCTTCAAGCTCCTGGATTATACAGATGTCATGAGAGTTAGTCTATGTGTGCCATACTTATAATGATGGTCTACATTGTCAGACTCTACAACATTGCCACATGATGAAGCACAATGTATGATCCTATATCAGTGATCATGAATAAGCACATGAGAAGTATTGGCCATACATTTTCTCTGGATAGTCCTTGAGTGTTAAAACTGTCAACTATATGGGTTACATTTTCAACAGTCCAACCTGCAAGATACGCATGTTAAACCAAGGAGCTTAAGAATCACGTGATTTTTAAGCTCCTTGGTTCAATGTACAAATGGGCTACATGTATAAAGTAATGCATGGGTTTATACCTTTGATAATCTTAATCTATATGTAAGATACCTCTTCTCTGGCCTGGTTGGCCAAGAACTGCTTTTGTTTTATACCAGTCCTACAGATCCTGAATAAATCCTTCTGTTTAGTAATTTTTTTGGAGCAAATGGCCCCATGGCTAATGGTTACACTATGGATTTCTACTATCTGTTTTTATATGATTATTAGTTGTCCAACCTGGGACACTGATGCCCAACAGTACACAGAACACTTAAACTTTAAAATTTGTTACAGACATGTGAATTATTGTTAACAAATGTTAGCCAGAGGATGAAGTGATGTTACCTTGTACAATGTACAAATGTAATCTACATCATTAGCTAATAATGTGTTACTGCGTGATCACATCATCACATGAGTGGACTTAAAAATGCATGTAGTGAAGGGTTCATATAATGCATCTTTTTAATGTCTTTCAGGCCTACTGTATTTTGTGCTAGCTAGAGTAGGTAATTCCTTCCACTCCATGGCATCCCTCCCCACTGTGCCCTTCGTGCACTACGTGGCAACATTTCCATAGGTGCCCTCAGGGGGGCGGTAATTCTTGGGGAAGGCCATAAGCTGTAAGGAGTGGAAAGCGTACTTGCGGGATCCGATGTTCTTCATCGTGTTCTCACGACGACAGCCTTCACTGTAACGAGGAGCAGGAGAACGATAAGTAACTTCGGCAGGAGTGTGAGGGTCGGCCACACGCGCCGCGCCACCATCACGCAGTGGCGGCAATTAACGGGGCGCAGGCACCTGTTTGGAGGCGTATTCTTGCGGATAATGGCCCAGGACAGACCGGAACTGAAGACAGATGGAGAAGGGCAGGACAAGAAATCAGCACCTTTGCAACTGAACTAGCATGCTGCTGCTTGGTAAATCAGCGCAGTTTACCACAAAACCAAACAGATTTCCAGCAAACTTTGTCAAGAAAAACACACTCAGAAAAAGATACGGAATGGTAAGGCAAACAGTTGTTTCAGTCAGCCACTAAGTCATAACTAAAGCTGCCATGCTGTCAACTTTGAGCTCAAGTGACGTTTGTGACTATTCTTTTTAAAAAGTTCTGTTTTACAGTAGACAAGTCATGCAAAAGGGTTTTAGTTTTTAAAACTTGAATGGAGTAGAATTATAGAGCCTTTATTTTTGTCGATAGAGCATGATCCTTCCGGATGTTTCTTCAGTCCCAACTTCAGTTGCAATGGCTCTGATCACGGCACAACACACGGGAGGGTGGGGGGCGGGGGCACACAAGTTATGGCTGTAGGGTGTTAACACACAGGTGCTACATGGTAATCTGGTGACAGCATCAATATTTCACACCAAAACCTGGGAAACAAGAAGGGGGCACACAGCCAGCTTAGTAACCAACCACAGCTACTCTAAGTAAGGAATGCCTACAAAAATAGAACAAATTTTGCACCAATAATACATGCAGTAACATATATGTTCAAACTTGACAAAAAAATCTAAATCATGATCTTATATCATAATACATTAAATGTAAAGAGTGGATAATCATCATTTAAATGTAAGTGCATGCATAACTTTTCAGTGACACATAACTGTGCCATGTCTATGACATAATATTTACATGAGAATTAGAAATGATATCAAGTCAAGGTTAAATACAGGATGCACATTAAAATGTTGATAATCATGCAAACAATGTAATATGTTAACACTATGAAACAATGCTGGAATGGGTTGTGAGAGTAAAGGTAAGATAAATCTAATATGATGTACATTTGTAAGCATGACTGGAAGATGAGATGAGAGGGAAGCAAGCAGCATCAAAGAAACCTAAAAATCTACACTGCTTACTCTATGTAGTAGTAACATGTTAGATCCATGCAAACTTCATGAAACAGGAGAAAGTGTCATGTAGCTGTTGAACATGCTTCCTGTCAAGGAAGACTCTTTGTATTCTATCAAATCTAACAGGAGTCACAGAGATCCTAGCTTCCTCCTAAATTAATTATAGCTCTCTTGGTATTACCACAAAGTCAGCTAAGTTATAAAATTATGTTTAATATTAGCATTATCAATAAGTACCAATGTCTAAACAGCAGAGTATAGTGTATAGCTCCATCATGCATGTTGGAGAACTGAAAGCCTTACACACTTACCTTCGCATACAGTCCAGTGCGTTGTTGAATATCTGTGGCGCCATCATGTGCTCTAGCTGCAGGACTGTGCACTGCTCCAGGGTGACAGACATGGCGGTCCTGTCCTTCGCACTCTTACAACCCGTGACTCGCACACCATTCAGACGTCTGCAGATCTGTGGGCAGCGGAACAGTTTATTCAGTGGTAGAAAATTTTTTTCAGTCTTCTGCTGCTTCTTCGGAATCTTTATTATTCCAGAATGTCAAAATTTTGTTATGCAACTTGGAATAAAGTAAGGAAAGAAACAGGGAGGAGGAAAGTGAAGTTTGCTGACCTCAGCGCTCTGTTGAAGGATCTCCACATTTTTGCTCTTGCGGATGTGCACGTTGTTCTGTAAGAACTGGAGCAGACCGGCCAGTCTGGTCTGGTGCGGCTGGTCAACATCAGCTGTAGTAAGGGAACATCAGAATGGACTTACATCTATTCAAACAAAGGACCCACTTAAAACTGGGTACATGCACTACCTGAGCATCTAGACACAAATCAAGTTGTTTTTTTTGTTAAGGGCTATAAGAGCAAGATTCTGATGATAAGCAAGAGAAATCTTACTAACCTGGTGCTGGCATCATCTCCATGTACTGCTCATAGTAGGAGTTCAACCGACTGAAGTTTTCAATGTTCACGATCTCTTGTAGAGATGTGTTCCCAAATCTACAGGAGAGCAATGTCACAAATCAGCTTAAAGTAATCAGTGAAAATAACTACATCTCTAATGGCAAAATAGAACAACAGTGGCAACAGCAACACTAAAACATGGAAACTTCAAAATTATGGCATGATTAACGTTTCGTAATTGTATAGCAATTTTGCGGTGTAGATTAGCTACATAATTCAGTCTGCCACATCCTTTTGACTTTGATTTTGACTAATGAATTATTTGAGCAGTACTTCTCAGCCAGTGTGGCCTTCTCGTTGATGCCGACAGTGAAGAGGACAGGCTGTATTCTCAGCAGCATCCCACTTCTGATCTCCGCAGGCAGCAGGCCGTACAAGCCAGGGGGCAGCGGGATGCGCACGTTAATCCCTGTCCTGTGGGAGGGGGGCAGGAAACAGTCAAGACATATTGAGCTATTCAAAATCTTGTATTTTCCTACAACTATTGTAGAGTGGAATTTGCTAACACCAAGTACAGTTGGGGCATTATCATTTGTATATATAATAGCTTTAAACAACGCCTGCGCTTTTCTAGGTGTGCAGAAGTTGGGTGTAACAGGTGGTTTGGTATAAGATAGCTAGCTGCCACCACACTATGAGCCTTGTGTGTTATACCGAAGCGCCGGACCCTGGCTATACATGCAGCTACAGATAGTTTTAAGCAGAGTTTGTATAGATGTAGTACATAGTAAACACATTCTGAAGGATTGTAGCTCACAGCTTTTATTTGGATAATGTATATCATGGTCAGTCCAAAGAATAAATATACACAACACCCTGAAAAATATACACAACACCCTGACAGTAGAAAAGATGAGTTTTCCTCTGACCTTGTGCCTGTGAGAACTGGTAGGAGATCGTGAGTGGAAGTTGACGAGGCGGGAACGATCTTGAACGTGACGTTGCGAAGGTCGTTAATCCCAACAACCATGTCCTCCAGCATTCCTAACTCATCGGCTGAGGACAGGAAAAACAGGATTTCTCTAAATATACTGATTAAAAATACTGACTTCTTATCATCTGCTAAGGACAACAAAACCTTCTCTACACCTACTAGTAGCTCTCTAATGCCATCTAGCAGTTATTGAGAGAACTGCACAATGTCATGCATAACAACAACATCAGTACAGGTGACCATATCCTTCAAGGTCTCATTCATGAGTTTTTTCCATACATTAGAAACCATGCATTAATGAGTGACTTACGAGACCGTGTTCCCTATGATCCTACATTAAATCAATTGATATCTTTCATGCTATGTTAAGCACACTTACTCTACGTCTCATAAAAAAATTGCCAACGACTTCTATACACACAAACCCCTTTTATGGGAATTACAAACTGCAACTAGCGGCTGCCCGAAGAGGCCCTCCCGCGCTGCAAACCTACGACCGCACAACTCACAACACTGGACTGTGCACGTCCGACCTAGCGCACGGCTGCCGACAATTATGTCCTAATCAGTTACAAACAAGCTTTCACCGCTTTGACGTTTTACATCAGTTGGGATGGCTAAAGGGAAAATTCTCACCAATAAAAACACTCGTTCATACAGCCGTTTAGTTTTTGACTTGGTACTCTTTTAGGGGGTACACTCGGAGTAATACATGAATGAGACCTCAAGAATCATGTCAACAGTCTAGTGAATAGTGAAACTCATAACTAGTATGCCTTTGACTTAAGACGGTATTATCTCAAAATTTCAGTTGCTAAAGTTCAATGCATTATCTGTAGTTAAATGTGCAGTGTAAGTAAATATACATGTAACACTTGCGAAGTGATGTAGTATTTTTCTACAAATTTGAGTACAAGACCGTTCTGTGTTGTACTCTACTAACCATGAGGTGACAGCAGGCTTTCATAGTGCACCAGCAGACCGACCAGGTACAGCTGACGCAAGAAGTTCTCATCATTCAGAGACGTTCGCAGTTTGGTGATGAAGCCAGCCACAACCGCTGACAACTGAGAGTTGGAGAATAAAGCTGTTATTTTTACCATACAAGTGTTACAGGCTGTTTTTTTCTGTCCAGCTTTAACTATCCCTGACACTGAGATTGTTTGTAACAAAACAATCAACAAAGTGAATAAAGAATATTCACTCACTTGATGCTAGTTTTTATACAGTCACATTAATCAAAAGAATTCTCATCAGTGAGATTTTGTGATAAATGCTTTACTGGTACTGCCATTTGCATCTTTGTCTTTATACTGTCTATTAAAAACATAATAATTTGTACAATTATATAACAACTGACAGAAAAGGCAAAAACCCAAACTGTAAAAATGGACAACTCACTGCTTGTGAGAAGACAATGTCTCGTCGGTTCTGCAGTTCTTGGAGCTTGGAGGACACACAGCTGGTCTCCTAAATAACCAGGAAACAAGCAACACATGTTTCACTCATGATGGTCAGAGTTTATCAGGAAGAAAACCATACCCCTGCAGTAACTTCTGAATTAGAGAATCTTGTATTCTTGGAAACTCAGAGGCTTTGTTTGGCAGTGTCTTTGAAAATCAGATCATTCATGATAATTGTTTCATCACTAATTATTAATTCATAAACTGTTTGATTGAATGATTAGGATAAGTCCATTTAGCAAGCCTAAACCACCACCAGTGTGCACCACTCAAAATATTCCAAACTTGGGCTATTCCACTTAATAAGTTACAAGAGGGAGGTTAAGGAAATGAAAAAAAAAACAAGGGTTAGTGGGGTGAGGAAAATGGTACAATCAAGTGGAAAATATGCAAACTAAAATCATATAAATCATAGTGGAAGGGAGCTGGGATGGAATGGTATACGTATGACCCTCCAAAAACTTTTATAAGTGGAATAGCCCATCTATCTTGCCATTTCTGAAGTGGCTTCATCAGATTCAGAAGTTTCGGACTGGTCCATTTTGTAAACGGTGAGTCTTTTCTTCTTTGGGGTCTCAAGCCAGCAATCAAGATTTGTATCCTGAAACGTAAAACTTCCTTGTAACAATAGTCACCTTAGAACTGATCTTAAGGATCACTAAAAAGTGTGACCTTTGTCTGTTAAAAGTTATCATATGTTAGACACAGAGTAAGATAATTGTTCTTTTCTGACAGACACTTCAATGAACAAAGCTTTGTTAAAAGGACAAAACAAAGTAAAAGACGACTGGTAAGTAAGGTAGCACAGTAAATGTCTATCATTTTCTACTAATCAACAGATCACGTTATTCCTACATGATTGTTTCTTGTTTCTTCTTATTAACTCACTTGTGTCAAATTTTATGGGTTCCCTTGCATATAGAAGAAGCATACTATTAGGAGAGTATAACAGTTTCAGTTTCATCAGCATGTGCATTGTACCTGCAGCAGCAGAAAGGTGAGACTCTGCTGTACTTTCTCTGTCAGCAGGGTGACACACTGGGTCAGTGTCTGCTGGAGGGGGTACAGGGCTTCACTCCATTCTGACGCTGGATTGAAGAAAAATAATTAAACAATCAGCTGGACATAGACTCTTATATGTTACATGTAGCTTCCCTATGACAGTTGTAGCTGATCAAATAATCATACAAAACACAATGTACCAGTACACTCTAACAGACTTTGATTAAACCTTGATTTTGAAATGCACAATAAACAGCACCAAGAGATTGCTACAGCCTTGAAGAAGTAATACAAAGTACATGTAGGTAACTATGAGATGTGGGAGCTCTCCGGCTCATAATCTTTTAAACAGTGAGAAAAAAAATTTGATGAATATAGTAATATACATGCCCATCTTTAATATAATTAATATGTAAGTATTATACACACTGTAAAATGATTTTGTCATAATGTATCTATGACTTTCAGACTACCAGTACTTCATGTACTGACTTTTTCTGCCTTTTTTTGGTGTCCTGTTGATCAGGTTAGCAGGAGGCTCCTGTTGAGTCATCTGGTCCACTTTCTTGATGATACAGTCCAAACTCTTGTCCACATTCATCAGGGTATCCTCCTGTAGAAATATGACATGAGTCTGAATAAACAAACAATTGAGACCCATAACAAGAAGCTATCATTACATTTTATCCGATAACTTTTTCCCAGTGTTAACGTCACACATCAGAGAAGCCATGTGACAAGTCTCACTGGGTCAGCCTACTGAGGAAAAGCGAGGTGAGAACATTTCCCTTTTGTGTTGGAACAAAACTTTTACCTTTAAGCATGAAGCTACTTTATTTGTTCATAGGATCTTAATAGCTTTCATGACCCTACCCAGGATGACTGTGATGATTTAGGTTTGAAACTGTCCCCTTCCCAAGTCCACTTGGCTGTGGGGTCATCCTCAGTTCCGGTGGTCAGTGTGACTGAGTCACCCTCATCGTTAGGCGTGGTGGCGATGTAGTCCGGGCGCGCAGCCTTCAGGGAGTGGATGGCGTAGTCTAGTAACCTGTCCTCACAGACTGTCACCAGCTGTCGGGTCTGTTCACAGGTAAAAAGACAAAAATGGTTCAATTTCAGTTGTTCTAAAGGGTAACACTGCAACACATTGAAAAGGGGATGATCATTCTGTGGAATTTTGTTGCAGGTTATTTTCAGGACTTCCAGGTGATGAGATACACAAGGAAATTGTTACTGAAGCAACTGCATAGATTTTGAAAACTGTCAGATGCAGCTTTCAAGCAGCATCCAATACTTTTCATCAGTGACTTGTTGCTAATGATGAACAAAATCATGGCCTTTCTGTTACCTTGACACACACCTATTAGAGTGTCCGATATGATAAAGATAAGAAACAGCTCATATCATGCCAGGAGGTGAGCATGGGTTTTTTTAGATGACCGGGTTTTTTTAGATGACCGGACCTGGGCAAAATAAGCTACACTGTACTCTATCATACTCATAGTAGTCATGTACACTGCACCTTGTCCGTCAGACTGTCCAGGGCCCTTCTCATGTCTCCCGGTGCCAGGTCCTTAGCTGATCTCATCAGGCTCTCACTGTAGTACATGATCTGTGTCTTCAGGGCCTGGATACTGGACAGCAGGTCTCGAGCCTTGGCCGAGTGGCTCTGGCCGGGACTGGACCCTGACCCTGACCTGAAAAACAACAAAATGGGACCACATATTGACTCATCCAATCAGTACATTAAACTAAGAAATACTCAGCTTTAAGAGGTCAAGGACAAGTAAAAAAATCACAAGCTCCATGGCAATGACTTGATGCCAACTGAAGTAGTATGTATTATACATTGTAGTAGCTCTAATACAAAATGCAAACTGTAATAATACTGAGACACCTGAAACAACATTTTATACAGTACTAAATATACAAGATAGCCAATTAATCTAGTCTGTATATAGACATAACCCAACAATACAAAGTATATACAAAATGTACAGTACTACGTACCCTTTAGGACTGTACACGTCCTCATGTGAAGCCAGTAGTTTCTTGAGTCCGCCCTGTTTGAAGCCCTGTGTGTGGGCTGCCATGGCCCCTACTGTCACTATGTCATACACATTATCTGGAACAACACAACAACACAGCACTCCATTCACTGGGCAAAGTCATGTGCTGTTCAAGTGTAACCAAAATGCAATTTTAGCTTTTGTATACATGAAAAGGTGTTGGTATTCCTTTCATTCTGATGATGTGACTCAACTGAAAGACAACAACAACTGACAAAAGATGATTGGGTAAACTATTGCTAATACATTTGCCAAACGTTTAGTTAAGTTTAGCCACACATCAAATTTGCGTCATTTATTAGTAAGAGAGAGGAAAATAGCTTATGAAACACTCTTTGCGAGGTGTTACCATTATTAACAACAAACATGGTTAAATCAGCACCAAGGACAGACACATGGTACAGATGAGGGACTAGTGAGATGGGATATTATCCATGTAGACAGCTAGCCTGCTGTCACCTAATCATAGTTTTGATCATAGTATGGATGAATAACAGTAGGCAGGAGATCAAGTCAAGATCACGAGCACCTCAGACCTCATACACTGGGCTTCAAATGAAAGCTCAGAATGACCATTTCTGGCAACTGCACACAAACCAATTTTCATTCAGTAAAACCTATGGCTATTCATGTTTGACGATTCAGCTTGATTAATCAGTTTTATTTGTTGAGATGTATGAAGGTTGCAAAAGATTTTTATCAACATGTCATCTGTATGATTATAAGCTAGCTGATATCATGCAATGTACATGCATTACTGCTACTAACAACATAATGTACAGTACTACAGAGTGAAAAGACTTGTGAATATAAGGCAACATTTAGCCATTCTACATGTACTGTAAGTCAAGGCCAATATAACAAAAGACACGGTGACAACACCAGTGAACCTTTAATGAACTAACTGTCTTTAACTTTTTATATATGAAAACAGATACTGACAATGACAACCACACGTGCAAAGACTGCAAGAATCAATGTAATGATAACATGCATTAAGTCCAGTATTGTCCATCAGCATGCAAATCTACACCCTGCATGGTAGATGAGACATTTGACACTTACGGGGCAAAGAAAATCAGAGATGATTGGAGCTTTTTAAGCTACATTTGCTGCACTAATTGCTTTCTTTTCCTTTACACACTTCCTTCTACGACATACACTCTACAAACTAACACAGACACAGCCCATCAAGCTTTGGAGACTCACGTATGTCCGTGCTTTCCCCTGTATTATGGGGCAGTGTGGCAGACGCTACAGGCAAGGAGAGAGAAAGAGAGAGAACACAGCATTCTTCAGCGATGTCTTCCACACACCGAGACAAGCACGTGCTAACCTCTACCACCACACAGAATGCCACACACTGTCCAAATACACACTGGGTAAATTGTGGACCCATCAGTTAGTCATGTCAGCTAAGCTAAATAAGATGTTATGGGATGTAGTTTAAAGGCATACGACATGAAAGATGGTAAGAATGACAGTGCACACGTATGGGTTAATATAAAGTTGTAATGTTACAGGTACAAACCTATCTCTTCCTCTAACAGCTGAACCCTCATCCTCTGCAGGTGAAGGTTTAGTGGCACAAACTCAAACCGCTTGTCCTCCTTCAGGCAGCTGGCTTTGAAAGCAGGGCCTGGGGGTTGATTTGAACCCAAAATTCATCAAGCTCTCAAACAAAGGAATTCAATGGATATTGAATCATACATGTATGTTGACTAATATAGCATCAATATTGTCCTTAGGATTTATGCTATGTAGACTGTCTCTGAAACCCTTACAGGGTTCCCTTTCAAACTCTGAGAAAGTGTTACTCACTCACTTTTCTGTATGTATAGCATTTCTGTATTTTAATATTTTAACTCTGATGGGAGGGGCAATGGGGAATTGGTCTCTAGGTTTAACACAATAACATCTTATTTCCACACAAGAAAAAGTAAAGCTCAGCTCATGTTTGCAGCCTTACCCCTGTATGTCTGCAGGCCATGCAGGGCCTCCGTGTACTCATGTACCAGGTGGAGATGGTGGTCCAGTAGACTCTTCCTCACCTGCTCCCAGTGGGGCGTCAGCTGGATACACACAGGGTAATGTCAAATATCACACCATATGTACAATGTAACATCTACATGTAACAATAATAACAATACACATTCAATCATGTTTTAAAAATCGGGCAAAGGTACAAGATTATTACTACAAAATGTATCATTATCATCATACAATAAATTGGATAGTGAGTAACATGAAGATGAAAGACCAATTATTGATGTCTCAATTAACCTTACCTTCCCCAAGTCTTCAAGTTCAACAACTTGCTGTTTCTCTTCATCAATCAGTATTTTGCTGTCAAAATATTACAATAAAAGCTATAATTGCAATTAAGTCACAATTGATTCTAGGAAACAATTACATTTATGATACATAAGGTATTCTACAAACAACATTTTTACGGAGTTGTCTTTCCCTTTTATATTGAGGGCATGGTAGGGATTTTCTTAGTATTTTAAAAGTTACCATCAAGTACTATCATATGATATCTTAACTGAAAAGCTGACTTACAGAAGTTGGATGGGAATGTGAAAAGAAAGCTTGGTCTCAGCCATAAACTCCTGAACACTTAACGTTGATCCTGATGTGGTGGGGAAGCGATAGGTCTTGGTGGTGGTACTCTCATACAGGGCCTGGTGGAACACAAGGGACACCAGTTTACATGATATTGTATATCTTTTCTACATAATACACCATACAAGAATTAGCATACAAAAGCAAAACAGTAATGGAGAAGTACTTCTTGTGCTATCCATACAAAAGGAGTCATGATCAATCTATACCTTCAGCACTACATCTCTACTGAGAGAACAGTACTTGGCATTGGAGGATACTGGCTCAAACAACGACTCGTCCACTGCCAGCACTCTCTTGTTGGATGGTGAGGGTGAGCGTGAAATGGGCAGGGGTGTTTTCTCAGACAGTTCCCAGGACAGGATCGTGATGTAGCCAACCGTGTTCCCCTCCGAGGATTTCAGCGGCAAATGCAGGCGGTGGTCGTCGGCGTGCAAAATGTCTTTCACAGGGAACATGGCGCTGCCTATCTCGTACATGGTGGACGTGGCCCGGTCCTTGACGTCCCAGACGGAGAGTTTGACCCGTGTATTGACCGTGAGGCGGGACCCGGCGGTGAAGACGACCGTGGTCATGAAGAGTGGCGTGCTGGTCGCCTCGATGATCTCCGTCTGCGAGTGTTTGGTCCAGAACCCTCCTGGAGGTGTGACGTAGCTGACCTGGACGTAACTGTTGGGTCGTCGGTCGTCACGTGGTGTGATCAGCTCACTGCACGCTAACGACAACTCCAGTATAGGCTCATCTGGGTGCAGATGGATTCCTAATCTGGATATTCAAACAAAAGAAAGATAAACAATTCAGGAGAGTACAACAGTCAACAAGATTCATGCACATAGGAAACAAAGTGACTGCTCATGTTAATGTGATATTCCCTTTATCAGAAAATAAGGAAAGTGCAGATTTTGTACTCATGTGTTAAACTTTCTAGCTATTCAGAGATTAATTCAAATTGACTTAAATCAAGTGGGATATCCTTTTAACGTCATTGCTAATAACAAACACACACAAATAAATCATGAGACTAATCTGCATCCAGCAATGCTTGATATTATCATGTCCTCATCATTCATCAGTATTAAGCTGTCACTAATAAAACAATTTTATTCCTATGTTTATGATTCTAAGCACAAGGTTATCCGTAGCAGGGTAGTTGTTACAGTACCTTTCTGCCGGCTCATTCACGTTGAGCAGGCCGGGGGGTTCCGGCCCGGGGACAGGGTCCTGCCCCGTCTTGGCCATGATGGTCCCTCTCAGGGACTCGAAGCGGCCCCTCAGGGCCTCGATGCTGGAGTTCTGCAGGGCTGCGAGCCACGTGTCCCGGTCCTCCTGGGAATGGGTGGTCAGGTACTGCACCTGCGGGTCCAACTCAAACTCTGCAACAGGGGAAATGAACATTTACTGTTTTTCTATCACAGTATAATCTTACAATATTGCATCTTTTGCTTGATCATAAATTCTAGAAATGGCACAAATCACATACAGAAGAGTAAAAAGGAAGCATTATCATGCAAATGCAGATACAATAGCTGCAATGTTCCTTATCAAATCATATTATATTATGTATAGGATGACACAAGTCAGAGGAACAAGACTGAATGTGCAATAAGTACAATTGTACAATAGGTAGATACCAATAATGTATTCAGTGTAATGCCTAGCCTCACAGCCAATAAAGCTGCATCTAAACCACAAAATCAACGTATGGTGCTCTGTTCCAACTAAAAATGTGTACAATGTGTACTAGCAGACTGGCACGTAGACGAACCACCGTTGAATTTCCAAGTGCACTAAATCCCCTCAGAATGCTGAACCTGTGCCCTATATATAAGTACATGCAGCTCACATTTCAACAGGACAAGCCTGTTTCATCATGGATGAGCATGGATATCCACCCACCAACAAAAAGAATTTCGAAACAGTTGGAGTGTCCATCAGGAATTTATAATCACTGTAATATTGCAGTAACCATGACTCATATGCTGCTACCAGTAGGAATATAATGAATATATAGGCCTCCTTCCAGAATGTAGATGTCACTTGCTTAATATAAAAGTTAGTGCACATCAGGTTGAGTTATGCTCCTGATGGAATTGACAGGGGTTGGATCTAGGGTAATGTCTGAAGGGCCCATAAATCTGGGTAACATTAAAGTGCTTTTTTACGTCCTTATGCCTGAGGCATGTGAGGTGGTCATATATAGACTGAGGCTTAGGGTTGTTTATTACTTACAACATAGTACTGTGACTGTGAACTGGCTTACAGCAGGGAATCTACTACATGTAGCATCAATTATTATATGATTAGTTGATAACTGATTTGGATATTAGTATTTTTGCCCTGGATAAAAGAAGCTTTTCAGGAGTAAATGATACATTATCTAATGCAATATACATGCAAATGTTAAAAGTATGTTGACCCTTTTGTTATAATCCACAACAGAAACTACAGGAAGATATCACAGACTACAATGTATAATGGTGGCTGTAGAGAATGGTGACTTGAACAGATTACACAATTATCATGTCTTTTAGATGAAAACTAGTAAGTCTTTTTAGTTTGATGTTAACATATATATGTTTCCCTTTAGAATATCTACAGCATGTTAAATATGTTGTACTCACGTATTTTGAAGGACAGCTCAGGGTTTGGGAAGGTGCTGCAGCTGACTGTACACCGCTCAAGGACAAACACACCGAGCGGACTCGAGAACTGGGGAGGGGGGGGAGAAAAAAATAACTTAGAGGAGATGATGTATTACTATTAAATAGCTGGTAATGTTACTACACTTAGCAAGAGCAAAGCAACAGAGGTTTCCTGTCCCTCAGATCGCGTAGTGTACAATGTACAACGTACACGTGTTGTTTAATCAAAATTCATCACTTGAATGCAGAATGTTAAGGTCTGTTCTGGTTGATCCCAAAGTGATGAATAAATAATGAGAGATAACCCAACACAAGAGCTGCACAGAACTAGTGGAGACCAGAATGGGTTTCAAGGACAGTTCAATGCTGCAGCTTACAAGATAAGTCATTCAATAACAGCGTGAACATGACAGAATAGGGGTTAACAATTCATTATTTTCTAGTACATACTCAGATGATACCATTTGTAAACACAAGCTATAATAAGGACACCAAGAAATACCTCTGATCCGCTATATATTGTATACTACACATGCATAGTAGCTTAGCAAAAGTGATGAAAATCAAAGAACACAATTAACAAACTTCACTACTTTTACCACTGATTTTTTGTAGTTTGATCTTTAAATCTGGAAAAACAAATTCAAATTGATAGATAGAAACTGTAATTCATTCCATTGGGGGAAAAAGAATCATTATGGATTACACCAAATAATCAATATCTTTTGTGTCACAGTGTCATGCATACGGTGGAAGACCTTTGTCCTGATGTTGCCTGTTAAATTTTCATCCTATTGTGACTGAATATTATGTGCAAGGCCTTAATCATACATATAGCTATCCTTACTATATAACCTACAGGTTTCTAGAAGATTTTATGACATTTTATGACATCGCTATTAAGAATGAACAAGTACAGAATGATATTCTACAGAATCTTCAAGTCTGTAGCACACATATATACTATACACTATAATAGTAATAGCTTTTTTTTTCTTGCACATTTACTTATTTGATTAATTTAAACAATGTCACTACACAAGGTGTTGAGTGGAAAAACAAGTGCAGAAAGGTCCAGGCAATGAGCTAGATTGGAATGTGCTATAAATCACAATAGTAGGTTAATCTGCCAGGCCTGCTGGTGCACCGGTGGTATAAACCAGTCTTGGTTTGGTGCCAAATGTCTCCCTGGTATACCTCTGACTGGTGATCAATATAGGTGTTCCGGGAAAAATGATGCAACAATCAATCAAAAGAGCTGAGGATAAAGGAATACGAGATGGTCTCCAAAAATGTGATGCATGCTGTACAGGTATTAAATTTTAGTGACTGTCATCATAATTGTTAAGCCACAGGCAGACAAAAACATTTTGGTAAAGAGGTTGCTGTAATGTGTAGTGTGTAGTCGTCACATTTGACCATACTGTATTCTTAATTATTACCAGCATACTTTCCAAAGACAGAAGAAATGAAGTATTATGTAGTTACTAGTCAGTGTTGATTAAAGTGCCCATTCCAGGGTTAATGCCATCCACAAAAGGGATTAAGCTAATACCTCTACTACAGTAACCGTGGTAACAGGATTTGGAGGGATAAGTGGATTAGGAAAGCCTGTGACATTGACTCAGACCAGCATGCCTAACTTAACACGTCCCAGGCACAAGTACACTCTGGTTCTTATGGTCACGGTACACGTACAATCTCACATCCCACTGCACTGCCTATATCTGCTTTAGATGCACATCACATCTGATAAAGCACCTCTACCTTCTAGTCATCCACAGGAGTCAATTCAGATTATATGAGAGGGATTACAATCTTGCTGTGCACAGCGTGTGTGAAAAATGTAGAATGAGCCTACAGTCAGCGAGATTGCCCTGAGAATGATCCTGAATGACGTCAGAAGCCTTGCACATTAATGTCACTGTCAGTTTTCTGCACTAATTTGTATTCACGTCACTTTCTCACAGGTAGACGAAAACAGTTCAAAATCTGGTCTTGAGATTTTGCTTTAAGTTGACAGAGGTAGATGAGATAAGGCTATTGGTGTTGTTGTAATGTTTTGGAGTTATATTACATCACCATACATAGCTATGTTCTGAATTGGAGAATTGATACTTACATGTAGAATCTTCTCAGACCACAGACAAAGGTGTGGTTAAGCAGAAATCTTTTTTTTTTGGAATGGGGAAATTCTATTCATCTCTCTTGTTACATTGTTCCGCATATGCACAAGGGTACAGGAACAACCACTGTTTTATTTGTATCCAAGCAAGAAAAGTATTTTCTACCTTTTCCCACATTAGGATTAGGCAGTGAAGAATGACAGGTACAATAATAGTCAATATCAGAAGAATATTAGCAGTGACATGACATTTGTGGGGTTACAGACAGTAGTCTCTTGTATATCCTCACCTTATCTTTGCTTTTCATGTAAAACAGCAAGTTGCCCTTCAGTCGACACCATCTTTCTACATTTACTAGTTTGAACAGAAAAAAAATGTGAACATGAGAAACTTATAATGAAAATGTATGAAACTTAAAAGTAAAATCTTAATGTATATGTACACACGTTTTGAAGCAACTCCCTTTGAAAATGATAAAAGCTTCTGAAACCCTCTTAGTCTTGGGAACATTTCCACTTCCAAGCGAAGGTTATGCATGTCAAACGTAGGAGTTACATAATTATCATGAATTTGACCTGTACATCATTCCATATTCCACCAGCCCACCCACACAAAAATGACTCAATCAGAAATACAGGCCCATTCTGAACTTCAATCATCATGCATTTTGCCATATGCATGTAGTACCTATCCATATGGGAATTGATAGCAGACATGATACAAATATCTATAAAATATTACTTCATTCGTATGCAGGTAGATATCCCACATATCATTCAGGGCTCAGTCACCAATACTCAGAGTCAGATATCTTTTATACATTACCTGCTAGTCCATGAACACAGTCATGTCATTAACTCATGATCATCTATCAAATTTCTCTACTTCTATGTGTTTTATGCTGCTGAAGATTATGATAAAAATGTTGATGTACATAAGATGATGATATCCAGAAATAGATAAACCTATAAAACTTATGGCCTAGCAATCTATCTTTGGACTTAATTGCAGTAAGCCATATGGACATCAAAGATAGAAAGGCTGCTGTAAAAACAAATGTTACAATTTAGTCATTGAGATGAGGGACTTATGCAGTGCCTCATCGATCAGCAACTATGAGGACACTACAGAAAAACAAATTTCTCTGTTTAAATTAAAAATGCTCAGGTATATACTAGTATGCATTTTCCACTGGAACACACTTGAGCCAATTTGCAACAAATCCAGCCAAGTTGAGCCAACCTCCTAGTCTTATGGCCCCTGGTCAGCTTTTGGGATCTAGCTTAATGTGTCTGGCCTTTTGTGGTCTGGGGTTAGGTAATCTTCTTACTTGCGTGCTGTTACTCAACTGTACTGAGCAAACACAGTGACACATATCAATCAATATACTGGTCTAGCATTAGCAATACCTGCTTTGTTTTTCCAGAAGTGCTCCCTTTCCCTGAATATCAGCAGCCCCTCTTTGTCGAAAAAGTAAGATGGTTTCTCCGATGCTATGAGCATTAACTCCCTGGCATTGTAGCGCATGCTGGCACCATGGCGATGCTAAGATAAAAACAACATGCAAAAGAATCCAAAATAAACGAAATCTAAGACACAAAGGAATGTAAACATGTCTATCATCCAGGCCATACTAAATGTTGCTAGTGCAAGCAATAAAATGAAGGTATTAAGCAATGAAATGAAGGTATTAAGCAATTAAATGAAAGCAAAAAGAAAATATTAGTATTTACGAATTGAAAATGTGATGTTTCCATCTCAACAACCAGTCCAATTCCAAAGTACTTACATCTCTTTTGAAAAAAGTGATTCATGCTTTAATTAGAACTGCAAATGCAAAGTGTTAATGAAGGCTGATTGATCATCATTTTACAACTGTGCCAAGCTGTCCTATTTGACGCAAACAGTGTTCAAGTAGGACAGCAGGGTGAGAAGTAAGTGGCAATAGCAGATGAGGTTACCGCATGTATTACATCAACCCAAGCTTAAGCCTGTGCCTTCCAAAGACCAACAACCATCACCTACTGTATATATGTTTGATGAAAGTACATTGTAGATTTACTGTAATGTCACTTAGAGTTAGACAGCTTTGTTATCATGCAGGAACTTGAGGGGTTCCAAATATTTTCAGCAATATGTGATTTTTTATTCTTTGTGTGTGTGTGTGCTCATAGCTTGCAAATTGCAAAATGGTGATTATAAATTTAATTTTTCCTGCATTCTCAAAATGTGGATATTGGATGGGTGTGACTATTTCAACAGTTCAATGACAGGTTGCTTCATACCTTCCTTTGAACATTATATAGCCAATTATGAATACCTGAATATACATATAAATTCTCTTTGTCTTCAAATCTTCAAAATCTTCAAAGGACAGTCCAATTAAGAGGATTGGTGAGAGCTATTAGCTAAAATTACATGTTCTTTTATTATTTCCTAAGCATTTCATACATGTAATTTGATCCTTTCATCATGATCACATTCATAATTGTTACCATGTCCAAAGTGAAATTTCGCATTTCCATATTAAAATCTACACAAATCTTAAGGCTTAACCATCAATCACTCAATGGTCCCAGCTGGTCTCTGTCATTAAATGGCATTTATATCTTTATCTTTAGCAGTGGCTAAGGAAATCTTGTTTCCGCCTGCAGATATTGGGATATTTTTGGTGTTGTCTACACTTTGTGAATTATAGTTAGATTGGAAAAGCTTATGTATAGCTTATGTTTAAAATTTTTTTCCACCGACACATTTTGATTTAGAATGGTGCAACTGCCTTTGAATTACATTGAATTACAACTTATCACGCCATATGGTAAAAAAAATGTTATGCATGAATCATATAACTGCTGTGTGTATCATGACCTTCTGAGCTAGGTCGCAAGGGACTCCAAACCTGTAAAGTAATTTCAGCTTATCAGCATCACCCAAATACACTGCACAGAGAACCACTTGTCCAAAAACCATTTATAAAAGATTTGACAGGTCGCTATTACCATATAAAAAATGCTCCCTCAGTGGTTTTCCAAAGGCTCACCAACAGTTTGTGATTCTATTAGCATGCCTACACAAGCGGAACAAATATCCCCCAAAGAAAAACAAATTAAATTTTTATGTCTAACCTAGACGACCTGGCCCTACACATTTCAAGGGTTGTTTAGTTACTGTAACAATACAAATTTACACTTCGTGTTAGAAATACATATGCCTGAGTCTTTGTTTTCTTAGTATAACTATAACCCTAATTGAGCATATCATAAAAAAATATATCATAGTGCTTGAATCACATGGATTTTACGCTACTTCCTTGTAAATTTATTTAAAAAAAAGGTTTCCTGTCACTATAATATAACCACTTCCGTGACTGTCTTTAATCTGCCCATCAGTATATATTACCATCCTCATTGACACGCCCACCTCTCAAACATTTACTATTTTAAGCCTCGCCCGAGAAAAAGCTCACCTTTTCTGGTAAATCCAAATCCAGGCCACAATTTTTGAGCTGCCGGTTGTCTTGTCGAGCCGCCGCTGATCTTGTGACGCCCGATGACGTGAACTGACGTTCGGAGGAAGAGCGATTGATCAGGCGACCTCAAACCATCCCACGGGACCTCGCCGTAATATATGCGTCATTTCGTGCATAAATAAGCCGCGTTTTCCTCAGGAAACACGTAGCAGGGTTCAATTAACAAAAACCGCGTCATAAAATCCCAATAAAATAGGAGTAAAGCGTTAGAAACGTAAAATCCAGGTGGAAAGCAACAAAATGAATCCTTTCCGCAAAATAAAATTTCCCGAACCGGAAGTGTCTTGTATTTCTGGTGCATCATGGGCAACCTCTGGACCCATACATTCATCTTTAGGTGAATTTTATTCTTCACTATAATTTCTCTACCTTCTCTAACAGGCATTTTACTTATTAAAATTTCATTCATATCAATTGTAATGTGTTTAATTGCACTATGTTCTACATTATATTATATTATGCTTTCACCAACAAAACTTTGATGTTTTTAATCAAAGAAAAGAATGTTCCCCCTTAGTTGTAGTGAACGATCCCTCTTTATGTTGAGGTGGCTTTGACTGCAGTAAAAAGGTACGTGCATCTGTGAATAAAAATGCGAATTTAAAGATTTTCTAGTGTGGGTAGTCGGGCTTTGTGCCAGTCTGAGGATCCATGGCCTTCTCTAGAATTGTCTGTGTTTGTGCAGGTCCGGGAAACGACGGAACGATGACGGAAGGACGAGTGGAAGATGGAATGACAAACGTCCCTCTCTCTTCAGACGATAGTGAAGGTAAAGAAAACAACAAAAAACATTCACTTTCCCTTTCCGCAACATTAGCAATGCTTGATGATAATTATACTACTATCATCTATGTAGTTTAGAAAGTGCCATAGAGATGTAGTTGATTCAGCAAGCATGTCCTTTAATACACCGGTATATTGTATGACCTATAGCCAGGAAATCATGATTGACATAATTTTTATCTCCAAGCAGATGTTGGGGGTACAAAATCGTAATATTTTCAGACCACGACACCTTCACAAACAAGCTTAAGCCCACCCAGTTAGAACACATCATAATTTTCTATTTTTCACGTTTGTCTCAGTTTGGGATGAGGGGAAATGCTGCTGCTGTAGTAATATAGTGAATGAAACTGAATGTATCCAATTGAATACATGCATCGGTTTATGAGATCATGTGTATGTCCCATGTGGGTATATTTTAAAGGTGAGGTACCAGGAGGAGTGTGGAAGCAGGGATCTACGGATGCTGTAGGGACCAGTACAGGCACCAACAGCACCACCAGTGAGTAGAGTTTTTTTTTACTTTAACCACAAAATTATCTGCTAGTCTGGTAGGCATCTTATTGGAAGCTACATCATGTAATGCCATGGTTTGTCCCTCCACAAACGTCACAGATTGTCCACAGAAGTATGTCAATAATACTTAAAGTACTATCCTCACTGCTACTGCTAGTAAATGAAATTATTTACATAGTCTGAAATAATATAAAAATTGTTTATCTGTGATACTAAGGTTGATCTATGGGCCGTTCTTCATGCATGAGTGTTTAACTTGAGCCCCCTTATACATGTATATGAATAATGTATGGAAATAATCTTTGTGTACAAATCCCCAAAAGCTCCAGAACACAGAATGCCTTCCTCCACAGAGCCACCCTCTTATGGAACTCCCTCTCAGTTGACATTCAATCGGCCCCTACACTGTTTTCTTTTAAAGCTAAAGCACGGAAATCCTTCGGGGATCCATATTCTACTTAACTACACATCACATTTGTGTCACCTCCCGACTTAACAGTTGTACATATTATCTCCGAGTCGGCAACTTTGTAAATACTCTACTACTCAAACAATATGTATTTCATAAATGTAAGCACATATTATTCTTATTGTATTTGGATTGTAATATGTATTTTATGTATGTATAACGTTTCTTCCTACTCCCCAGGGTGTCCCTTAATAATAGTCTCTGACTAGTTGGGACACCCTGGCTTCTTTGTAAGCCAAATAAATAAATAAATAAAAATGTATATGAAACCAGGCTCGTATTTTTTCATACGTGTATCTTTTCAGGTCTATGTGATGAAACATCTGATGAGGCTGAGGAGAAAGCACGGCTCATCTGCCAAGTGTTGGAGCTACAGAATACACTGGATGGTGAATAAACATATATTTACACATGTCAAGAGTCCACAGATTGTTAATTTGTCCTTGTTAACCTTTTGTTTGGATTCATTATCAAAAACAATAGTTCCAACAGACAGTGCAATGAATGCCTTACTCTAATGCTGATGTATCTTCTTTCATAGACCTGTCTCAGAGAGTGGATGCTGTTAAGGAGGAGAACCTGAAGCTTAAGTCGGAGAACCAGGTCCTGGGGCAGTACATCGAGAACCTCATGTCAGCTTCCTCTGTCTTCCAGACAACGTCCCCCAAGAGCAAGAAAAAGTAAGCATGCTAAACAGCCTTAACAGGGCTCAAAATAACTACATGAACCTCTGATATTTTTGTAGATTGCAATTTAAAAGATTGTTAAAATTTTGCAATGTAGAAAATGTCATGCTTGGTCATTAAAATCACGATCAAGCTAATCCACAGCATACTCAAGGTCGAAAAATGGCTTCTGTATTTGTAGAAAGTTTCTCCAAGTTGCAAATGAGAGTGTTTACAACTTGCAATATTGAAAAAAATGCACTTCAATCCTGCCATATGGTTACATGTACAAGCACTTGTGGTTAAAGTAAAAAGATGTCCCTGTTTATATCCCCACCATATCTTTTAGCACGCTGCACATATGTGTCCTTAAGAATTTTGGCCTAATACATTGTTTGCATTCTTTTCCAATAGGTCTTCTGGTAAGGGTTCTAAGAAGGGAGAGAAGTGACTCTCTACACAACCATCACTGAAATCAACATTTCCGGTATTCATAGCATGTCTCAAACAAACATTCATTCCACATTGGTGTTGTGTTCACTGTTGTATAATAGAGAAAATGTAACTTAATTATGTGAATTGTATGTGCAAGAAGATACTTAACAAACAGATGGATTGCTTTTTATTGATGTAATTTTAATGATAATTCACAATGGACATACACCAAGTAATGATTGGAGAGCCTTGTCAACTTTGTTATATTATGAGTCTTTTGAGCATATCATTAGAAGCATGGTGCTTTTTTGAGGTACATGGGAATTGACAATGATGTATGTATATTTATTTTAAATACATTTGTACATTGAGGCATTGCCAGTATGTTTTCTTGTCTCTTTTGCTCTTGTGCTTTTATAGTATCCAACATTTGAAAAGTGTCTGCAAAGTTACGACCAAATGCTCTGACTGCACATTATGAACATGATGTAATCGAAGTTAATGTTGTTAAAGGTTATACACATATTGAAATTAGACAAAACGTACAGAAGCTTGTATAGATAGGCTGCGTGACATATTTCACTGCAGAATTTCAAAACAAAGAGTTACTTTTTTCCTTCCACCTCAAGAAATCATATTGGTGTTGGCTACCATTATAATTGCTTCTATGAATTATTGTATTATATGTATTATGGTGTAACTTTAATGGTGCTGTTTCTTTTTACTGTGCAATGTGGTATCTATCGGTGCCACTTGGCACTGGCAGCTTGTATTATACTATACTAGTATTGTTTCAAAGAAATGTTTATGTGTAAAAAGAATAACAGGAATATTTTCATTATACTAGTAGTGTAATAATTTAGCATATTGTGATCACTAGGGACTTCTAGGTTATCACACTGTTTATTGACTTTGTTACAAGATTCTTTTCATTCTTTCTTTGTTGTTTTTTTGTTTATTTTGATAAGGAATAGTTTTTTTTTGTTTTTAATTTCCAGTCAAATTGTACTTTGGCATATGCATTGTGTAGTCTACATGTAGTTGATGAAGGCCACAAAAGCAGGTATGTAGAATGTAAAAGCTGTTAGTAGAAGAAGTAGATGAATCAAGGTCCAGATGTTCTGGCATTATTGTGGGATTGGTCATCTTTATTGTTCAGCAAATACAGGCTACAACAAAATTAAGAACAGCATTTGTCAGAGTTGTCAATTAATAGTTAAGTGCACAAAATAGTCATGGGCTTCAGATATATCATTTTCAGCAAAAAAAACACAGCATGGATTCGAAAAACTGCCTTATAACATGATGACAAGTAAGGAGATAAAAAGGAGATAAAAAGAAGATGATAATGTGGCCTATATATAATGTACAGTCATTTGCCCTCACATTAAAATATTAACTATCTGAGATTTTATGAAAACACCAAGCCAACTTGTTATATTTCTTGCTAGGCTGTCAACTCAATACATGTAACCTCCATAGCTTACTTAACAGGCTGGCCACATACACACCCATACACACATGTGCAATATAATACAATAGCTACTACAGTAGTTCAAACTACTTATAAAATGTCTTTGTTATGTCTATGTTGCTGTACTCCTCGCAGCTAGAGTGGTTCAATGGAGTCATCAGTAGCCTTTCCTCCCTCGAAATCTGTTCCTGTTGTCAAGCTGGAAAGATTTAAAAAATACAAATTAATGTGCTGAGATGCTAACTTGAAAATTAAAGAGTGATATGATCATGTCTGAATATCAAGGAGGACAAAATATAGGATATTTAATGTCAACAACTCAGAAAACATACCTCAATGCAAATTACAATTTTGCTACTATTTGACACACAATCATGCACGCATGAATGGTATTTCCAAAGAAAGTTTTTAAATTCACCATTTTCTGAATCATCCATACTAGTATATATTCATTATCATAATATCTATATTTAATATCTAAGGTGAAAAATACCTTAACCGTGGCTTACCAGTGATCTTTTACACTGAAAGAATGTGTTTGCAATGGCTCTACAGTTCTGGTCAAGTGAACTTGTCACGTGCAGACATTCTTTAGCAGACCTGCCCTCCTGAAAAACAAAGAACAAATTCAATGACTTGTTACTTTCATACGAAAAGCTCTATGATCCATAAAATAAGTTGAACTAAATGATAAAATGGAACATTGCTGATATTGGAAAAGTGGTTTCTCATATTCTTCATGTTTCGATGCATAAAAATTATATCAGTCACCTTGTTCATACAGTCGCTTTCGGAAAGACACTGCCTCAAATCCGCCCTCAGTCCAGCGCATGGCCGGTTGTCATCCAAAACTTCACCTGCCTCGTAGTACTTTGGCATTATCTATTTGACGTGAGAGCGGTACAAATCGTCATAAAATACGATAAACTGGAAAATGTTTCGAGACTGGTTCAAAACAACATGGGCGCCGCCATCTTTGCATTTGTGGATGAAACCATTATGCAAACAGGGATTTCTCTACATTGGAAAAATAAAAATCTGTTGTAGCCTAATCATTTTCTGCTGCAATTGTATATTCATGTCTGGAGATACAACAAAGTTTTAAATTTATGGCATAAGAAATTTTCTTACCCATTAATGTATTAAACGCTGGGAACTTTTTTCTACATTTCTAAAGTAGCATGTTTTACTAAAAGTGAGTGGACTGAACCAAAAGCATCCACACGTAGAACAGAAATATTTTCAGTCTAAAATTTCAGTCAATAAACTTCCAGTGAAAATCAATTGTCTTCTCTACCGATAATTAGATCCATCAGGTTTTATCAGTAATCATTTTTAAATGTCATGTATGTCAGTATTCGCAGTTTTAAAATTTTGGAATAGTTTGCGTTCTTAGCGTTGCAGAAAGCATCAAAGCCCCTGGGAGTTTTGATTTTTTTCGAACCGCATGCAAAGCAGTTTCAGAGGATGGCAACCTACATCGGGAAAAGTATCAGAATAACCACAAACGACGGTATTTACCGTGGAATTGTGCACTCCTTGGACGTCAGCTGTAGCAAGATCACGTTAAAGAAAGGTTTGTGTATCTTTAGGTCCGTTTGGACGGGAATTATAAGCCTGAAGTCGCGTGCTTTTCAACTTTAGTGAAAGTTGTTGTTGAGACATTTTTGGAAGGGGCTGTCCACTGTATCTTTAAAGGGAGGGGTGATGAAGATTAAAACGATTTCTCTTAATTATGTTACAGTTTGTCACGGAAATGAATAATGAGGCACGTTTCTTTTGTTTTCGACGCTTTTTTAGGAGGGTAGCAACTTTCTGATGTAGGTGAAACTACTTTGTTGACACTTTACAAGCGTGAGACTCTAGGGAAAGTTCATTTCACCATAAGTGACCAAAATACCATGTGACAACACGTATGAGTTGATATTATTACATGAATACATGGGTATTTACAAGTTTCCTTGTTTGTATATCTGTGCTGTAACAGCCTCTTTAGCATTTCAAAAGTATTACAGATTGAATTTGTTTCACATCCACTTCTCACCTGGCCTCTATGCATATTTAGCATAGACCCAATCTGATACATGTCTATGGTCATGACTACAGTTGAGTGCAGTGTTGGAGAGGAGAAGAAGCAGTTGAAAGGTCTGCACCACTTCTATGGACCTGAGCTGGAGCACTGTAAGCATGAAGCATTGGTTTATTACTCCGTGAAGGAGGTCAGGACCTCCGGACGGAGTGTTGTAATCGGCTGATTTTTCATGTTCGCAGTCAAAACACTGGGTTCTCTTTGTGTAATCGGCACGCAATTTTATACGCCGTCTGCGGGCATGCCCGTGTTGATGCACGAATGTGTATTTTTGCCGTTGCTGCTTTCGCGGTCAATGTAATATCGCAGACGCTCCCCTACAATTACGAGGCGAATTGGAATGGTCCAGAAAAACGCGTTGTTTGGAATAGCAGTGGGGTTCAAAAAAGTTCATGCAGATACGGGGTGGTTTTTATAAGTGGTTCCAGATGTTTTTGCCCATGGTTAAGAGATGCCAAGTTTTTTGGAAGATGTTCGCAGCCAAAACGCATTCTTCCGTACGTCGCATTTCTGTGTAATTTCGCATGTGGTGTTGCATTATGTCCGGGATGATGCACGTCTTTTTATTTTTACCGTAGCTGTTTTGATATTGGAGTAAATGCTTATTTTCGAAACATCCCCATTTCTTTGAAATGGTTTCGTCCGTTTATGCAACTGTTACTGCGCTAATGACGACCAGTCGCGCTGTCCTGATACACCGCGAATGTGCGAGTGTTCCCTGTAGACAGTCCCGGGAGTCATTTTTGCACGCACATTCCAGGAGCCAAACCAAAATACGTTCATGAACCGAGTCCAAAAAACCGAAACGTGAAAATCGGATGATCGGACCTGATGTACATTTCTCTTTCTATAGATTGTACACACAATACACACATCTTTAGATAATCTGGCCATGGCAGGTTAAAAAAAAAAGTAACCCTGAATCATACTAGATTAGCGTAAATGCATGTTAATGCGTTCAAAACAAGAAAAAAATTGTTTCCGGGTATTAATTTCTTGAATCACGGCGCTGAATATTGACGCAAAAATATTTCGGGCATCGCGCGCCCTTCCCGCGTCACGTGTAGGCATCTCGCATCTCTGATTGGTTGTTGCGTCTTAAGATGACTGAGCCGACGCGCGTTTAAACAATTTTTCTTTGTTCGATTTATCACACTTCACAGAGAATTGTCGCCAATGGCTACTTCTTTTTGTTGCAATATATAATACTTCACGGAGAATTGTCACCTATGGCTTCTTGTTTCTTGTTCAAACTATTGCAAAAAGCTGCCAAATGTCCAGGAAGATTTTAAGACAACTATGAATATTGACACATTTATTTATGGTAAACTTTCAAGTATCACTGTCTGTGACCTAGTAGTTTATTTGTGCAAAAAACGTTCTTTTCTACTCTCCATCATCCATACATGTCGTCATTATTTTCTAACTCAAGAACTCTCAGAACAATCATTTCCATTTTTTTCAGTGGAGATTCTGGAGGACCAGCTGGAGGAAAAGATGGACAAAAATGACACTGAGTATGGGAACACTAAAGCGTAATATTTCTAAGTATATCATTATCCCAAGATTATACATAGAACTATCATATACATATACCATATAATATCTTTTCTATGCATCGCTTTTCAGAAGTTGGAAACAATTATAATGCGCAAATCAGAGAAACTTGGAATTTAATTGGTGACACAGGTGTAAGAAAACAATTTGTCAAGCCAGTGATTATTTGTTGTTCTTATCTTGTTGGTGTGCATAACCAGTGATTAGTTTGTTGTTAGTCTGCATAGTCAGTGATTATTTTGTTGTTGATGTGCATTGCCAATGATTATTTTGTTGTTGTTGTTGTCATGATATAACAGAGATGGTGGTCCGCCCCTGGTCACCAAAAAGGAGAACCCCAAACACCTACAGCAGCTGAGAGACTACAGCAGTGCAGGAGACCTGGCAGGGGGAGGGGGGTACGTGTCAGACGGGATTGTGGACATGCTGAAGTCTAACCTGAGGAGAAAAGACAACAGGAAAAGGCAGGACAGCGCCAAGGGGAAGAAATCTGTCAGATGTAAGTGTAATTTTTTGCTTTAGATTGCTGTTATTAAAATGGTTACAAAATTATAGAAGGCCAAGGGTATTGATGGAATACCAGTGTGATAACCTTTCCTGTGGTCATCTATTAAGTTTTGTGTTTTACTCAACAGATCATTGGTCAACAACAAATTCTTGCAGTTGTCTTACAACATACATGTATAATGTGGTAAAAAGTTTTTTCCTAAGTACTCATTCTTATTTTTCTCCCATTGCCTGTAGTTTGCCATGACATCAATGACCGCTCTGGCAGTGGCAGAAATGAGAAATACACGGTGGTGGACTCACTACAGGGAGACTCCTACACCAAGGCTGTGAGTAGGACTGGCAACATTTTCTGTGTCTTTTATATACACCTGGAATCTGGGACAATTTTTAAAATGATTTGATGGTAAATGGATGCTTTTGATAAGTCAGAAACTGTGTCTGTGTGCAAAAGTGATTTGCGCCTGTGGTTGTAATTTCTAAAACAATGTTCACTGTCTTTTATGCACTACTCATTCTTGTGAAATGTATATTTCCTGAGCTTGTGTGTGCACTGCTGTTAGGTTGACCACATCAGACAGCAGTCTATCATGGGACTGGCCATGCAGGGCATCAACATTGGCAGGAAGGGCAAGATATGCTGGGTCCAGGTAAATGATCAAAAGAAATAACAGCTTCTGTAACATAGGTGTGCTTACACTGTGCCATTTGTTACATTCCTTATGTTTCAGATTTGCACCAAATTGTGGTTAAAAAGGGACATTGCAGGGTCAGAAGAAATAAGATGTATTTTTTTAACACAGGTGTGTAAATTTGTGAACAAAAGACTGGGCAGAAAATCTGATAACAGATAGGCTTTGTTCACTCCCTGAGACTCTGTTGTTGTTGTTTTTTTCAGGTCCAAGAACCTACAAATGAAGATGATGTTGCCTAATCAGATGTCATATATTTGTTGTTTTCTAGGTGGCAACAAGGAACAGCATCTTCTTGTTTGACGTACTGACATTAGGAGCCCCATGTTTCGATGCAGGCTTGGGACAGGTTCTTCAGGATGAAAACATTCTCAAGGTCAGTGTCAAAGACATGTACTGACATCATTTTTTAAAATTTTGATACCAGATCTACAGAAGTTTAGCATGCAAGAAAGATACAGTTATTCATTTCGTCAAATTCATGTTTATACATGTATTACTCTTGTAGGTAATGCATGACTGCCGTAACCCGTCCGATGCCCTGTGGCACCAGTATGGACTTCATATTGTCAACGTCTTCGACACACAGGTGAGACAACAACTGGGTTGGGGCTAACACAGCTGATCTTGTCGGATGCAGTTTGATGACAATATAAAGGACACACAACGTAGATGAGAGAACGTGATTTGATCAGTACATTTTGTCCTTCACACTAATCGTATTGCCTTGCTGGGGATGAAGATACATCTGTAATATGAAAAGAAAAAAAAGGATGTGTTATGTCTGCATTAAGAAGAGCGAAATTTGTTGTTGTACAGGTTGCTGATGTGATGGTGTCGCGGATGGACCATCGCGGGGAGTTTCCCCGTTACGTGAGAGGGCTGATGGTGTGTCTTGTTGAACACCTGGACATCAACCAGGAGAACTTACACTTTCTCAGGGTCCGGCTGGATCATAAGGAGGTAAGTCTGCAAACAGTCATACAATTGGTGCAAACAAAGAATTGAAATGATTAATGTAATGCATTATCCACTGGCTGCTGGCACCTTCAAAAGCAATTTTTGATGGGCTAAAACTACAAGGGGAAAGAGAATTATCGGTGTAGGTAGAGTTTGTATGCTGAAGGTAACTTTACCTGCACTGGTCTTGTCATGCTGGAGAAAGTACAATGCTTAAGCCCTGACATGTTTTTGATGTTTTAAATGACACATGATGTGTTATCATCTTCTAGGAAGATGAAGCCATCTGGGCAGAGCGCCCCCTGCCAGAACACCTGCTCATTGCAGCAGCCAAGAATGTGATGTACCTGCGGGAGTTGCGTGTTGCTCTGATGGACAAGCTCATGTCAGAGTTCGTCATGGGGGTGGACGTGTACCTGTCCGTCAGGAGGGACTCCAGTGACAAGGACGCTCTCAAGATGGATGTGAGTCTGTTACATTTTTTTTAGAAGACAACTATTCTCCATTAGGGACTGCTAAAACTGTTCCCTCTTTTATCTGCAGGTTTTTGTTAGTGGACAGGCATTCTACAGTGCATGTAATGTTGGGTCTTTTCTGTAATTTGATGAAGAACTCCAGAAGTTAATGGTATCTTAAAGTTAAACTTTGATCCAACATAAAAGGGAACTCACCATAAATTTTTGTGTTTGATCAAAAGGGAACTCACCTTGAATTTTTGGGTTGGATCAAAGTTTAACTTTACCATTATGGAGTTTGCCAACACAGATGAACTTTCATGCAAACTTAAGAAGTTGACTGATGAAGTCATGTTGCGACACTTTGCCCCAGACCATGGGCCACCTGCTGCCCGGGCGGTTCAGGGAGGTTGTGGAACAGGCGGCCAGGAAGAGACGGGAGCAGGCAGAGCCCGTGGACCAGAACGGCTTCCGGGAGAACTGCGACGGCGCCGTGGACGGGACTGGGCGCTGGAGCAGGGACATAGGGCATGATGGGACAAGGCTCTCCAAGGGGACCAGCGGTAATGCTGTTCCACCTTCACACACAACCAAGGGTAGGTCCCTGTACTATAATAATTACCTTGTAACGATGATAAGACTTGTCTTAGTTTTGATTTTAGAGGCATGGCCTTATTTCACTCCTATGTCCTGTGCCCTGCATGAATGAAATTAAAGAATGTTCACACCACAAGAATAATCAATAAGCGATAAATTCTAAACCTTTCTTTAGGGAATTGGCCTACCATATTTTTGCCAGAACCAGTGCCTGCTGTGAAGGAAAACAGGAGCACACACGTGTCCGAACACAAGCCTGCTATCCCAGCAGAAGACCAGCTTTGTAACGATGCTACACCAAAGTCAACCACCATTACATGGTCTCGCCCAGAGGAGGACAGAGCAGACCCACAACAGCAGTATCTGATGACGTCCCCACAGAAAATCCCAACTCTGACACCAGCAGGGCTGGAGTCAACCAGACAGTTAAACAGGCTCCCCAAGAAACTTCTCCAGTCTCAGACGCAGAATGGTATACATGCATTCAGTTCTTCTGACATGTACAAGTTAACTTAAAGTATGTTAAAGTGTAAGTCCTTTCCAAACCATATGGTTTAAAGGACAGCACATATCTCTGTTTCGTCAGCCCTTGGGCCACACAGCTGTGCAAGCACAGGCATTACTGCAGCAGAGAGCTAGTTGACTGGTAGCACATGTACAAATACTACAGATATTGCATGTATAACCATTTTCTCAGTGATGAACCTTGGACTACTTTTGTCTATCAACAGGTAAATGTACATGTACTTCAAATCTAAGGCTCTGTTGTTTGTCTCCTTACAGGTAAGACAGCCGAAGACAGCTCCATAAGTGCTATTGACACTTCTCTCTCTACTGAGGAGGACATGCCAGATTTATGGTCCATTCCTCCATCAAGAGGCAGCCCCACAAAAGGGAAGTGCTGGATGCCACTCACTGTGGAGTTACCAACTGGTACAGAGTGTTCCTCACAGCTGAGTGATGGTGCAAAAACTGACAGTCCTTATGCTAGCTCCAAGGTGACCAATATGAAGGGAGAAGTAGAAAGTAGCCAGGAATCAACACCGCCAAAGCAGCCCTTTTTCTGCATGCCAAAAGTGGTGACCTCAAGCACAGAGGCAGCTAACACTAGTGCAGAAAGAGTCAGTGACACAGCATCACCACAGCATGCCTTCAAGAAGATTACCGAGTTTTGCTTGTCAGAAAACTCAGCAGATCCGAGAGCCCACCCTCTGAGAGTCTCAGGAGGGAGGCTGGTGAAGAACCCCAACTACCTCCATGGCTGGGACCACGGACCTGCCATTGAGAACAAGGGGATGGCTTCAGGTCCGGACGTGGTGCAGTACTCCTCACACAGCAGTGATGACGACCTGCCACGATCCTCCTCCTCCAACTCACAACCCCCATCCAGCCACAGTTCTGTCACAAGTTCTCCCACTAAGAATGGTGATGCTCACAAGATGCGGGGTGTGCAGTCCAGCTCCCCTTCCTTCCACCTAGGCAGAGGTGCGCTGCGTATGAACGCTCTGAAAAACCTACGCAGTTCACCTGTCCAAGACAATAAGTCTGCTGTGCCAAAGCTTGCAACAGACAAGAACAATGGAGCAGTCAATCCAACAACTAAACCTTCCCCCAAAACTGTCACTTCTGTAAGCATGGCTGGGGTTGGTCCACCATCCACCTCAAAACAGGATGATTGGAAGCCCGGCATTGGTCGATCCAAACCGCTGACATTGCTCACAGAGATGGACTCTGAGTTTGTCATGCCCAAGAAGCTACAAGACGAAAAACAGGACATGTTCAACGGTTTGAGATCAAACGTAACCAAGTATGCTTTTCCAAAAGACTCCGAGTTCAGGAATGTTCCCAAGCAGGAGCGTGGCTTTCTCAGGAACTGGTGAAGAAGTCACCAGGGACTTACTATATGTTGTAAGCCTTCTCTATTGTAGGTTCTACTAGACCTCCGCATTGAGGTGAAAAAGTTGTTGAAATCGGCTACAAGTTAGGGATGATTGGTCAAGTGAATTGTAGTCATGCCTTCAAATACAGGAGTTATCAACCAAGGATTGGGGTATTCGAAAACTTGTATCCTGGAACTAACGTAGAGTGGTGTTTGCTGCCACCAAGTACAGTTGGGGCATCATCCCTAGATACATGTAGCTTAAGGTGTGCAGAGGTTGGGTGTAACAGGTCATCCTGTGTAATGTAGCCAGCTGCCACCGTGCCACATGCCTGAAGCTGGTGTGTAACGCCGAAAAGCGGTTATACCAACTATACAGCTACAGATACAAATATCATTGATGTTTCTGGTTAGACATAATAATCCCTATGCCGATTATCCCTATGACGGTTTCTACAACTTTTCCAAATAGACAGGGAAGTGTGGTAGAGACTATAATCCTTTTGTTATGGTTTGTTTGAACCTTTATCTGTTCATGTTTTTTTTTGTATCGCCTAACCACTAATCCACAGGTTTTGTAGATTAGTACTAAATGTGTAACATCAGCATAGACACTTATTGATATATGTAGGTGTGGTGGGTTCTTTAACATGTTTGAGGTGTGGCTGTCCACAGAAATGAGATGAAACCTCAAGCATTACACCCCACCTAAAGGACTGCAACCCTTTCATTACTGTAGACCAAGTTCAGTGGGAATTCAAAGTCTTGACCTCTTGGTCCAGAGTAACACAACTCATGACTAAGCATGTCAGTAGTGAGTGGCTACAATGATGATGAAGCATGCCATGAGATGCACCAGTGTTTTCATACTGATGATAGTGTCAATAGACTTTTGAAATGGTTTACTACAGCAGATGACACATCATGTTTTGAGTTATTTTTAGATAGAGACTGAATTAGTTGACAAAGAAACATTCCATTATAGGCCTCTTTGGTAGAACTGTTACATGAAAGAAGTGGTCCTGGTAAGGCTGTTTGATTTATTGATTAAATTTCTGGTGTTTTGCAGATTCCTTGAACACTACAATTTTTTTATGCCTAGCAAAGATAGCACAGAAATTATGAAATAGCTTTTTTCTGGTTCTTTTTTGTTCATTGACCTATAAAATGTTTGGTCACATAGCATCTTTATTGTAGACTGCAGGTTTCTGTGTCAGTCGTGTAGTCAAGGAAGCTTTGCATTTATCACAGAAGTGATCAACATTTGAAAACTTGTTCAGATATGGTAGATGCCTCTTCTTTAATTAAATTAGATAGCTTGGGCCATGCTGATTTGATTATATGGATGACATCCTCTGTGTACCTCATAACTGATGTGAAAAAAAAGTTGAGCCAAAGCAGGTTGCCCTAATATCTAAGTGGACCTCTAGTATCTTTGTTTTTTCCTTTCCACCCCATCCTTCACGTATAGGGTAGTTGTAGAAACAGTATAGTTTTACCTTTTTTTGGGCACGCTCGAAAATTGATGCATGCGCAGATGCCATCCATTTACCAGTAAAGTGCTTGCGACCTTAGTTTCAAGAAGTCATTTGGTGTGATACTGGTATGACTGGATACCTGCAAAGTTGTGTGTTACACTGAAGGGCGGTTATACCGGCTTACCTATTCAGATATCACCAAATGTAATTCAATGATTGTGCCTGCAATGCTCATGTAACACCAAATGTAAGTATTAGTTGATCAATAAAGTTTTCAACTGGACAATATTCTGTCTGTGCTTACTTATTATAAGGTATGTGTACATAGACAAGCTGCAAGATGTTTAATGAAAGTGTTTAATGAAAGTATGAATTAAACACAAAATTACCAGTGTAACATCAGTCAGAACATACTGCACAATCCATGTTTAAGTTACCTGCCTAAAAAGCGGACTTTAGAAAATCTATATCTTTAACAAGATGATGCCGACATACATTCCATGTACACAGACCCAAGTTGTGAACTCCTGGTAAAACAAAAGTTAATTCATATTTATCACTACAGTACACTACTCATATTATTATGGTATTTACAGTTGATAGCCACCTAGGTTCAAAAGGTGTTATGCATTTGTTATTTTACAGTTTTGGAGGTATATAAAATGTAGTTCATGTAGTATGTCATAGGTTAGAATTTACATCACATTATTGCCAACTGCTAGTCTGTGGCAGGGTGACCTCATATTTCCCATCCCCCACCACTGTGCCTAATTGCCCAGGACTGAACTGAGCCTGTGCCATCACGTCCTGGGCAGTTCTCTTCCTCCTGATGACCAGGTACCTCTTCTGCCCCTTCCCGTACGACCTGTGCTGCAGGTTGTACCTTCTGGCCATCTTGTGGATAGCCGCTCGCTCGTCTGAGGTCAACTCGGGAGAGAACACCAGGTCATCTTCCCTCCCGGACTGTACGTAATTCACAATGACTTGATTTGCTTCCTTTGCTGAGATCAGCTGTTTCTCTGCGAGTTCTGTGGCCGTGCCCAGTCCAGCACGCCTCTCCATGACGTCTACTTTGATGGGTTCAGCGATGCCCTCGCGGCCCTCCTTCCCTATCCCCCCTCCCGACCAGCCCATCTTGCGAAGCATCTGATTACCGATGTTCGTTTCTTTGATCTGCCCCTCCCCCTCTGTTTTGGTACCTAACACCTCTGTTCTTGTCAAAGCGTCTTCAGTTAATTCTGTCTTTCTGGGTTTGACTACAGGATTGGTTTGTCGAAGTTTGGAAAGTGCCGCTTCTGCTGCCAGGTGTTTAACGTCTTTGGACTTATCGGACCAAGCGTCTGCTACGATCATTTGGTTAATTCTCACGACACATTGATGCATGAGTATCCCATTTCTCAAGTTTCTCTTCGTATTGAATGTAACGTTCATCTTACTGAACTGGGCCGAGCTGTTGAGGATACAGATTGCGTTTTCTGCATTCTCATAAATGACAAAATCAGAGAGACTCTTGGTGCTAGAGAATCTTGGTTCCCAAGCCCCTGTTTTGGATTTTGGCTTATGGGGAGTATTAGAAGAATCAGTTGGTCCCTGCAAACTGTATCGGGGAAGGGTAGGGGGTAGAGGTACCTGCCTACCAGTTTCAGTTACATACTCCTCCCTAAGGTTACCCGTTTCAGTGTCAATTCTTGTGGCAATCCCTACTGACCTATGATATTTCAGCCTATCTAGTGCATTCTTGACTGCACTGGTTTTAGCCCCAACTTTACCCTTCCCGTATCCTCTTGCTAAATACACATCTTCCACATACAAGTCGCAGGCATACCCCGGGACACGTGCCCTGTCTGACTCTAACACAAATGAGGAGGAACTGGTCACCTCTGCTATCTTGTACAAGGGGTTTGCTCTGCATTGCTGAACACACTGTGTGAACACGTGCATGTGGTTTTCAGTGGCCCTGCTGATTTCTCCTAACCTACCACGGACAGCTCCAGCCAAACTGTTGAAGAAGCATTTCTTCCGTACCAATAGGGACCTTTGTACACAATTTTCGGGTAAAATGGAAGGTAGCACATTCGTGGATGGTGTGTCAGGCTTTACAAATGGTTTTCTTTTAGTGCCCAGACCAGCACGCCTCTCCATGACGTCCACTTTGATGGGTTCAGCGATGCCCTCCCGACCCTCCTTCCCTATCCCCCCTCCCGACCACCCCATCTTGCGAAGCATCTGATTACCAATGTTTGTTTCTTTGATCTGCCCCTCCCCCTCTGTCTTGGTACCTAACACCTCTGGTGTGTCAGGCTTTACAAATGGTTTGCTTATAGAAGTTGAAGTTGTACTGCTTTTTACATCACTACCAGCATTACTTATTCCCTGAACCTCAGTTCTACTTAACATTGATGAACAACTGGTAGATGATGTGCTTGGCTTATCAGAAAATGTAGATCCCCCCTCAGGCTGTTGTTTTGTCGGTGGCTGTTCTTCACTCTTCCTTCCCTCCTCCCCAAGCACACCCCCTGACGTGAAGTTGATCATCTTCTTCAAGTCGATGTGCTTCAGTCTCTTGTGGGGAGGGTCACTTGGGGTTTTCAAGTCTCTCTTACCACCTAATGGAAGGAAAACAGCAATTTGAACCTTCTGTTGTCATGCCTAAGTGAGCTTGTTTTGTCATCTTTTTGTACTTTTTTTTACAGCATTTTTTCCTAAGTGTTCAAGACCTCCATAAACTACATGTATATATCCAAGTTTGAAACAAAATTATGGAAATCTTTTAACACTGTTCTTCACATTTACCACTTGTGATGAGGAAATTATGTATCTAACATACATGTACATGTACATGGCTGTAGCAAGTACAATTATCTTTCCATACATTGTAGGGATGGGAGTAAGCTTGCACAGGACTGAAAATGTGCAATTTGTTGACACATTTTGAATAACTGAGCAAAAACTGAGCTCAATACAATGCATCAAATAAATTCATACTCCAATTTCTTGGGGATGGTACTAGTATTCTATCCTATACTCATGTTACTTTGGAGACTCAGCTACCAAGCAATTCCAACAGAAACTGTACAAACATAATTTCTTGTGACTCCGGGTTGTGACGAGTCACAGTTGAAGAGGGAGGGGGGCATGTCTCTCCACCCATCCCTGACAGACATACAGAAAGAAGGAAGACTTGCTGGCCATTTACCTCTTACCCATGCTGCCTCCGTCATTTCTGTTTCTCTGGCTGTTGTCTTGTTGGTCTGCTGATGACTGAAACAGTCAGAGAACACAGGTCAATAACTGCTGAGGTGTACAAATATTTCAACCACTTGTAAGATAATCTGTCAGACTTCAACGTCATATGAATGCATAAAAGTATAAGCCATAAAACAACGAAACATCAAAAATGTCTGCTACCCAAAGATCATTCATTACCATAACTTTCTCCAAAGTTAATAATATGAGTATAATTATAAGACTAGTACTACAATACTACATATGTAAGTACCTGAGGAAGTTCTGGTTTCTGGAATTCTGGCATACCTGCTGCCATCTCCTTTACTCTCTGTTCTACCACAGGGTTGTATCTGAGGGAGAAAGTACAGCGTTGAGCTACTAATATTTCTGTGTGAAACTGTCATGATAAACAGCCCACCCAAACAAAGGAAATGATACTCTGTGTAATATCTGTGTATATTGCCGTGGAAATAAAGACGATACCGGTCTCACGAAAAGTGGAAACTTCAGCATTTAAGATGAGTAAGGATCATCAGATTTTATAATTTTTTTTTGCACTCCACTTTGTTCTGCCCACGCCGGGTCATGGGGGAGGGGGGCCTGGGAACCGACCTGCATCCCAGGAACTCCATGTTGGCCCAGACGTTGGACAGACACACCAACTGGTCCTCTGGATGTTGGTCCCAGTTGTGGAGGATAAACTTCTTCCTGGCGTCCCACTGGACCGGGCTCTCCCACTGATCCCGCACGGTTTTGTCAAGATGCTTCTCTACGTCCGCCATCGTTCCACTGTCTCGCACCGGCGTTCACGATCCTGGGCACGAGAGCGTGCTGTGGTGATTTTGGCAACGCCTCTGGAGCGAGCCGCTTGTTGCCAATGCGATTCCACAGGTTGCGTGCACAGCATGGGTGCGCTATTAAACCTAGTCTCCACCAAAATCTTTTGCAGCAGGCGAAATAAATAGTAGAAATCGGCCTAAAAAGAATGTAGCTCGCCAGGCCAGGGGAGTTGGCCTACAGGCAAACTGGGCCCACTATGGTCGGTCAACCCTTCCCATTTTCGTATGTGGATAATTGAACGAACAGGCCCGTTGGAACTTTTAGGTGCGTCAACAAGGATTCCGTTGAACTTTAAATCTTTTTGTTTTACATTGCATTATCTTAATTGTGAGGGACACAGTCTTGACTGAAGTGCACTTTGATTCCGGCAGGAGGGGCTGTTAAACTGTGACCATCCCATGAATGCGTATGCCATAATGAGCTGCACTTTCTCACGTGATACATCTTTTGACGTCTTTTCACATCTTTATACTGTTAAGCCTTTACTGATTAACTTGATTATATATATATATATATATATATAACAGTCAACTACGTATTACGACCACGGAATACTAGTACCCATTTATATTGATTGATGTTTGACGTCTGCTGAAACGATGCCAATTCAGCTTTTACGGCCGTTGTCAGTCACGGAATGAACATTAAATTTAACAACAGATCCACAGAATTGTCTTTCAAACCGGTTTTGTTTGTATTTTGAAACATCATTTGTAAGCTGATTGAAATTTGGGTTTTCCCAGGGGCTTCCTTTGAAGCTGCAGTTGTTTGTACATTTTCCGTATACATGGCATCGTTTTGAACTGTTGTTTTTTTCATGCAGATTCTGCGTGTGTTAACAATATTTCTTTTCAGCTACTGAGTATTCTCATTTCAGCACCACCCATGACTAAACTATGAGAATGGGATAAACCCCCCGAAAAGAAGACGGGGAATTTCGTGACCTTTAAGCATTTGTGGCTTTCTAAACTGTTTTCGGTGTGAGTTTTTGTGAGTAATTTCTCGGTGGAAGTAATCCTGTTTGTCAGTCAGGCCAGAACGACCGCTCCAGACGCTCACTTTAAATTTGTTTTCAGAAAAAAAAAAGGATTATGGTATCTTGTTTTTCAAGTGTGAAATAGTATTTCTATATCCCAAAATAATCAAAGCTTAAAGATTTTCAAATTGCACAAAATAGAAATGATAAAAGATAGTAGCGTGCTATCCTGACGGTGACCCAAAAAAATATACTCCGCTACGTCGGAAAAGTGCAAGAAAAACTGGCCAGGCATTGAAGTAATATGATCAGTTATCATCATGGAGTCAATTGTCTCTTTATCACGCTAATGTGATGTATGTGGTTTTTTTTTGTCTAATTTGCAGCAAAATTACACATTTCTCTCTTTTCTGGGGTAGTTGTGTGTCAAAAAAACGAGGCAACCACTTGGGCCAAAAAAATGTTGCGATCTTTCATCCTAACATCTGCTTAAGATTAGTTTAATTCATCCTTTAGCATTTTGGCATTGTTAGTTCCTGAATAAGAGCATTCCTAGGGCTTAGCCTGATAACGGGCTTATCCACGGTTGACATACAGCACTTCGTCCGGGAGGGAACGGTTGGGCCGTTACCATGGCAACATATTTCATCGTCAAACAATTTGGCACAAAATGAAACATGTACAAGAATGTCCGAAAGCGGAAATATATACAGTTGCGATCGATTGAAGAAAGATTACAGAGAAACGCAGACGAACGTCGTGGTACACGCACGATCCTCTTGCATTACGCGTCTCGTGTGCATTTTTATCGTCTCATGCAATTTCTTAAGTCTATCTGATCATGTGCAATTTTTTTCAGTGACATGGCGATGACACATATTGATCCAGTTCTGTGCCATAGTTTTCTTTTGAAAAAAAAAATGATCCCTACGAATTCATGGGGTTTCATGGAATTAAACGTCCAAAACTGAATACAGGATGAGACCTGCTGACCGACTGTGAGTCTAACTAAATCAATACATGGAAAGTGACCGGAGATCCCAGCCGCCACTCCAGTGATGAGGGTCTAATTAATGAGATAGATGGCGAGGTGTCTTTTGGGGAATAAAAGGTCGCAGTGTCCGGGCAAATCGCGCCTGTTTCATAATCATTAGTCCATTACCGATGCGTGTGTTCGGACCGACCAGGGTCGCGGGGGGCAGAGGCGAACGGACGGATGCAGCGGACAACAATGCCTCCACATCCCGCCCGTCATCACCATGCACGGCGCGCCCTCCGCATTCGCCAACAGGATTAATTACTTCCACCAATCTGCACTTGCAAATAACACGTGGGGGTGGGACTGAATAAGCAAAAAAACTACTGCCGCGCTGCGGAAATGTACCAGCCAACATCGCAGGACTTAGAGGTTTGCAAATGTCAAACGCATAACAATTACAGGACGGCTGAGACATCGTAGCGGAACAGACAATGCTGGAGAAGTGTCTATCTTCCTGGATTTATCTCTCATTCTGCGTGTTTCTCCGTGTGGCGGTTTTGCATGGCGGTGTTTTCGCGGAGGACGATGTGCCGACGCCTGCGCCGAAAACCGGTGAGCGCGATCAATATGTTTCAATCACTTCATATCATCGAACTGACCCACTTCCACACATGAATATATGTAATATAATTTCATGACAAAATGCTTCATAACATTGTACTAAAAATATGCTTCTCATCATGTAATCTCCATCGGTAACGTAGTAGAGTTACATGCATGTCTTCCTCTCTTTTTGTCTGGTGTCGTCGTTTTATTCTTTTTGGAGAGATGATCATTGGGCGAATTTTGTACATCAAATATTTGCCAAAACAAAGACCAGATTTTCTCAAATGGTCGTGTGAGCAACGTGAATGTTTCGTTGTTTTTTTTTTGTCCATTCTTGGCAAACAAACAAACGAAAAACAACGTTACAGGACTGGACTGCAAACTACGTGTCTAGCAAGTTTATCCTACAAGAATAATGGTTCTGTGCCGAACGGAACATGTACAGATTCAGAGAACCTCGACAGAAGTGCCAACCAAGACTTGGGTGTTGGCCAACATGGCTTTGTTGGTCAGTCTTGCGGCACAGACTCCATGGCTCTCTCTGTGACGCTTGTTTCCAACAGCATATTCAAAGAAAAAAGCGCACTGCAGTGAAACTATGCAGCTACATAATAACCTCGTTGTAGCAAACATAATATAGTTGAGCAAATATATGACTAGACTGACTATTAAATTTACTGGTCAACATCTTCCTCAATTGTAGAGAGTTGTTTTGTCCCATGTTATAATGGTTTACCATTCGGAAGGGAAAGAAACATAAAGAGCTTCTCAGAAACTTTAGTATATTTCATACACCGCATATATGTCTGCTAGGGCTCATTGAAATATCAAATAGCAGGCAATGGGCTCTTCAAAAGACAGCAGTAGGAGGGTGGGAAGTGTGTAACTTTGTGAACTCATTGAAACCGAATCTCAACTCGATCTTCACCGTGTGGTGAATGGCATGGTAGAGACTATAGTTCTTGCATTAACACACATATCCTCCAACTGGAGCAATGGCAGCAGCTTTCGTCAACAAACACACAACTGTGGCTGTTATATACTCAGGAACCAACAGAAATACTACACAAGGCAGTGCGGATCGACGATATAATTCGTAAACTTTATTGATTCCCCAATATGTGAAAGTGACATCCACGCCCTTACAAAATGAGGTTTAATGTTTTCCGAACACTTACTTCCCAGGAAAGAAACAGTATTTCGTTCACACAAAGTAAATAGGCATCAAAGTAGAATATTAATACTACGTTAACGTTAAGGCTGCGTTCTGATGACGGGTTTACGACAGCATACACTGGGAAATCCTTGTACAGTTGTGGTTATGTCCACGGTGCTATATGTATGTCGCACAGACTTTGACTGTCTCGTAGTTGTCGTTCTGTCATAGCAAACAGGTTTGTACTGCCATCTGCCATGTGTAAGGGTCTGTATGGACGTTATGTATGTGGATGGTTTTTGTTTCAGTCATGAACGACCATCATCTCGAGAAAAAACGGACAGGCAAGCAATTCTGAGCTTTTCTCTGGATTTCTGGTTACCCAACCTCCCGAGGCAGGGTCGGTGGCGCGGTATTCTACACCTTACCGCGCCACCGACCCTGCCTCGGGAGGATGTGGTTACCATGGTCTAGTTATTGTGCCCATTTCTGTAACTCACACAGAAATCACTAAACAAACTCAGCACACTCAGAAGTCTTTTGGTTTCAGAAGGAAGTCAAAATTATCACTCATCAAGTACGTTGTAATGTCATATAAAACAGAATGGAGCCTGCTTGTCGACGAAAATAAGTCTAGAAAAGGCAGACACTTCATTGACGTAATCACGTCCCGCAGGGACACATTCTCTCTCTTGTTTTCCATAATTTACTCCGGGGGTAGTTGTGTCTTTGTGCGCACCCAGAGGTTCCAGTCCATTTGATTCACATCTCGCTGAGTCCCAGTGTTCGCCAGTGTCAGTCCCCCATGGTACGGACTCTCCTCAAATGTCAACCGGACTATAAAACTCAGTCTGACCTTTCACAGATGACCAGTGGAGGTGGGGGATCTTTTGCCCAAGTGTCTGTAAATTAAACCTATAATTGACTGTTCTGATGACCGTTTCAATTGGTCCCTTTAGACTCTGGTCTTCTTTTTTTCTAAATTTTGCTCATTTGTTCACAAACGCCTTCTTTTACGTAAATCGTTACAATTTGTCATGAAACAACTGAGTTTATCAGTTTAAGGTTGGGTTTAGGGACGCGTTTATGGGGGTGGGAGAGTTTTGTAACACCTTCGACAAAGAGAAGGCTTAGAACATAAAAGAAGGCAGGAGGGAAAAGCAGAAGAATTGAATGTACTTAATCTTCATGAAATGTGCTTTATAAAAGTGTTTTATTTGTGACATTGGGTGGAATTCGGGTCAGCGAGACGACACTATACGGCGAGAATTTATAGCCTAAAAATAGACCGTCTAACAAAGCTTTATCCATCCTTTCAGGACGCTGAATTCGGCGGCAAAACGTAAAGGAACTATCCCAATCCTTTGGAGATAGAATTGGCCGCCAAGTTACCGCTTAGTAGAAAGCTGTATGTTGCCAAGTAATCTCTTACATATATTTTCTCGTGAGAAACTGTAAAATAATCTAAAGATACATTTTTTATGATACTCCGTGACCGTATGTAAACCGGCCTGCGTCAAATCCCTCGGCAACAGAGATTAATCCTTTCCGTAAACCGACAAGTTTTTTCCTGTGTTAGCCTGACCTCTTCAGTTGACACGCCCTAGTTTTCCCTCGCACTGCTGCATTCAAGTGCATTGTGTGAGGATTCCGGCCGTCCAGACGGTTCAGAAAGACAGATGCCTGGCGTCCGGTAGCCAGTAGCCTAACTCTGGAGGTGGAACTAAAAAAATGCCAAAGAAAAACTCGGCCTTTTCACAGAACAGCCAGCTGACAGCGGTTTATACAAGAGATAATGAAGGAGCTATTTATAGCGTCCGTTCCTTTGTCGACTTGATTGATGTCCCTTCTGTCATTTTTCCTTCTATTTTTTCCATGCAGGTTCTGTCGTCGCCTAAAAATAGCACCAAGTCTACTCTTGCTTGTTGAAACTGGCGAGGAATATTCTTAATCTAATCCGTATTGTGATGCCAAATGAGTCACATCAAGTCCAGAAACATTAGTCTTTTGAGTACTTAAAATGATTTTAAGGAAAATTCAGCTGTCACTTTTTTTGGGCGCGGGAAGGGTGACGAAACACGACACGAGCTTTGTAAAGTGGGGACAATGTGTGCACTGGCCTATCGCTGAACGGATTAACTGTTTTGTAACAACGCCATTGAAAATGCAAAATCTAGTCTGTGGTAAGAATAAAGTTGCGAGTTTCGTAACTGATGCAAATTGAGCAAAAACAAATGTAATACGTACTATACAATATTGAGGATTTGCTTGCTCAAGTGCAGTGCGTTATGGCTAATCATAGCAGATTTAAGACATAGTCTCAGTGTTTCAAGCGTGTTTTGCAACATTCAGTACGTCTTTCTAGTGTTGCACATTTTTAATGCTTCGCGTAAAACATTGCGCCGTTTCCTTACGTCTGCTTGGAGGTAACACCTGTTAAGCTGTGTTCTTATACCAAGTGATCTCCAAGCAGATCTTACGGTGGCAAGACAGAATCCATTGGCCAAAGGAGTGTGCTTTAGCCACATTGTTGTATTGTTCCTTTTGTGACACATGTTTCAGGATGATAACACACCTGTTTCTTGGACAGTATCAAAGAGGCACAGGACAGAATGAGTCCGACGTAATGCGACTAGTGAACAAACAACGCCAAGGAGATTCAATTTTAAGGCCCTTGACAAAACGAACACAAAGCACGTCGCCGGTTTACTTCCACAGACTGCCTCTACCATAGGGACCGCCATCATGCCTCAACTAACGTGTCCTTCGGCCATGACGTCACGCCTCGAGCATGCGCAGTCTCCCATCTACCGTATCGCCTGAGAGGAACACAGAAATGGCGGCTCGTGCTTCCTGACTCAGATGCCAGCGGCTCGCGCAAGTCTCGCCTAGCAACCCCGCCGTCTTCCAACAACTTTAAACCCTTTGCGGCGGCAAATATTTACGATAACTTGTGACTCTCTGCCAGAGCCAACAACAAACACTCCGACATTTACTGCCTCCTCCAATAGATGATCATACAGAGGCTACAAAGATGCTGACAAAGAGTCCTGTAGAGACGGCGTAAGGCTGGAGATGTACCGTCAAAGGCAGCCCAGTAGGGGAGGTTTACGTTTCAGATACTAAACGTTATGAGGTCATCTGTGAAGTGGGAGGTCTCTAGAGGGCTTGAATAAAGTTCTTTTGAGAGGACGAGATACTTGAATTGTTAGGAAATCAATTGCAACCCAATTGTTCTAAGAACTTCAACAAAAGAAGGAAATTATTTCTTTTATGTTCAAAGCAATGCGAGGGTGACCTAGAGGAGCGGTAAAGTTTCAAAGGAAAGTTTATCCTGAGTTCATCTGAAAACCGTTGACTGTTTGTTACTCGTTTCCCGGCAGCCGATTCTCCATGCCAGCCGTGCCCGGTTTCAAATGCTGAAGTTCGGACAAACGTTTTCAATCGAATCCGCAAGAATCATTGGTCGCGTTTCTCTTTCAAGCCGAAAATCTTCCAGAAATTTATTGTGGCTGCGGTCTTTGGGGGAGCGCTCTCTGTAATAATTAACTTTGCCTCACCATTGAAAGTGCTGCGGCCCATTCAGGAGGGTAATCCCGTTTTTTCACGGAGCTTGCCGCCGGTCTGGGGGGCACGACGGCAGGACCGCCCGGGGAACACGGCAACCCGCCGGTCATACATAAGTGCCTGAAGACATGGGAGATGGGGAGTAACTTCGGTATAGGAAGAGAAACCGCCAGACTACATGACGCGAGTGACTTGCTTCAAACAACAATTGCAACAATTGTTGGCCAGAATAGAGTACTACGAGTATTAGGTATCTCTACCTATCTTTGATGTCGACGTCGCTATACACACTTATATTGATTGGCATTGGCATATATATAAGAATGTCGCTTTATCGAAATGAGAATGCTACTGTAATTGCAACTGCAACAGTTTTATTATGCTCTGTCCTGACTGTTATATTTTGCTTCCTTTCCTTTCATTTAATTGTTTTCTTTGGCGAACTTGCAAGTATTGGATTAAGCATCACAGTTCCCAGAGTTGACCCATTGCCCTTTTCACCTTTTGTATTTCACGGTGATTTTCGCTGCCAATGCAGGACCGCACCTCTCGTCACCCGACTGTACAATCGCGTTATCCATGACCATAAACACATTTACTTCCTTCGGACTTTCCTCAGCCAGAGTTCTGAGAAACCTAGATTAGATCAAGCAGATTGCTGGCAACACAACCAAGGGCGCACAACGTTAGGATGCATATATGGGAGTTTTATCTGGGTAACTTTTCGCCCCAAAGGGTTAAACAGTAAATCAGCTTTTGCTATCAGTGTGATTGTAACGTTTAGCAAAGCACAATCACAATGATATCGCTGTTTAGAATCGTAATTAATTACTTTGTAAGAATGTTCCCTCAAATTTCTTCCAACAATGTGCCCTTCCACAGTGTTGTCCTGCGACTTCGAGAAAAGTTTGTGCGGTTTCAAGCAGGACAGAGCGGACGATTTTGATTGGCTGCCGAGGCGCGGGAAAACGCAAACCGCTGGGACGGGGCCGGCGGCGGACCATACCAAGGGGGACATCACGGGTGGGTACAGGGTGTCTGTAGATGATGTCATAGATGCCATGTCGGTTGAGTTTGCATCTATAGTTGTTATAATTACTTGACCGTAATCACACATACAGCTTCAAGTTTACCTGCATGGCTACTTTTAGGTTTAACCATCCAGCATGGCGGGCAATACTTACGTCATGATCACGTGAGTGCAAACACCTGTAATGTATTTGCAAGCTGGTTTGCTTACTCGTACATAAAGAACATAGAAACATGCTGTTGTGTTGACAATGTCTTGTACAACGTCATGGTGACTGGATCTATATATTCCTAGTTAAACTAAGTTTTCTTGTTGTATTTGTTGATGCCAATTTTCAGTTTCTGTTGCTATTTTAATACCTTTTCGTGGTCAGAAAAAAAGTTTCTTGGTCAGAAAAAAAGAGCAAACATGACTCGGTTCTTCAAAATTCTCAACTGTCTTTATCATCAACATTTCCAAATACTTTTTTCAGGTCGATATTTTTTCATCGAGTCCTCGGCACCGCGGCGGCCGGGGCAGGTAGCCCGGCTCCTCTCGCCCATGCGCCCGGCCGACACCGCGCAGCACTGCCTGGCGTTCTACTACCACATGTTCGGGATCGACACCGGGGAGCTCACCGTGTACGTGGAACAGGACGGCGTGCTGGGCAGTCCTGTGTGGACAATGGCCGGCAACCAGGTAGGCAGCAAATGAGAAAATTTGCATAGCAACTTCCTCTAACTTGTTCGGTGTAATGTAGCCAGCTGACGCCGCGCCGCGTACCTGCGAAGCTGGTGTGTTGCGCCGAAGGGCGGTTATACCGGCTTTTGCCCGGCTTCAATTTCACAGCAATCATGATTTTCTCACGAATCTTTTACCTGTTAGTCCTAATATTTCAGGCCTTGTCGTCACCATATCGCCAGGTTCTGTCATTTTGTTCATGTGTGCCGATACTCTGAGTCTGCGCCCTCGGGAATCTGAAGACCTTGAACCTACCGGGTATGTGTGCCGTGATTCACGGGCCTGCAATTCGGTCATGGTCACGGAAATCGTAATTTAACGGCTGGCTTTTGTCTGCTTTATTTCCGCCAAAAGGCCAGCACTCTCGAAGACCCCACACCAACTCCCCGACTCGCAGCCCTGCAAAACAACACCCATTGAAAACTAGAGAACCCACAGTCACAAGGCGGCATTGAAAGTGAGGTCGTTCATCATCGATTCATTTCCCTCACTCTACCAGCCTGTCCTGATCGGGGCACGACGGCGTCTGTTGCATAATGTGCTCCTATAGAATGCATGTATTAACGTTTCCATATTTACCACATTTTGATAGCTAAATCCATTATGACACAGCAGACACACTCGGTGTAGATCAGCGACATCGCAGACCAGATAGAAAACCAGAACACTGATCAAAACCTCAAACCTACGAATGCATGCAATTTACATCAAAGCTATGCGAACTCCAAAATAAAGCAACCTAAGTTATTTGGGGCTTCTGAATGCTTTGCACCATAGCCCAGAGTCAGACGTTTGGTTTGTACGTCTCAACACGAGTCAATGCAAACCCGTCTTGAACATATTTCCATGAAGCTGATATTATAATCGGCTATAAACTTTAGATTTTGCGAAATCGTTTGGAAAGTTCTGCCAACCACTGTCAATCTATCCTATATATAACTGATTTAAGGCCTTTTGACATTGCATCATGGCGTGCAGTGACGAAAAAGATAGACAGACAGACAAGTCAATCATTTTATGAGGATCCTGACCAAAGTGATTCTGTTGCCAGGGCAACCGGTGGAACTACGCCCAGGTGACCATCGAGCCGACCGGCTTGTTCCGGGCGGTGTTCCAGGCGAACAGAGGGAAGGACTACCGGGGAGACATAGCCCTGGACGACGTGACTATCACCGAGGGAAAGTGCCGTGTGCCAGGTACGACACCATAAGACTTTCTTCGATATGCAGGTGGTGTATTATTCATCATTCAACAAGATAACAGGATTTAAGATAATCGTGTTTTCCTGAATCATAGAAATTGAGTCACACTGCGCAAGGGCATTGTTACCCAAACAAAGCAACTCAGATAGACTTTGAAAAGTCATCCTTGATAAATATCAGGCAACTGGATTAGAAATCTATCCAGTTGCTTGAGTAGAAAATCTCATTACGTGGATGTCTAACCTTCATCGACAAGCCACATATTGCACTTTTCCTTGTCAGACAGTGGAAAAGTGTGAAGCGAATATTTTCCCAGACACAAACAATCTAATCTCCAAGCAGATCATACGGTGGCAAGGCAGTATCCATTGGCCAGAGGAGTGTCCATTAGCCACCGAAGCTAATGGACACTCCTCTGGCCAATGGATACTGCCTTGCCACCGTATGATCTGCTTGGAGATTACAAACAATCTACCACGTGGTGTCTACGCAAAGGTCACACGACTGGCCAGGAATAAAACTGAGTTCTTTGTTACCGACCAGCCAAAACATGCTCTCACGTTGATTGATTGGGACCGTGGGAGGGCTGCTACGTCAGCACACGTCATCGGTAGTCAGCCGTGCATTCTCTGGGAAGCATGACCTGGAAGAGAACCGCGGTGGGATGTGTGTTAATGGAGAGTGACGCCAGTGAGACGTTCGCTCAAGTTCAGTGGAAAAAAAGACCACACAACCTCACAGTTGCTTTTTTGGTAGTTGGTCAGTCCAAGGACATTATATACAGTATAATGTTCTTGGTCAGTTACTGACAAACCTAGATCATCTCGGAGCTTCCCTACATATACACTTATGTTTAAACAAGGAGCTTCCATAGAATGTGCTTGGTTTAAACAAGGACAACGTCCTTGGTTTAAACAGTCACTGTACACTGAACAAAGAGACTCTTTTACACCAACAAGAGGTTCATTCAGCCGACGTTTCAGTGATCGACCTAGTGTACTGTGCAATGTGAACCAGTCAGATTTGCCCTGAGGAAGGTGACAGGCGGTCACCGAAACATCGGCTGAATAAACGTCTTGGTTCTGCAAAAAGAGTCTCTTTATTCAGTGACTTACCAACCTGATGAAACTATCCACGAATGCTGTCCACTGTCACACAGTTATAAGTACCCACCTACTGTTGGTGCCAAAATAAGAAAGTTTCCGTCTTCGTTTAATACTTCAGATATCCCGGTTCGGCTTGTCAGCCTTGACCCTAGCTCGACCACGCCCTCTAGCGGCCGTGTGGAGGTGTTCCATGGCGGGGAGTGGGGGACGGTCTGTGACGACTCGTGGGGGAAGAGCCAGGCCGAAGTGGTGTGCCGGGAGCTCGGCTTTCCTGGAGCCGTGGAGGCGATCTGCTGCTCCCTGATTGCAGGTGCGTTTGTGGAACTTTCTTCTACAATTCCTTTACAATTCTTTTACAGTTCCTTTTCGTTGTAGCTTTGATATCAGCCTGGATGCCAGACTGTTTCCAGGCCTACATAGACCAGTTCCAGGACCAACATGCCCTGAAGGAAGCCAGAGACTCACTCAGTTAGGCCATGATTCTCATTCTGGGCCTAGTGTGTTATGGGTCTGGCATCCAGGCTAATATTCAGTTAAGAAGCGGGATTTAGGACTGACTCCAAACCATGGGATGTACACACTAGCAACTCAACAACAGCAACAACCTGCCTTGTCATGGATAAGGAATAATCTGTCTACTGACTATTGCCATTGTCTACTAGTCTAGTATCAGGAAGTGGCAATCCTTATTAACTATCTACCCTTTTCTGTAGGCCCCGGACGGGGGAAGATCTGGCTGGATAACGTGGAGTGTACGGAGAAGGAGGACTCTCTGTTACAATGTCAACACAACGGCTGGGGGGTGAGCAACTGTGGGCACGGCGAGGACGCCGGCGTCATCTGTCAGGAAAAGGTAGGTAATACTACTTCATGACGCCAGATGGCGCTGTACACAACATTCTCACCAAAAACACAAACATTACAAGAGGACATCACTCACGCTTCATCACCATTTCATGCAAGACAGAAGCATACAGAGCCAGTTATTTCCCTCGAACCGTCATCGAGTGGAACACACTACCAGGTACACTCATATCTTGCACATCCCTTGATGCGTTTAAGGCGGGATTGGCCAGTCACCTTGGCCTCTCCGCCAATACCCAGCTGTAGGGTTATTTTTGTTTTCTGGTGTGGCTTTTGTATATAGTTGCACATTTCGGTTTCTTCTTTTTGCAATTTATTATTTATAGATCATTTTTCATTTGTTTGTATATTTTTGTTGCGCACCACCACCTGCCACACCAGCTGCACCTCCTTCCCGGGACGTGATGTGCCGTGAGGCACTTTGTCCCGTATCATGTAGATGTAGATGTAGATGTACGGCAGAGGTTGCCGCCAACAACTGCTTTGTGAAATTAGACTACATCTCTGTGAAATCACTTGCTTGCCTATCCTTTTCATCCCTCGCGAGCCTTAAGACCAGTGTATAAATTGCTACATAGAAAAAAACAGTGCTCTTTCGTCGATACATCCATGTCAGTTTAAAAGTTCCAACGAGTTTTCACGACAAACTTACTGAATTTCATATTTCTACAGGTTATAATTCCAGAGAGCCAACATCTGATGAAGCCCTCCACAGACAGACCAGACGTGACCACGCTGTTCCTGCGCACGCCTCCCCGCGCGTTAAACATGACTGCACGGACCCTGCTGAAAACCACAACACGAGCAACAACGGACGTCCAGACCACAACCGCGACTGTTGTTGGTCCCTCTTCAACAAAATCACCAGACGATAGTACTAGTACACAACCACCGCTGCCAAACGCGCTTGGGGACGTAACCACAACGATGAGGTTACCGCATCGAAACGTAACTGCCTATACGCCTACACCTGCCCCTGGAAGTGTCAGAAATGTTATAAACCCCGTGATTCACGACCAGCCACAGGCACTGCAGCAGAGGCTAACGCCATCAGGTGAGTAGAAACAGACCAATTTTTGTAAACTAGATGTTGCTGTTGCTTAGACAATAAATATAGCTATTGTAATATTTCAGAGGTTTTAATACCAGCCGACGTACTACAGGCGACGCTATGAACACTTCTTTGATCCGTCATATCTAGCAATAATTTTTATCTAGATCAAATCCTACGCGGTGCATTGAGAAAGCTCCGCCCCTGAGGTGTCGCCAAAAATTGGACTTCTTCCTCCCTTCCAGACGTGGCGTCGTCCCTGAACGTGACGTGTTCGTCCGGCTCCATGGCGGTCAGGGCGCCGGTCTCCTCTCTCCGCGCGCTGGGGCTCGATCCCAGGAGACTGCACCTCAACGACCCACGCTGCCGTGGGAACGAGGACCCCGCCAAGACGGAGTACGTCTTCCGGATTCCGGGCGGGCTGTCGGCGTGCGGATCCGTCTTAACGGTAAACATTTCAGTCAGCTCTACGACATTTTGGTTCGGTGAGGGTACATAGCAACCCCTCCTGTAAACCACAACGTCTTTCTATAGACACAGCAAGGAACCCTGTTGCCCTGTTTGCCACCACACCAGGCTTTATAAAGGCCTTCATCCTACATGTCAAAAAGAGGATGTGTCTCAGTCGATGTTATCTCGTGTATAAAGACTACTGGTATATATCAAATAGGTCTAGAGGGTGATGAACTGTCCTCGGTCGTGTGAGACATACAGTAAGTTCTGGAGACACTTTATGGCGTCACCTTAAGAAGGATGAACTGAACTGACATCATGATCACTTCTTTCAGCAAACAGACAACAGTATTGTGTACCAGAACGCCATCCAGGGGTCGGACGGGGACGGGGTCATCACCCGCCGCCAGATCAAGCTCAACTTCACCTGCTCCTACAAAATCGACCTGACCGTCAGTCTGGCACAAGCTGTGCACCCCCTCCTCAGGTAAGTGGTTTCATCTGAAAGAGAAACGCCGTCGAAGTTGTGTGTGTTAGTAAGAATTTCGAAAGCTTCTTTCTGATGGTGAAGGTAATCTCCAAGCAGGCTCCCATGGTCGCAAGGCAGCACCCAACAGGCCTGCAGTGTCCGTTGCTTCGACAGCTATTAAATGGTCTCTGCTTGCTCACTGGATGCTGCCTTGCCTCCTTGGGATCTGCTTCCAGATTAAGTAAGGGTCTTAGATAGAAAAGAATGCAGGAAGAAGACATTCCCCAGAAAATTATAAACTGAGAAAACTTTCGTTGCGAAGGTATTTTTCATGGTAACATCATGGAAAGACGATGGGGCTTGACAGCAAGGTCACGAGATCCTTAACAAAATCTCAAAAATGTTTATCTTCAATTATTGAGAACGTATGATGTTGTTTTGACAGTACGGTGTCGTTTGCTGTTGACGGCCACGGCCAGTTCACCGCCACCATGGCGCTCTTCAAAGACGCCACCTACCGGATTCCGTGGGGAGAGGCACCCGTCATCGACGCCGGGGAGGCTGTGTATGTCGGTATCCAGCTGGACAGTGAGGGGGAAGATAAAGTTGTCCTAAACACTCGCACCTGCTGGGCAACCCCCACGAACAACCCCAGGGACGACGTCACTTTCAACATCATTGCTAACGGGTGAGAGAAGATCTTCAGTTAAAAACAAAAATCTACAGGGCGTCGTTTAAGAAAACTGTCTTGATTGCATGGTCACGGTTAACATTTTACCGCTTATCCTAGTGTTGCATTTTTATTCATAGTGATTGATCTGTAATAGATATGTTACAGGTGCGCCAAAAAACAGTTACTCAAGCAACTGGATATGATTTCATATCCAGTTGGAATCATATCTAGTTGCTTGAATAACTGTTTTTGGCGTATCTTATTACCTGGATGTCTAACCTTCATCGACGTACGTTACAGGTGCTCTTCTCAAAAGGATGGGTCGGTCCACGTCATGGAAAATGGGGTCTCGCTCCAGAGCAGGTTCCGAGTGCGCATGTTCCAGTTCATCTCCTCCCAGTCGGTGTTTCTTCACTGTGACGTGCAAGTCTGCAACAGGACCGACAGCGACTCGTGTAGACTGGTGAGGATCTTTTAAAACTTTGCTCTGCTTTAATTTGTGCACTATCTCCGTTTCAAAAGATCTAAACATAGAGGTCATTCGACGAAGTTGTTGCGAAAAAGTTACTCAAGCAACTAGATATAATTTTGGAAACGCCAGACGTTTGTTTCGGCGTATATTTTTACCGGCACCTGAATATCTAACCTTCACCGACGTATGAACGAAGTTGTTTCGTATTGCCTGACAGGGATGCGCCCCCTCGCGATTAAGACGCTCGCTGCAGATGGACAGGCTGAAGGACGCTCACATGATCAGCAGCGGACCAATCAAAAGGGCGGGTTCTGGAGAAGATGGCGGACCTCGACACGGGGACAAACGTCGTACGTACAATTATAATATTCAAATTTTTTCTACATATATCATAAACGGTAGTTATCGTTAATCGGAGTATGAGTGACTGCGCATACCTTTCCTTGGTGCTGAAAAACTTTCCCATCATTTCAACGTGTGATGACTAAGAGATATCAAACCATATCACCAGGCTTTTGTATGAGTCTTGTGTTGGAACATTTTACGACATTATGCAAGTCTTCAAACCTCCTCTGGCAAGCAAGATTATCATAATGCTATCTATAAGTTGAATAGGCCACAGCAAATTAGATACATATTACATGCTCATGGTAGAACAATATTTGAGACAAGCGTACTTTTCCTCTTTCCGTGCCTCCAGGTCCCTACGCGTACGTTAAACCGGGAGTTTACGTTCCTGTCTTACTCATCGTCATCATTCTTCTCTCCATCGCCATCGTGGTGACGGGAATGCTCAGCAACAGAAAGAAGCGCCCTCCAGCGGGTCCCCCCAAACTGCTGCGCGTTCGGCACATCCGGGTCCGCCCGGCCCCGCCAGAACGGGAGAAACCACCCGAGGAGAGGGAGGAGCAGGATGACGAGGATTTCGTCCAACTCATCTAAAACCTTTCAATGATTGCGACGATCGTTGAACTTTTTATCACTCCGTTATTGGCGTAATTTATATGTATGGATATCTATTTTGGCTACTACAATTCGGTAGAAGTTGATCAAACTGATGAATGGGTATGATCATGAGTGTATATAAATTTTAGTATAGCATTGTCTTTTGTAAGTGCGTGAATAAGTGCATTTTCGAATGTTGTGCACCTTACATTTTTCGTTAAGCAGTAAAATGAATTGCATATTACGCTATAAGAAAATGGGCCAGCTATGCTTGTACCTTCTGTTTTTTTACCTACCAGTATTTTGGAAAAGTTTGTGTGTCGAAACCTCCTAGTTCTCCCGAGTGTGTATCCCTTGTAGAAACCGTTTCAGAACTACCTTAATTTATGGATAGATCGGTGAATACAATGTAAGATGACAATGTGGGAGTCAGATATATTTCTGTGTTTGGTGTGTGTGTGTGTGTGTGTGTGTGTGTGTGTGTGTGTGTGTGTGTGTGTGTGTGTGTGTGTGTGTGTGTGTGTGTGTGTGTGTGTGTGTGTGTGTGTGTGTGCGTGCGTGCGTGCGTGCGTGCGTGTGTGCGTGCGCAAGGCGATTCGGGGAGATGGCGATATTTGAAAGACGTTCTGGAACGTCATTTACGTCACTGTGGAACGTCACCGTCATCTAGAGATGTGGAAAAGTAAACAAACCGAATACGGCGGAGAGAGCAGTGATCGGAAAAGTGTTCCGAGGCTTTCAGAAATCTTTTAGAGTTTTTCCTACCCGCAAAGATCGTCATAATGGGATGTAATTTATCCAAGACCAAGATTAGGCCATTAGATGTGCCTCTGTCCGATAATAAGTCCTGGTAAGTGAAAGTTGAGGTTAACAACATGACTATACTAACACATCCGTAAATAATTATATTCGGTTGACGAATGATTGAATATCAACGTTCTTTATTTACAACCACTTGTTAACAACAGCCGACGTTACGAATCGCCCTGATTAAAATGACAGACGGTCATGGAAACGCAACAGCTATTGTAAACAGGTGGTTGTAAAAAACACATTTAGCTTTTACATTTATGACTAACACAGTTCTCCAAAGCGTTACACTGAATCCACTCCTAAGATCCACAATAACATGGGGTTGACTGCTTACAATGAGAAGTGTGAACGTAATTACTCAGAAAAATTTAGGACTTACTTTTTAAACTTCATGTATATTCTACATGATGCTAGCGGCATACCTGTATAAAAATAAGGGAAAAAGCTCGTCTTAAAACCCCAGGGCCTATATCAGAATTTTTGTTCTGAAATTGGGGAACTGAGGGTTGGGCAATAGTCCGGATGCTCTTCATGCAGCACCATGATTTAGTTTTGTTACATAACCTTTTTTCTATCTAGATGTCTCCCCTACTACTAGTATATCATACTATCGAAAAATTTAATGTTGTTCTCCATTGTCCTTCTACTTCCATATTTATTCTTCAATAACAAGACGTTGGTTGTTACATGAAGTTTTGAACACGATCAAGTCAACTGAGTTCATGGTTTTTCTCTGGATGCAGGTTTGGTGCCAAAGTCAAAGGACAGGCGAGAAAACTTCGGAGGAAGTTGATGAAGTGTTTCCAGAAAGACCAGAAGAGGTCAAAGAAGGGGACGGAGACAGCCGAATCAAACGTCCGGGTTACGGCAGAGCCTGACGCGTACATGTTTGTTCCCACCACGACCACGTTCCAGAACGTGCACACCGATGTGGTGAAACTGATCATCTTGATCATCGCCCTCGCACGGCTTTTGGAGTTCTTATTCGGGATCAACTTCCACAAATTGTCTAACCGTGAGTACAGGCCGGTCCAGAGGGTCTCAAGATTCCGGGACTTGGCGAAGTACCCGTACGAGGAGCCGAGCCGGACCCGCCGGGTCTCCCACACTCCGCCTGCGCGCCAGCTCGCCGTTCTGCCGCCTCCGCCTTCTTACAGGCAGATGACGTTCGTCAAGAAGACGAGAGAAGAAATCCTGGTGGAGAAGAACCTGTCAGTGGTAGGGTACGACCGCGACAGGGTGGCCACTGATGGCAACTGCTTCTTTGAAGCAGCGGCCAGACAACTCCGAAGGGGAGACCCACGTGTCGTCACCACCGCCCAACAACTCCGGCAGGACCTTATCCGCTACATCCGCGCTCACGCAGAAAAGTACTCCATCGCCGTGCCGGGCGGGCTCTGGGCGTTCCACCGGGAGCTGGACGATCTGTCTCGGCCGGGTCACTGGTGCATGGACCTGGGAGACACCCTGCCGATCGCTCTCGCAAACTTCACCTCCAGGGAGGTCAACCTGGTCACCAGCATCCCCGCCATGCCGGTCATCACGCTCGAACCTGACGGCGAGGAGTCCGGCTCCCCTCTGGTCTTGGCGTACCTCAACACCCCGGGAGGGGAGCACTACGATGCCACGAAGAGGAAGAGGAGCGGCTAGACTGAACCGCGAGGACTGAGGATCAGCTGTAATTTGATGTCAGGGAGAGGAGGAGTACCTCCGGTGGGTGGGACGGTCTCAATCTGGCGACATGAAGAGGAAAGAGTACTCAGGAGAACTGCTCCGGAGTCTGCCACGCTTTTCCGCCAGGAAAAGGAGTGAGGAATGCGCGTCGATCGCGATGGTCGTGATATGACGCCATGAAGAGAGAGATACAGAGACTACGTACGGTCTTTCTGTTCCGTAAGGTGGATCTGATCGCAATGATACAAAAGCGCCCCCTGGGCAAAGATACCACTATGTTGAAGAGTGAAGAGTGCTGCTACATAAAATGGATATCGGTCGGTCAGTATGATGCCACAGAGTACCAGCAACAATATGCCTTCAGCAAGAGGAGATTCATCAACAATATTCTGAAGTATACGTATGTACTTCGGCCACGGTTGATCTGTCGCCGTCATGGCATCGCGGAGATAGAGGAATGACGAGTGTCGGAGTGTACAAGGAACACAATAGATCCAGACAACATATTTATGGTGTATATTTTTGTTGTTTCGAATTCTGTCTTCATGACTCGCTACGTATGTGTTTACATCCAATTTCCTAGCTAAAGTCGAAGAGACTTCTCAAGCGGATGACACTTTCTTGTGCGACATACTTTCCTTGTAAACTGAAATTTGTAAATACCCTCCCGATTTGTTATCATCAATATTGAAATATTAAATTCTCAGGGACAAAGGGTTTACCCGTTGATTTGATTGTGAAATGTCTTAAATATTGTCATGAAGATATGTAGTAGTTTTAATCTAGCAGTTTCTAGTAACGAAGTAAACACAGTCCCAACAGAATCGCATCCATGCGGAGCAGGCGAGTACTACAACCAACGTTCTCTCCTCACGACAACATGACATGTTGATTTTGAAATCACCCGTAGTGAGGTGTTGAATGTTTAGATCATGTGTGACTGTATCTAGGCACACACCCTTTTGGTTGTGCAAAACCCTGTCAATCCTTATCCGCCTACGGAATGTGTATAGCTTACACAAACAAAAACAACCATTAAGATCTCATTGTTGCCACTTGTAGAGTGACCAATACACCTTTTCGTAGTCCATAAAAGAGCCATGAGTCGTGCAGACAATGAGAAGGGAAAGTCATTTACCTGGGGTGATGATATTAAGGTCATATCATTGTTCTGAGCCGTGAATTTATCCAGAAAGACGGGAAGAGAATTGTATTCTTGATAGCAGACCTGTCGTTTAGGTAAGTACTAAGTGTAACACTCGGACCAACTAGCTCTCAACTAGAAATTTATTCATACATTACAAACCATAATCCATCCAGTATATATACAATATGTGTATTGAAAGAATAAGCATCTATGTTCTACTGTTCTGGATTCATTCGTGCTGAAATGTTTTCCCGATGGCTGAAAGGCTGTAATTGTTAGTCTGTCCGCCAGGCTATGTGACAGCTGATTGACCGGTGAAATCGACACCGTGTCCCTTTGTTCGGGTGAAATGAACACCAGTCTGTGCGAAACGTGAGTTGTAACGTACGGTTAGTTTAAATCGCGTTTCCCCTTTGAAATGGTACGATTGTCAAGGCTTCTGCAGTGTCGGAAGTGTTAAAACTGATTCGAGTTAAGGTGAGTCTTGTTTGCGTCCATTTAGAATATAAACTTCAGATAGGACAGATAGGAATATTTCGTGTGCTTCATACATGTGTGCTTAATTCAATGGGGGGGGGGGGGTATTATAATAAGGAAATGACCACAACACAGCACCATATGATTTGGTAAATAAGTGACTTAGTACTTTACTGTGTATCAAATTTCGATGATCTAATTTTAGGATTAACAAAAGCTACAACATCGTATTGGAATGATGTTGAAGTCGTTGGAAGAAACAGACTCTTCGTGAAACATTTGAAAATTGATATTAATATACGTCGTCATTATCAACTTCGGAGTATCACACAAGTTATCCCAAACTATTTTGTTACGCCGCATATTATTATCAGCTTCAACTAAATGATATGTAGCAACAATAACAAGGTGTTTTTCAGTGCCAACAATTGGAGCGACGCTGTGAAAATAGAGCGGAATAGACGTAGATATTTCTATACCAAAATATAAATTCCCTGTTGCATCGTGGTCTTCGTTTATTATGTACAGAAATGAACCCAGATTGACATCTATGCGTGAAAACCTGTATCATAGGATGATTTTATATGAAACCCTTAAAACATGTGTTCGACATGTATGTTTTGTTCGCCTTGAGTAGAATTGCATTTGGACAAACAGGACGATCCCACTGAAAACAAAGCAGACTTAGAGTTGGATGAAATTACTTCTTCTATCCCCTTTTCTTTAAAAGCACTTTTACATTTATCAAAAATATGTTAACCTAACAATTGTGTTAATCGTATTTAAACACTATATTCTGTCAGTATTTCTAAATAACCATTGAGTTGTTTTTGTATGATCCCTCTGAAGCTGTACTGGAACAACCCAGAGTGTGCATTAGTTACCATAAACACGTTAACCCTGTGCCCACGTCACGGAGAGGTGGCGACGGAAAAAGCCCGCTGCCTGTCCGCGAGGTTAAAACAACCCCACAACCACAACATCGGTAAACAGCGCCCCTAACGACCATTCTTCCGCCCTGCAATCTTTTTCACGGGATGATTTCTTTAGCACCCCTTCAGGTTCCTTCTTTTGTCCTGAGGTGGCGAACAGTTTTGTTGTTCAGACCTCACTCAAGACGTCAGGCATTTAACGAGTGACGTTGTTTCTAGTTTCCAGAATTAAAACGACGAGTTTTAACACTTAAAACTCGCATAAATCGTCTTTTGAGGCATTGAAAGGAAACGTCAACGACGCAACGGGTGCCCGGGACTGATTATTTCTCCAGTATGGGAGGCGCCGCCAGCACCCAGCGCAAGGTGAAGCCGGCGAGTGCACCGCTAGACCCGAGCTCGCCCTTCGGCTACAGGCTGGACAACGCCCGCCAGGTCATCCAGTCTTCCTGCAAAACTATCCAGGCAGACATGGGAAGGGGCAAGGCTAAACCCATACAGGTAATTGAGGACCCGGGCGTCATCACTTCAAGTTTCATACAATGGGCCATCCTGTAAAATAGCAGAGTTGGGGTAGACAATGAATTTGTAGAGCAAAAACACAGTGGTCTTCTTGTTTATGCAGTTGCTTAAACACTTTTCTTTGCTGGCCGAAACAATTTTCTAAGTTCGAATTCGTGCTTACATTCACGAGCAGATATTTGGATGTGAGCATTTTCTGGTCCTTCCCGTACAGCAACAGCTAGACTCGCTCCAGGCCCTGTACTACAGCCACAAGTCCATCCAGTCTCAGGTCTGTCAGGAGATGGCCAAGGCCGGTCTGCCCAAGATCATGCTCGACACGGCACAGACGTAAGTAGGACACATCAGTCTCGTTTCTCAGGCGTTTTAGGGTGCTTGCAAAAGACATGATCCTAAGAGAAACAACAGAACTGTTGCCCGGCAAACGAGACTATTTATTGTTCAATACGAAATCGTCTTATTGTAGCATAACACCACCGCTAGTGTACATAATACCACAAGAAAAGATTTCATAAATTTTAGATACCCAAAGAGATACTAGATTCTTGACTTGTGAAACCTGGCGCCCTACAGGTTCCTGGTAATAACTGCAGGAGCGGAGAACGCCAAGCCCAACATCAAACTCCTGGAGTCCCTGTTTAGCGCCGCCGTGCGGTTCTGCAGGGGAAGTGCAGACTTCAGCAGGCACCTTACTGACTGTGGCATGCCAGCTCTTCTAGTGGACTTGTTGGAGGACCCGAAAATCAAGGAGGTATGAATTCTTTCTATGTATTTCTTTTGTTACTAAGAAAACAACATCTTCCTTGCATATGTGTGATCTTTTTGAGAAATACGTGCTCTAAATTTACGTGAAAGATCTGTAATTGGTAAACCATATCTTAGAGAAGAAATGAGTGGCTGTGACTTAAAGTTGATCTCTCTATAACAGAATGTAGAAGGCGTAGGATGCACGGTATAAAGATGTGCGTGTAAACATGAAACAGCAAATTTTTAAAACATTAATCTCCTGTATGTTTCACAGGCCAAAAGCCGCGGCGCGAGGGACATGCTGGAAGTACTGGGGCACTGCGTGGCCTGTCTGCCAGCCAACAGTGAGGTGCGCCCTCTAGCGGCGAAGGTGGTGGACAGCTACCTGAACAGCCACGGCCAGGACAGCGTGGAGAGGGCGGCCTATCTCTCCGCCAAACTCATGGGGACCGAGGTGAGGACACCGACACCACCTGCAGCGATGGTCACGACTCCGGTAAAGCCACCGGCCAAGGACGCAAAGGTGTACGACCCGAAGGTTAATGACCCCGCCAATGGGCCGAAGGGCACGTCCACGGCGCCTGCACCTAATGGCACTGCTGCGCCGCCAGGGGTCGCCCCTAAGACGTAACCTGACTGATCGTAGTCACCATAGTCACAGTCGCTATACACTACCTTCCAATGACACGGTGATTTAAGTGATATCAGAGGCTAGGGGAGCAGAATTGTGACTTTACAATCACATTATGGTATTGATGCCTCAGTAGGTTTCTGCACCAACACGCGACTTTTCTCGGTCTACATCGACGAAATAAGAACAGCGTCTTTACACAATCAGGTAGAACCATCTAAAATGCAATATGTATTCCGTGAACTGTTATGTCGGCTTTTTGTGACGTATATAGAATCAGTATCTCTGCAAGAGCTTGAAGAAAGAAAAATGTACATTGTAAATATCATAGTGGTGAGTGGTGACTTTAATATGTATATTCGCTGGGAAATATTACATATCATAAACGGACACAGAGTCTTCACTTGGTAAACGTTATCTTCTACGTTTTCTCCTTTGTCACACCGCTTGTACATGTATGAAGTTATTTTTGATTGTCTCGTCTGTGTGCTTTCATGTCATCTTCAAGAAATAAATACTTTTAATAATTAATACTTCTGGCATATTCCATTAGACATAACCTCCTCGCACTACTTTGGATTACAGAGGGGGGACTGAATGTGTGTTTACATTTTATGCCTTGCGGCGGAGTAAGCTTGGATTAAACAGCTCGTATCTTGTCCCTGCCCTGCCTTTTCTTTGTTCTGTTTCGGGTGACTGACACTTGTCGCCTGGAGCCCCCCGATGACATATCAACATTCTTCCCATGCAGCCTCTCCTGATTATTGTGTTCAGTCTTCTGCGAATAAACTGTCTCGCATAATGATAGAGTACTCACACTTGGGTGCGTATCAATGGACTTCATGTTGTTAATGCTTAAGATGGTGCCACGTTTTACAAAGATTTAAAGAGAAAGGAGGAAAAAATCAAGAAAAGACAACAAAACAACAGTTATAACACTGAAATAAGCTATATTTCCAGGCAACCGTGGGGTTGCTTGGTAGATGATTGATCGCATTTGTATATTGATATGACAATAACGGCTCTGATGTCACGCAATGCCGGCACGAGGGTCATAGGTGGTGTGACGTCACAACCCGTAAGGCAGGTTGCTGCCATATCTACCGAAGCGTACCTACGCCATGGCGGCGTCCGTGGAGAATTTTCTGTCCTGTAGCATCTGTTTCGGGCGTTTCGACAGGCCCAAGTCGCTGCCCTGCCAGCACACGTTCTGCGAGAGGTGTCTGGAGAGCCAGGTGCGGCCCCGGCAGCCCTTCAGGTGCCCGAACTGCCAGCGGCCGGTCCAGCTGCCCCCGGAAGGCGTGGCGGGCCTCCCCGATAACGACCTGGTGGAGAATCTGTATCAACAGATCGACAGCAGTGCCTCCCTGTCGGTGACGGCCATACGGGCGTCTAAAGCCGAGAAGACGTGTTTCTACCACCCACTGGAGGACCTGAAGTTGTTCTGCCAGCAGTGCCATGTACCCGTGTGCACGGAGTGTTTGGACGAGACTCATACCGGGCACAGCGCGATCACGATCAAGAGGGCTTCGGAACAGAAGAAGGCCACCATCCGCGCGTTAGTCGCCGACGGCAGGCGAGCGGTGGAAGGCTACTACACCTTCCTGAGCGAACTGAGAAACATAGAGAAGATCCCGGACAAGAACAAACGCGCGGCGACGCAAGGCGTCACGGACGTTTACGACGACGTCGTGCGAAAGGCGGCGCTGCGGAAGGAAATCCTGCTTTCTGAGATCGAAGAAAACCACCGACACAACCTGGAGTCCATAGAAGGGCAGAGAACCACTGTGCTCAGTCAAGTGGACGAAATATCAACAGCCTGCAACAAGGTGGAACGAGCGTCCATATACGAGGAAGAGGACTGCTTCGAAGACGAGAAACGTCTTCAGACACTGATCGCTAAGAAAGACAAGGTTGTCATGACACCACTGAGGCTGGAAACCGTCGAGTTCGAACAAGCAGAAGACGAGAAGAGTTTGTTGAATCTGGGTGAGCTGCAGCTGCAGCCAGTCCCTTCTGGGCAGCGTGCCAAGAGGAAATCGTCCTCGTCAAGCGTCAATAACGACAAACGGTCACAGAGACAGCCGCAGATGGGGGTGGGGATGGCCAGGAGGGAGTCCGCCAGGAGGGACTCTAAAAGAGAATCATTGAAAAACAGAAACTCGGTCGACATGGATATCGGTAAAGTAAGAGACGTTATAATCATCGAGAAATCGCAAAGCAAAACACAAGCAAACGTGCAAGAAGACAGTGGTAAAACGGCAAAACATGACAACAATACTAAACCTACTACAGATGATAAGAGTACGGCGGACAACTACCAACCAGAAGAACACAACGTCGTCAAAAGAGAGGCTGGTGAGCCAGTCCGAGCAGGGGTCGAACCGACCAGCCAAACGGAAGAAAGTAGTAGAGGTGTGGATGTGGACTGGGAAGAACATGACGACGAAAGGATGGGCCAGGAGACCCTTAAAAGGAAACTAAGCATAGCCAGGCGGATTAGGATTCAAAATGGCTTTCACAAGCAAGAACATCCCGACTCCGAGGTAACAGAGACCGCTCATGTGCAAAACGTCAAAAAGGAAGAAAAGCACGCTGTGAAAAATGTCAAAAGGGAAGAAAACCACGTCGTGAAAAATGTCGAAAAGGAAGAAAATCACCCCGAACAAAACCTCAACGAAGAAGGAAATCATCACACCGACAAGAATCACTCTTCAGTATCCATGACAAGCTCAGGCTTCGGAGAAGACGGATCTAAGGACGGTCTAGTGAGAAAGATACTAGGTGGTTACCAAGAATCCGGAACGCTTGGCGGCAAGGGTTCCGGATTCGGGAAGTTTGTGGATCCGGGGGGCGTGGCCGTGTCAGACAAGGAGCTGTTCGTCGCAGACTACGGGAAGGACCAAATCCTGGTGTTCGACCTCCAGGGGAACTACCAGCGGTGCTTCAGGACGACTCTGCCCGGGTCGGACTGTAACGTCATGAAGCCGCACGACGTTGCACTTGACCGTGACGGTCACCTGTGGGTAGCCGGGCACGAGGAAGACGACATCGCCGTGCAGTACTCCGTGGACGGGAGATTCCGCCACAAGATCCGCCTGCCTCACGCCACCATAGCGCGCGGGATCGCCGTGAACTTGGAGAAGAACTACGTCCTGGTGACGGAGACCAACGGCACGAGCGGCGTGGTGCGTGTGCTGCGGTCTGACGGCTCCCTCTTACGGACTGTGGGGGGACAGCAGGACATGAAAGTTCCGCGGTACCTGGCCGTGGACAGAGACGGCAACATCCTCGTCTCCGACAGCGCCGCTCGCGGCATCTTCGCGTACGACGAGGACGGAAACTTCAAGTTCAAGTTTGGCGGCGACGGTAGCGGTGAGGGGCAGCTCAGGGGGCACCGCGGGATAGCGACGGACAACTCGGGGAACGTCATCGTGGCAGACTGCGAGAACCACCGCGTGGAGAAGTTCAGCTGTGACGGGCAGTTCGTCGGACATCTCGCCACCGGCGTGCAGGAGCCCTGGGCAGTGGCCGTGGGACCGGCCGGACATATCGTACTGACCGACAGGCATTCGCACACGGTCACCATCGTCAAGGCAGCCGCCAGGGAGCGCAAGGAGAGCTCTATCTAATTAAGGGACGTCAGTTCGACTAAAAAGTAGACGCTTTGGAGAAATGATAGAAAACTTTCCTATCTTTAGATGTTCTTTCTTGTGGTCACTTAAATATTGCAAACTATTGTGCGAGTCTAAAATAACATTATGCTGTTTGGTAAATGCATTTTTACCGTGCACACAATTAGCATAGAAAAATGTGGCAAATGGTACAAGACGAAGTGCTATACTCTTATCGCACAGAAGCTTAGCGGTAGTCAAAGCCCAATGTTGAGTCGATGTGCAATGTCACATTTGCCACCCTTGTGTACCATTATTGTACCATCAAATCTTTATAATAAAATATGATAAATAATCCATTAAATAAAATATGATAAATAATCCACTAAAGGGATCAAATTAGCTGAGAAAAGCGAGACCCGTATACAGTAACTGTGTGTGTGTTCAGAAGCGAACTGCATGCTTGTCTATCATTGCTCCACCTGTTATAAAGCCATGAACACGTAGTTGCAAAAGAGAATGGGTCAAAAGAGCATGGCAACTGCGTGGGAGAAAACAATGCTACAGTGGGTTGAATACTGCAGTATCTGCACACTATGCAATAATTAAGGTCTTATAGAATGCTGAAACTGCAATGTATCACCTGGGAGTTGTAATAAAACATGTGATGCTGAGTTAGAACAGTCTCTTACTGATGGTGCTTGTTCAAAAATACCTAGGTTGCAGTGCAGGTAGGTTGCAGGTTGTTGGTGGATGGGGCCTTGGTAATCTCCAATCAGACAGTGGCTGCGACTATGCCACCTATAGATCTGCTCAGAGATTTTGGACCCTGTAAAGTCCTTGGGTTTATCAACCTCACGTGTATGACTTGAGAACTTAATCTGCAATTTCAGGCACTGATGCAGGTATATTGCTGTGGACTAGGGTTAGGGCCAGGGCACTGTCAGAACTGTTAGGACTGAGGATGTTTGCTAAAGAACAAAGGGCACAGAATGTGTTGTAGCAGGCATCATTGTGATGCATCTATGTAATTCAACCTTCAGCTTGCTAAGGTAGCCATTAGTTTGGCACCAAATTTGTATTGGCTGTTCGGGGTTAGGCAGTATAGAGGTTAACATAATGTCTGACAACTATAATGTTTGTGTGAATCCTCATCTTTCCCATCCGCTCAAAACACAGTTGTGTCAGTCCAACTTCTGAGTAAATAAATGCCATTGTTTCACATTACACAAATAGGGTGATTCAGAATCCTTATCTATTTTGCACTATAAACACAAAAGTATTAATGCTTGAAAAAGGAAAATACATACATGTTGCATAAACTATGTTGTATGTTGTAGTTCATTGAAAGCTAAACTGCAGTACAGAATTATCCAATTAATTCAATTCTGAGATGTTTTAGGTGTAAATCCGTCCTCTCTTCATACTACCGATATTTCATCCATAGCAACTGAAGATTTTACTTCACATACTGCTAAGGATACCTTGTGGCACCACATTCATAAGACAAAGTTTCTACGTCGTACAGTATAGATTTTTATACAATATGTGCCTGCCAAAGACACAAATATTAGTATAACTTGTGTACTTATATCAGAAAATTTGGTCTTCACACACGAAGTTACAAAGACAATCACTCATAAGCAGCGACCAACTTCTCACCCTCACAGACATTTCCTAAATAAGCACAAAATTATGTAACATGTACACTGTATAATATGCTGAGCACAATGCAGCTGGCATTCATGACATTGTTGTTAACGTTCTTTGAACATCACTTTCAGTACACTTCAGCATACGTTGGTGTAGATAGTATATGCAAAAGAGTACATTACAGCAGGTGCATTGTTCGTTTCAGTACACACAGGTATTATTATGCTTTTCTTTGTCAACGACAATCAAAGTATTCCTGTTACTTTTGGATCCTTTTAGTCTTCCAAGAAGAAGTAGTTGCCACTGCGCTTCTGTTCAGAGTCCTGTTGGAAATATAGAATGGTTAAGGTTACGTTAGAACTGGTATAAGTTATTTGAGGAAAACTATTATGCCTAAAAGCAATAAAATATTTTTCTTGGGGGGGGGGGGGCTTAGGGAAATTGCTGTAAGGTAAGGTTTGGTTTGGTTTATTGAGATGTCCATTATTCAATACAATAACTAGTCTTCCTGGAGCCCAATAAAATAATACAAAATATAACAAAATACTAAAATTATGCAACATAATTATACAACAAAAGGGTGCTTTAAACGTACCTTGACTGAGTTGAGCTTGTTGATTCTGGGTCTGAAGTTGTTGGGGTCTCGGCGGAAGGTGATCTCTAAGGACTCCAGGAACTTGTTCATTCCTGTCAGCAACATCTGAGGGCTGCAGCCAACCAACAGAGAGATTTTATAAATCCTTCATTCTAATCAGCTGGTACATTTAATACAAGCACTCTCATTGGATGCCAAATTCCAGACTTACTATGCTAAGCATTAGGTATTAGGTTCGAAAGTAAAATATACTAAGAAGGACATGTTACATTAGCATTGAACAAAAGATAATTTTTTACAAAGTATAGGAAGATGTGAGGTACCTATTGGCTAGGGAATCCTTGGACGGGATTCCCTCGAACACGATGACACGGTCAGCGAGGTACGTCGCCATGATGAAGTCGTGTTCTACCACAAAGCCTGTCTTCTTGGCATGCAGGATAAACCTGGGTAAGATTGATGTTTATATTACATGTTGAGGACCACAGGAACAATAGCTGAGGTGTCAAGCTACATTGTGGATCCTAATAAAGTCAAAGTACACAGTACACAGATGCTGTTCATGAGTCAACTATCAAAAATATAATGACTCTTGAAATGTAATGAATAACTTTTCATTGCATGTTATTATCTCCATGCTGCCTTAACCCATAACGTAATCTATAAAATGTAAGCCGGTACGTGATCACCCACGCACACAGGTTACCCTATTGTAAAGCTGTTCTCCCTCACCTCTTGATGACCTTGGCTGCAGCGAGACGCTGCTCGGAGTCCAGATGTGCAGACGGTTCGTCGATCAGGTATACGTCTGCGGGCTTCCCCAGGCACAAGGCCAGCGCCACACGCTGCAACTCACCTCCGGACAGGGTCTGGATCTGGGGAACACAACAAGAATTAGACATTAGAAAGACCTTTATTGTACATTTATGCTCTTAGAAGATAAGTACACACAGCAAGAAACAAACCTAAAAACATGCCTGTGGGACTTCCAAGAAATAATGCCTGAACAACTGAAGTCAGCATCTACCGACAAACAGTGGGACACTTCCTGTAGAATCTATGTAGCCCTGAGAACCAATATGACAGCCTTGTCAGTTTTGCATTTGGGACTTTCAGATTCAAACTCTGACATTGTAAAAAATTAAAAATGGTACATACTATCTTCTCTGCTTAGCACTCAACCCAAAGAGTACAAAAGTTGAACACACACCACAAGCAGTGAACTGCTGTGTGGCCCAAGGGCTTTAGAAACAGAGCAGGACACCAGCCTATATACCAGAAGGTGTGGGAAGGATGGATTATTGTTCTGTACCTCTTGGTCGATGATCTTCTCCATGTCCAGTGGCTTCATGACGTCAGAGATGAACTGTGGGTGAATGTACGCGTCACGGATTCTCTCATGGAGAAGCTGGCGCACTGTGCCCTAAATATGATTAAAAGGCAAGAAATCTTTAGTATTCTATGTCATGTTAAAGGTTCGATCTGTGGTTCAATCTGTAGAATGTTTTTATTTTCAAAGCTAAAAAGGTGCTGACAGTACAACTATTCACAGTGTTTTTAAAGAGCTGACTAGTGTGAATGTGCCATTACCTGTGACTTGGGGCTGATTTTCTGTGGTTTGTAGCTGACGTTCAGAACTGGGATCTCGCCTCCTTCATCCGGTTTCAACCGCCCTGCCAACATTCTGATGAAGGTCGTCTTCCCGGTACCTTCAGGAGACAAAAACTGTCAAACACCTTCTTCTGCTGGAAATTTTTACAGTACATCTATGACAAATGACAAGACATCATCAAAACACCAAGGCCAACCATAGTTGTAGAGATTGAGCTTGTTTCCAACACAACTCACCATAAATGTACGGTCAATTTCATCAACCTTTGCCCGATGTGTGATCCAATCGCCGAATCTCTGTGAAGACAGGATCTTCCCATCCGACTTCCTTTTACTTTCGATCACACTTCCGACTTCCAGATAGTCGGTGAGTGGATCACGCATCTGATGAAGGTTGATGAGATCAACTAAAAATTTATTGTCAGTTCCCTTTTTTGTGTTAGCAAACAGCTCAAACTCTACAACTATGGCTTCTGCTTCTACCAACACTGATGAGATTTCATTCAAAAATAAAACCTAACCGTTCTCCCCCAGCATGACGATGATCTCAGAGTCAGTGAACTCTCCCTCCTTGACGCGCAGGCGGAAGTCTCCCAGCTGCTTGGTCATGTCGGGGTAACCATAGCGACGGAACTTCTTGATCTCCTCCTCCTTGTCGGCCGTCTCCGACACCTTGAAGATGAGCGACATGTCGCGGAAGCGGAGGTTCTCCGTGGGGATGAAGCCGTCCAGGAAGATGTTGATACCTACAGAAGAATAAACACAGTCAATGTATTAGACATCAACATAATATACCTGAAAAGCATTATAGACTACATGTTGTCCTAAGCTGGAAGAAAAATCATTACATGTAGTTGTAAATAAAGGCTATTTGCACTCACTATTACGTACTGTCTGCCTTACTAGATGGGAAAGCTGCCTGGTAATTTTGAATTTTTGTGTATGTCACACACTATGTGTGATTCACATTAAAGACATGCAAACTTCTAGAACTGACTCTTCCGGGTTTATATGACCATCCTTCTGGCTGTGACATCACGTGTTGTTCTTAACTTCTGTATTCTGATAATGTATGGTATGCGTTTTATGCTATGTATGATTGTTGTGTTGTGTTGTAGTCTTCCTGTCTCACATGTGATTTTATGTGCGACCACAGAATAGCAAACAGAGTAAACTCTGTTTGCTATTCTGGATAAAAAAAAATTGATGGATCCAAAAAAGTCTAAGTAAGACACAGCAGTTGTACTGACCGTCCCTGACGCTGAAGGGCATGGTGACGACACCGTACGCGCCCGGCACGCCGTACAGACAGCAGATGAAGTCTGACAGGTAGTCCAGCACACTCAGGTCATGTTCTACAACAATCACATACCTAATAGGGATGGGGATACTTATTAGTTTCAACCCAATCAGAGAGTATGTCGATGAAGGTTACATATCCAGGTAATGGGATTAACACAAGAAAAACAGTTACTCAAGCAACTGGAAAGATTTTGAAACCATCATCTTGTAACATTTCCTGACCTGTCTGCTGCTACCAGCCGCCTGATGGCGAGAGCCGTTTTCAAGCGCTGTTTCACGTCCAAGTAAGATGACGGCTCGTCAAACATGAAACTAGACAGAAAACACAACAGGTGTCATGGCAGAAATGCAAGAATATACAATTACCGGTACTTTACCAAATTTCTAAGTAATGCATCAGTCACAGGAGGGTTTTGAAAGACTGTTGGTGATACTCACATGTCAGCGTTCTGTATACACACCACGGCACAGGCAAACCTCTGCAACTCTCCTCCCGACAAGTCCTCAACATTACGGTCTCGTACCCTCGTTAGATCTGCACAAAGAAAAAAACCATTGTTACCTTTACACTTCCTTTCAGACAGAGCTTTCAAAATTCAAAGGAGCAACCTGTAGCTTTATCTTTCTCAAAATAGTACAAACATTGTCTTCAATGCCTCCAGGAGAACAACATTGGGACCTGCTAGGGTTTTGAACCCTAGTCTTTTAGATTTTGTGAAAACAGCCATTACCACAAAAAGATTTAATATAACCTTACCAAGCTCTATACAGATCTCGTTCTGTGTTCCTGTTTCGTCCTTCCTATCCAGGAGAGACTGTACTGTACCCTGGTGTTGACAACACAGGAGGCAAGCATTAGTGTAACAGCAATATATCAACAGGGAGGGTCACTCCATTTAAATACAGGGAGAGGAACAAGTAATTCAGTCAAACTTTAGAGGCCATTCAATGAACCTAGAACAGGTTGTTCACAGCCATGTAACTACAGTCTACAGTACATGTATTGTCCACAATGCTGAATGGTTAAACCTAAAGTAAATTCAAATTTGTACATGCAATCAAAGAATTATGACATTGTATACACATGCAAATTTATACTCCTGATACTTCCAGTCTGGTGGCTGTGATGACACATCTAAACACACTACACAGGAGTGTTTGTTTATTTGTGTTGTTGTTGCCCACCTTGACAGCCTTGGGGATCTGGTCCACGTACTGCGGCTTCATGATGGCCTTCAGGTCGTCCTCCAGGATCTTGGTGAAGTAGTTCTGCAGCTCCGAGCCGCGGAAGTACATCAGGATCTCCGTCCAATCAGGGGGGTCCTACCGGAGCAAGTAGGGAGTGAGGGAAGAAAGGTACATGTGGAGTGATTGGAGTAAAGGAATAAAAGGTGAATGAATGTACCCAACTATCAATGAATTGAGGGATGGATAGATGGATGGATGGATGGATGGATGGATGGATGGATGGATGGATGGATGGATGGATGGATGGTTGGATGGATGGATGGATGGATGGATGGATGGATGGATGGATGGATGGATGGACGGATGGATGGATGGAAGATTCTAATTCTGGAATTGTGATCACCACTAATACTAATAGCTTCACACTGTTACTACATGGTTGCCCTTTTTATGTTCTTCTTGTATGTTTCTTATGATCAAAACCAAGCTATGCAAAGATTATTAATGCTCAAAAGATGAGACTGATGACAGTAAAGAAGTGTGCTTACATCAAATCTACCCAGGTTGGGTTTCTGCTTTCCTGCGAGAATCTTCAGAGCAGTGGTCTTGCCGATACCATTGGTCCCTACCAGTCCTAAAACCTCTCCTGGTCGTGGGATGGGCAGCCTGGAGGGAATATATGTCACAACGTTTCACATGTACAAGTACAACAGAGGATGACTGCTTTACCTTTACTTTACATACATGCGACAACATATGTCACAACGTTTCACATGTACAACAGAGGATGACTTTCTTCAACCTTTGCCATTGTCAATGGTAAAATTACTGTTTTACACAGAATTAAGTGTGCTACACAGTGATACTTTACAAATCTGACAGTGACACAAAAAAATACAGATTTGCTCCTATCAACATCATCTCTACATTGTTTCTATTTCAACATTAGTGGCAACAAAGAAAAGGATTGTGCACAAGTACAGAAATGTTAGCAGCCATGCTTACCTGTGTAGCTTGAATGAGTTAGCAGAGTATCTCTGTGTGGTCTCTTTCTCCAGATTGCTGGGCAGGTTGATGATGGAAATGGCCTCGAATGGGCATTTCTGTGGGCAGAACAAGGCCAATTAGCCATTGGGAAATACACACATGTATTACACACGGACAATGTTGAAGTCATACTCTTTCTTAGAAAGAAGCACTGAAAGTTTCTCACTACAAAGACTGAGAGATACAAAGTTTCCAGACCAAGAATGTTAGAGTCAGACTAACCTTAGCACAGATACCACATCCGATGCACAACTCTTCAGAGATGAAGGCAATTTTGTCTGCTGGTGTCACTTCTATACAGAGTTTCCCTGTAAAACAACATTAATCATTTCTATAAAATTAACGTCATGATAAGCTCTTAACATTAATAGTGTCATGAGAGTCAGAGACTCTTATCTCTATATGACTTAACACATTATACCTGTATACACTCTTTGCCAAGTCTTGAAGACGTGCCAATGACATTATAAGTAGATGAATTAATCCCCGGCACTATTCAGTAAATGGGTCAAATTTTCTGCACCCTGAGGTTTGAAAGTTTCAAATGAGTATGCCACCACAATTATCAATAAGACATGGGTTTGTGTATGCACCAGCTTTTTTATTGCTGGCCAATTAACCAGAACATCATTCTCCTTACCCATTCTGACCACAGGACAGGATTTCTTGCACTCCTGGCGACATTTCTTGGGCTTGCACTTGTCGTTGTTGACGATGGCTATACGCGTCAGTTTGTCCGCCATGGCGGAGGTGCCTGGTGGGGGACACAACCATTACACATGGACTTTCACAACCTCATACCATTATCAACAATTGTTTTCCCGTTACTAACTACACAAGGTGATACTTTTAAGTTTAATTTGCACAACAATGATAACATGATAACAGAAAGCTTTGTATAACTTATGTTTATAACGTTTACTTGTATAATTATGCAGTTGCTTTAAACAAAAGAAGAATGATGTACACATTGTTGATGACACAACAGAAGGATCACATATGTTAATGAGAATTAAACATACAGTGCTAAATAATTTTTGTAAGCAAAAAATTATTGTCCATATGGATCAACTTGATAATTATTCACATGTGGCTGATTTCACTTCAGGAACTACAACATGTAGATCAATTCTAAACGTCTTTCATTTTAGTATGACAAAAATAAGATTTTCTACGTGAACCACCATTTATCTGTATCGTCAAATCTGCGTTGCATATTTTTGTGATCTTACTTCTGTTTTTCATCGCCCCCCTCCCCCATAATTTTTACCGGGAAACGTGGCGAGGAATCACGGCTAAAATACCACATATCAGACCCTTCCGAATCATTTTGCTGCGAATAAATTTCTTCATCAAGAATTCTGTTAACATTCTTGATCATTGTAATAGCACAGTTTTGGTTAAAAATTGCAGAAATTCACCTTTTTACTGCTGCTCAGCTCCAGTGACACAACGTGCGGCGAAATGGCGGCAGTAACGCTTCTGCGCATCCCTACTGCGCCGGAATTTCACAACGCCAGGAAATCACTTTTTGGCAACGCCTCAACGGAGGTGGATGAATGGCGGAAAAATAACGAAGGATCTCTGATAAATTTGCCTCTTAACCGACTTGCCTCTACCAGGCCTCAGAAGCGTCTGGAAAAAAAAATAGAAATTGGCCAAATAGACAGATAATATGCAGGGAGTTGGTCCGCTAAAAACTAACGGGCCCGTTACCGCTTTCTTTCGGACCAACTACTCTATTTCTACTGTTTCTAGCCTCTTCTGTGGCCTGTTAGAGACTATAGCTGCATTCTCTTACAGTTTTTTTCGCCCTCTATTTGACGGCGAAAACGCGCGCGTACAATTGGATGACGCGCAAATCAAAAACCATACATCTGCTTGGAGTTTGCGAGGAGCCCTACGAAGAGTGAGATCTCGCGAGACGAGATTTCCGGCGAGACTTGGAAGGCGGCCATTTTTGAAGGTGGGAGGGCGACTGTCCAGGTGTGTTTTGCACTTAATAATTTTCTGTTCTCGCGTAACTTTTGTTTTTGCTGATGATGTAAGAGTGTTTGAGTCTATAACGTGAGTATTCTGAATGGTTACCATTATCGCTACGCCTTTTACGCCTTCTATGTTTTGAACCAGACGTAAATCTCTGTCATTTTTTATGGTACAAAAGTTGCTGGTAAAATCATCCCTTGAAAACATGAGCATCATACAAAACTGTTTCCCTCCCATGACTTTTTCGTTGTTCAGTCTTCAATAGACACGTGAGCATACAGCTAGCCTTCAAACAGCCATGGCGACGAAGACAGACACGTCACAAGATCCGACCAAACTGGAGAGGATGGGCAAGGTTGGTCAAATTAAAAAAAAAAAATGAAAATTTTGAATAATAATAATTTCCTGATGTGATATTAAAACCATGCGTTACTATGACGATTGAGGTTATTTCAGCTGTGGGCTAGCTTGCGCAACAATATTGGAGATTTCTGGTGCATGTAGTACAGAATTCTTAGAGTATTTTTGTAAAAACTTCAAATTTGTTTGATTTAACATCTATTCTTGAATAGTCTATTAGACATAATCGCATAACATGGTATACAAACGTTATGTACAAGTATGTACACTGTATTCAATATTCTCCATATTTTAGGTCAGAGAAATAGGGGACCAAGCTGTATGGTCAGTGTCGTCATGTAAGCCAGGTTTTGGAGTTGACCAGTTGAGAGATGGGTCACTGGACACCTACTGGCAGTCAGACGGCCCACAACCACACCTGGTCAACATTCAGTTCAGGAAGAAAACTGCTGTGAAGAGTCTATGTGAGTACATACAGAACTGAAGCAGTGAAGGTACATTTATTATGTACATAGGGGCTTGATGTAAGATTTTTGTGGCACAGCTGAAAATGTTAAAATATTTGCAGGCACTTTTTACCAAGTTTATGGTATTATTTCATACCTCCTGCATTTACAGACAGGCCAAAATGGCGACCACCAAGGTCCATTTATTTTTTTGCCTGTATCAATAAATAAAAGCTCATAAATGAACTGAGTGTAGTCAGAAAACAACAGCTATGCCAAGTGCTGGAAGATCACAGCTTTTCTTAACCTGTTCCTCCAGCCCCATCTCAAGTTGTACTCTGTAGAAACATGTTGTTTTTGTTGACTACAGGTCTGTATGCAGACTACAAGTCAGACGAGAGTTACACGCCCAATAGAATCTCCATCCGTACAGGAACACACTTCCACGACCTGCAGGAGGTGGAGCAGGTGGAACTGAGCGAGCCCACAGGCTGGGTCATCATCCCCGTACAGGTAATGGTACGGTCCATGTGCAGTCTACTAGTATGTCGAATCTGTTTCAAATGAGTAGTAACTGTTATTTTTGTATCTGATTACCTGGATTGTCTAACCTTCACTCATTCACATACCTTCTGGTATTTTTGAATGATAAGCATCTGTATGTAAAACAACCTAATGCTCTTCAACCATAAGACTAATGGCTTGCTCTGCTAGGCTTGACAGAATACATAGGCTGCATTGAACTATCAATAGAAAAAGCATCAATAGATGATGCCTTATGTCACCCTTTTACAGGACAAGAGCCTGCAGCCACAGAGGACATTTATGATCCAGATCGCTGTTCTCTCCAACCATCAGAACGGACGGGACACTCACATGCGGCAGATCAAGATACATGCACCAGTAGAGGACGGACCCATGTCCAAATTCCCTAAATTCAGCTCTCTAGACTGTAAAATGCACAGCTGTATTAGATAGCAAATTTATATTATTGTTAACACTATGGTTATCACTAGGACTTTGCAATGTTCCCTATTATTAATATTATTAGCATGACAACCAAAACAGAAATTAACTTTTTGTATGAAAACCGGCAAGCAAGATGTACTTTTACTACACCAGCTGGATGATGAGTATAAATACATGATATGGGAAAGAAAATATAAAAAAAACTTGGCTAAACATTATAATTATCATAATCATCTTCATATCCAGGTACGAATTTTATCATATCAGTGCATGTATTGTGTTGTTTTCTACAATAACACAATAAATGTACAAATCTTTGGAGGAGCATGTTTTTATTGACATACTGATAACTTGTTAGTAGAAAAATAAAGAGTAGTAAGCAATGCAAATGGACTATGGCTTTGCCTAGCATTTGGAAGGTTGGGCTCAAGCAAAGACTATGAATATGGTTTTTGTACACTCACCACTACCACTGGACTAGCCCCCTACTGTAGTGACCTGTGTAGTCCAAGAGCTAAACAAATAGAGATGGCCACTGCCCCTATTACTATACACTAAAGGGTGTATAGATCTATGTGGGGGAATTAACTCTTTTTACAGATGAACACACAAAGGCAATGTAGATAACAAGCTTGACACTGAAATTATTTTCAGACATGAACCCAAGGGAGCGAGGTTGTTTCCATAACAACTAATCATAAGATGTGATCTACTGGACCTAAATGTAGTCCATTCACAACTTACTGTGACACAAGTTTTGATGACTACGACATACAGTACCTCTTTGATTGTCCACAATCTAATAAATATTGTAGATATAGGCTACTAGTACATGTATATCTGACACTTATTTACAGATGGCAGGTCAGAATGTTACACAATGTTTAGGTAAAGCTGTCTTACTACATGTAACACACTTTGTAAAGAGCAATAGAATCAAATCAAACTGGCAGAGGTACAGGAAAAGTGTACAATGTCGAGGACACTAGTAGGAAATATATACATACAGTATTACTGTACTTGTACAGCTGCTTGTATAATGTTAGAACTCCAAACAACAGAATGTGCGTAATATTAGGACACTACACATCACAGTACTTCTGTGCAGGTAGGGGCACTATAATCTAGGATGTGATGCTGCTCCTGCGACTGGTGGTGGTAGAAGGAGACTTCTGTTTCATCGCCTCCTGCAACTTGTTCCGGTGACAAGCAGGGCACAGGGCGTGGTCCATCAGGTGGATGATGTTGGGGTGGATGGGACACTCCATCTGCCAGTTAACGAGATGAGAGAAGCAATTACTCCATTTAGAAAGTTACAAAAAGTTGATTAAAAACATTTCTCACTTTTAAAAACATTTAATCCTTCACTTGACCCTGCAAAAATTTCCAAAGTCTCCCCTTCAAATGGAACAGACCAAAATCCATGTGCAGCATTACAAGAAATTTACATAGGAAATTTTGTGTCAAACTGTTGAAACAGGAACTTATTACTGTGCTGGGACAAAAGGAGGCAAACTGGGGACAAATTTTTCCATATCAAGTGGCTACCATGAGTCATGGTTTCAAACCACATTATTATGCACCTACTGTGCTGGGACAACAAGAGGCAAACTATGGCACCACCAGTACTAACTTTCTTTACATTCAAGGGGCTACCACCAATCAGACAGTGTTTCCTGGTTCCATACATACCTGCTGTGCACGACCCTCGAACAGTTTGCCGCACATCTTACACAGGACGGTGGTGGGATCACGGTTGCAGATGCAATGTGGGTCCCTCATCCTGGCAGGGTAAGTGATGATGTAGCCTCTCACCTGGGTGGGCTGAGATAAAAGGTGTCTTCTTTACTTTGTTGGTCATTTGATGTCAATGAGATCCCCTCACAGACACATTTTACTTCACTGAGACTCCCCCACTGTGGCAAAATGTTGGGCCTCAAGTAAAATGATTTTGGTCTGTGTGTTTCTAATAAAAAAAAAAGTTTCCTGCAATTGACTGTCGAAAATTTGATGTGCAAACTTATTCATGTTGGAACAAAGTTTTTGTTCTCATATAAGGTGTTACTAGTATGGGTTGCAAAGCAGAGTAAGGGCTAAGGGGTCAACTATCGGTCAAGAGTCTCATCTGGATTGACTTTGTTTTACAGAGATACCATATATATTGTTAATGTGAACATATTAGTATTACACTATTACTATGTTTTCTAATAAGTTCCTTGCAACTGGAGTCAAACATCGTAACATGTTGCAGGGACTGTCGTGTTCACTTTTGACTGGTTGTTATGGACAATCTTATATTGTCTTTTGTCTAGATGAATAATTCACAACCTGATTACCGGTTACCCAAAACTATGGCAAACGACTTTTGACTAATTTGTGTTGAACAATCCCTTTCTAACCTCCTTGGACAATCTTATTTTGTCTTTCTTTATGAATAATTCACATCCCGATTAACAGTTACTCACCACTATGGTAAAAGAAACCATGGAGGTCTCTTTTTTCTACCTCCATGAAGAAACACAACAACAAACACTCAAGTTCAAGGCTGAATATCATGTCAACTTCCAAATCCACTTTCTATGAAGTTAGAAACCTTATTTTGTAACCCACGCCCCGAGTGTTAGGGACAAATGCTAGTCCAGACCAGGCGTTTCTAATTAAAACCACTTGGGACAAAACGGATAGCTTTCCACACGTCCCGTGCCCCGTCTGTGGCACAGCGTGGCTGATCGAATTACACGATAAAGCTGGAAAAGGCACGAATAAATAACATTTGTGCAGTACCAAGGTCGTTTGTTCACATGCTAGACATTCCGTCACAAATTTGCGTACTTGGTGTTTCGGAAAATCCACGCCATGTCACACCTCTGATCACAAACAGATAAACATGTGTGAAACTTCGCGCCATGCCACGCCAAATATGCCAACGAATCCGACGAATTTATGAACTTTTCTCCCACAAAACAATACAGAACGTTACCTGTGCAGCACCACTGCTGGCCCTGGCTTGTTCTGTTCGTCCTGGCGTGTTCATGGCGCTAGAAAATCGCGTAAGAAACAGAAAACTCGGACTGATGAGAGTTGTGACGAGTTGCTCCGCCTACTGGCAACTTTCCACAAACAATTCGACCGGATGTTAAAGTACGTCATTTCCGATTACCAGAGAGCCTAAAAGCCTGTCGGGAATTTGGACCGCAAACAAACTAAATCAATTTTAGTTTGTGTAAACGTTCTTTTTTCGGCATTTATATATCTATGTAATGTGTTTGACAGTCATCATTGAGTTCAAAATAATTTTAGACCACAAACTGTATCAAACTGTACATTTGAACAAACGTATTTGAAAAACGAAACAATAAAACGTTCTTATGCGCCCCTGGACTAAAAAAAAGGCGGGAACCCGTCTCCAGAAGAATGGCACGTTGACGTGGACGTCATAGAAAACATACAGCATTTTAATCTCGAGAAGAAGAAGCATTCTAATCTTCAATATGGGCCTTGAATGGGAATACAGTATCTAGAAATTACTAGTAATATTTAATGATTAAAGCTATATTATGTAGAATTTTGACTATTCTAGAAATCTTTCTTTTACACATTTTCTTGCTCTTTACACCTACCTGACTTCATGATGACATTTGGGGATTAACATATCAACGTCGTTTCGCCGCAAATACGCGTTGGAAAACTGCGCACTCTGCGGCGCTAGCGCGGATCGCGGCCATGTTTGTTTACTTCCGACCGCGTCCGAGCATTCCCGAATCCAGCCGAACCGCTGGTCACCGTAGAACACGATATTCTCTAAAATACGGCATATGCCGGGTCACAATTTGACAACTGTCAATAGTGCAACAACAACACCTTAGACATACGTAACGTTTATACTTTTTCATATCTACAGGATTTGCCTAGTACAACAATGTAGATATTTCGTGCATTACAAAATGACAGCGATCGTTATGGCCTTCCAAACATTAGCATTTTTGGTCAGTTTATCTGTGCTTATCTTTTTTTACTGGCCAACTGGATCCCATTAGCTAATACCACAGTGTGATAGCCCACATCTTCACCTTTACATCGATACCAAAGTCCCCTGGTTAGTTTCGGACAAACGGGTTTGCCCCAACGAGAAAACCGCGACGGTGCACACATCGCGGTGACGAAATTTTAGCCCAGTTGTAGCTACCGGCGCACACCATTCTGAGTTTCCGCAACATTTTGATACATTTAGCGTAATGTCATAAACTTCGTTCCTTGGTATGAGAAACTGTATGAATGTGGTTACCACATGCAATATGATAAGTGATGATGATAACTTTCAAGTATATGCAAAAAGAGGATTTTAGATTAGGTACTGACCCTTCAAAAATTGGCAAATTTGAAGTCAATCGGCTTCGAACTCCAGCGTTCGAAAGCGTTCGAACCATGGAACCCAGACACGCGCCGGAAGTTGCCGAAGATTTCCGAACGAAAACCGTTGTTTGTTTACATTCTATTTATTGTGACACAAATAAATACGTCGGGCCTTGCGCACCTTATTCTCGCGCTGCGCTGAGTTGCCGAAAAGGCGAAATAGCGACGCTAATATGTTGAAAGTTATCGAAAATGACAATCTAGATGAGAAAATTTCAATTATTTGTATTTTCAGTTTTGGCGCGAAAATCCTACATAATATCACTTTAGATGTTCCAGAAGGGCGATCGACATTGTAACGTAAACGTTCTACACGACAGAGAACTACTTAGTATTCTGTTTTCGGTAGACTTTCAGTCAAAATCAATGAAGCAGAATCTACTGCTGGGTGACGCTGGTTAGCTAGGTCAAAGATGGACTTTATGAGTTTGATTTGCGTCTCCCTCTACGTTGCCATGGTTACGGCTGCGGGATCCGCCCAGTTCCCACATGCAGAACCATCTGTGGCCGCTGTGTGGTGCTTGACGGTCGTCATGATGGCCTCCAGTGTAGTTCTGATAACGGTGCCTGTAGTCCGTTACTTCAAACGTGCGCAAAGGGAACTGGAGGATAGACTTATGGCCCAGTTGAAAGAAACTACGGAGGTACCCGCGGGAAGAAAGGGAAGGAAAACACGCAAGCGTCTTTATACGGAGATGGAAGATCTGAAGGAGATTAGCCAACAAGTTGAAGAGGAAATGACAAGAGTAAAGGAGGAACAAGAGAAGATGCGACAGTTCTACGCTGAGAGAGAAATAGCATTGAAACAATGGATGGAAGATGAGTTGAAACATTCGATGTCTGCCGCTGCGACAAAAGCCCTACGCGACAAACATCCGGACTTTGAGAAGTGGATACAAAACAGTCTGAACGTCATGTGCTCCGGAATCAAGAAAGAAGTCCACGAAGGGAGACAGACCAAGATTGACTGCGAGAAGACTGAACTTCAAAAAATGTCGGAGCAATTTTCAGACCTCAAAACACACGTCGCATCCTTGCGTGAGATTTGTGGGCACTACAACTTGTTAGTGAAACAAATTATACAGAAGCTGTGTCGGTACAGCCGTCAGATGCGTTCTCTGGAGAACATCCTGCATCACACCGGAATTTCTTTTCCGGACATTAGTGACGACGCTGGTTTCTGGTTCAAAGGCCGCACCCGTCGCCGTATACACGAGAGGTGGTTGATTGAGGAAGCAGTGGGGACTCCTAGCGGACAAGGGCAGAAGGACAGAAACGCCATAGCCCGGGTGATGGAAATGGTGACTACCATGAAGAAACGTAATTCTGACATCAGGGAACTGATCACTGATCTCCAACTAGAGCGGGCGCGTCTGAACAGCATCAGAACTGTAGCCCATGCCTCTGTTGTTTGCACTCCTACCGACAACTCTGCTGGTAACGATAAAGTGCATTTGTAACGTTTCAAAAAGTCACCCGCCTGGTACGATGTATAAAACGTCCTTGCTTCCTTGCCTTTATGAGTTACATTTGAGACTCTAAGCACTTCTGTGGTTCTAAGACATCCTTTTTCTTTGCATTCCACCATCTTTGTTTGCCACTACCCAACAATGGTCAGGGATGTATTTTCGTCAAAGCTATTCATGGTATAAATGACATATAGAAAACAAACATCTGACAAGCTGGCAAATTGTATTCAAAGATTTGATTCATGCTTTGTTAAAACACAAAACTGTCACTCGAAATAACAAACAACTTTACGGAATGTAATATACACAGTCAATGGACAAGTCATGAATAGTAAAACAATAAAATTCTTATTGGGTTATTTGAGAGCAAGACATTCGCGTCAACTGCTCACTGATAATACAGAAAAACACACGGAACACACAGATATAAACATTTTGACAAATCAGAATCATATATAGTTTTAGATCTTAATCTGGGACAGGCATTATGCGAAAAATTTTTGGGGAATCTTTTTGCATCGTGTAACTTTTTCCTGCTTCTTTTAAAGAATCAGTCACAAACAATTTTTGCACGGCGTTTGGGAAGACCATCTTCATCTAACATTTACGTCAAGTTCATTCTTTTCTAAACAAAACTAAATATTTCAAAGTATAGTTACAGTACAAGATTTGCATCGCCCCTAGACCTGGAAGTACAACTCAGATATACTAGTATCGACTCTTTTTTTTTCGAAAGGAATTTGTACACATCTTTAACTATTGCACACTTGTAACACACATCATTAGCAGGTGCTGGTTATTCCGTACAGCTGCCTCGTCTGGCAATGTTATCGTACTTATTCCTCTCGTGTACCCACGCTAGCTTCATGATATCAATGTCTAACTCTGCGTCTTTTTCAAATTCGTAGTCCAGTCCGGGTAGTGTGAGGGACCGTGACTTTGTCTCCTTAGTGGGGAACCAGTGGTGCTGTTTGACAGGGGTGCCAGGTCTCTTGTCGCGGGGAATGAAGGCGTTTTTACTCCTGCCGACCTTCGCCGCCTCCTGCGCTCTCAGCGTGTAGTAGTCCACCATCTCTGCGTCGTCGCGATCCTCTGTGAACGGTATGACCGTCTTGACGAAGTTCTGCACCCTGACGGGGAAGTTAGCGCTCTCAGCGATCTTTAGATGAAGTGCAAGCAGAGAGGGCCTGCTCTCTTCTTCCGGAGTGAGCATGCTCAACATGTTGTGCGCTTTTCCTTTACGTGTTTGTTCAGTGCGTGTAACCCTACCACTACCTCTCCTGTCTTTCAGTCGAGCGCTGCTCAGTTCTTTTTCAGCTTCTCCGGCGTTGTTCTCGATCCTAACCGTTTCTAGAATACTCCCGTCGAAATCTTCCTGTAGCTCGCTATCCTTTTCCTCAGAACTCTCGCTGCGGTGTCGACGTTTCTTCTGGGACGCTTTTTTTGAGTCCTCATCTCCTCTTGACGTCACATCAGACGCGGCGCTGGACACCTGGTCTAAGGACGTCTTCGGGCGCGTCGGTCGGCCGGCGTCGGCATTCTCCGTCGACATCGACGACGTCCTCGACCGGAGCTCAAACGACGTCGCCGGGCGGATTCTCGTCTGCCGCGCCAGGTTTTCGTTGACGTCCTCAACGCTCAGCCTCCGACTTCGGCCCAAAGCGGGCGGGGGACTGGGTTGCGTTCTCAGGTTGGGAACCGACATCCGTCCTTGGCTGCTGACTTTCACTGGAAGGTCGGGAGAGGGCGCTTCGGTGGCGAAGGAAACAGGCCTTGGCGGTGCTGACTTGGTGCGCATCTTTGGCGGGGCACTGTTGATTCTACGACTTGTGACCTGGAATTGAAAAAAAAAGATGTTCATGAATCGTGTCATCTTTTAGCATGTCTTTATGATGTTTCAAACGCAACATTGCCAACTCAAAGTTGAAAACAACCAAACAACACAGTAACATCTGAGTACACACTCCGTCTGTATCAGTCAATATTTTCCGAACCCCCTGTACTGTATTATTCCTTTACTTCTCTAGTTAGCTGACAAACTTAACAGGTAAATATGTTCAGCTAAGTATAGGCGATTGTGGTTGGCAAGTAAATCAATTAAGAGTACAAGGAACAATGGCACTTCAAAGTCTGAAAACAAAAAGCAACATATTGAATAATCCATTAAGAATTCAGCGAAAAACTCAGCTCTATTTCCGTGCCTTCACCAACAATTAGTCGAATCTGAATGAAAAACAACCAAACACACTAACTCCTCGGCAACGGTTCAGTCTTGGATAAGAGGCGTCTTATCTACTCAGAAATAACCCTCACAATTAGCACCATTAGGAACCAATGGCCCGTACACCAGTCCCTGGACTACTCTCTACAACTTTCGCATGTTTTCACTCCAACAAGTGGTCACAATTAAAAGAGGATTATATAGGATATAACAAGCTGATTCCATGCTAATTGGTTTCTTAATGCTCTTTTAAGGCCTTGCCCCAGATTTGAACCACTTTCCACTGGCTATACGAGTGGAGAACTAGGCAGATTGCACACGATCGGTTGTAGGTAAAGCAAAGATGCGCGAATGTAACGAAAATAAAGGTCCGGATCCTTTGACTACGGTATGAAAAATCGTACCGTTTTGATGGTATGATGAATCTTAGACTAACTTCAACAATATCCTTAAAGAGCCCGTGACGTTTGGGGAAGACGGAGAGAAATACTAGTATCATTCCACAAAGCTCAAGCTACTAGTGTCAAACTTGCACGTAAGCATCCGTGGTGCCCTACCTATTAACCGTGAGAGAAGCTTGTAGCTGGAAGTCTTGTTTTACCACTCAAGATGTTCTAAGCCAAACGGCAAATACGGGCCACTTTAAGCAAGGACATGTGTGCTACTTTTGGGAAGTCTCCAACAATGGTCAGGAAGTCGTCCCTCCTTTTTCTAAAGGAGGCGTCACTGCTGTGGTTTTAATTGGGTGTATTTTTGGCGAAAAGTCGCCATTTGAGGTGAATAGCGTGGAAGGGAAGGAAAGTTTAGTCAAACATGGAGGCAGTTACGGTTTGTGGAGAGGAACAAGGCGCCATGTCAACTCTAGCTGTGGCGTATTGTCCGCCGCAGACAGCTCACTCACAGATGTGTGGAGAAGGGGTGGCACTGAGAACACATTCGTCCTCTAGTCCATCGTTCATTCAATTCAGTCTTCAATACTGTAGAAGATGGTTTGTTTAGCTGTAATAGGAAACACTATTTGCTTTGAAGCTAAGGAAAGAGAAATTTGGGTCATTCAGAGACTTAGTAATGATATGGTGTAGCTTGACAATAACTGAATTTTTGCCACACACCTAGCTGACTCTGTCCTCTGGCATTCGAGTACTAGTAGTTGTACTACATCTGCACATTGCAGCTTCCTCTTACACTTGTTCTTAACATTCTAGCGTGTCCGATATTACAGTGTGTCGTTTAGTTTTCCAGTGGCCTTTCGAGTTACTAATGCAGTAGAAGTGGTGCTTGAGACATGACCCTTGCCCGACTTTCTGGGTTGTTTGAACATGTGGAAAAATACGACACCTACTCAGTAAACAAAACACACTTTCCCGCCCGACCCGTCCCTCTGTCGGTACTATTTATAACGCAAAGTGTGTATAGGCAAGCGTCGGTTACAGAATTTTGTTCGAACATGGTGCTTGAATGTTTGCTTTGAGTATGATATCTTGGAGAAGAAAAACTTTTAGAAACGTGGTCAATAAGAACAAGTACTAAACTCGGTCTGCTAAAAGAAAAAAAAAACCCGGACAGCTATCTTAACGATAATCCTCGGGGATCCCAAGAAGCGTACCTTTGCACCACACCTCTGCATACATTTTTACTTTTATACTTTGCTTCCACGCAAAGGCTCTACTGAATTAAAACATTTCGTGTGTTTTTGTTGTATGATCAATCATACTTTTGACATTACAATTTACGAGGTGCCACATCTAGCTAGGATAGGTGAATATTTCGACGGTAGGGGCTTGTCATTTTCAGTACCGTTCTTGTGGAGTGCCCTTAAAAAGACGTAAATCAAATGCGCGTGAGTTGTAACCGGTTGACTACGTGACGTTGGTTTCTTTAATTTTTAACAATGAAGTACTGGAAAAACAACGAAGGGGGGCACTGACCTTCTGTAACATGTCGTCCTCCTCGGTGAGAGTGGTGTTGAACTGGTAGCCGGACTTGGCCCGGAGTTTCTTCTCGGTCTCCTTGTCTCCCTTCAGCCGGGCGTACTGCAGCTCGGACCGCTTCAGCCGCAGGCGGAACCTGTTCAGGACAACTCTCTGTTCCGCAGTTATACGTGTTACCACCTGGAATTAAAAGAAAAACATGAAATGTATTCCAATGTCATCTTGAATAATGAAGAAAAATTGATATCTTCATTTGCGGCAAGATTGAAAAATCATATATAAAAATCATACATTTTACTTGACCACACCTTTAAGAAAAAAAAACATACATAAAACACTGGCATGGCAAATGTTTTTGAAAAAAAAAAGGATCATATGAATGAATGATGACCTTTATTGTACATTTTTGTCACACTGAGCTAAGTGCAGGTCACAACAAAACACGATGCACGTACGGATACAGTTAACATATGTACTAGTGCAATATACAAGAAACATCGTTTCCCTTTGGTTTTGATTTTTGAAAAAAAAATTGCACGGGTACGTAATGTTGTTCATTTTCTCAGTTCCAACTAAAACCTTTCCTACAGAAGAGAGTAAACACTGAACACATTCCTCCTGGCCTACAGATAAAGTCCACCTGACTGTAGGACCGCGCCAAACACTGTAATCTGACGTGATCGGTGATAACAGACATACCGCCGTGGTCAACAGTAGTTAATTACTGTCCAACTGTCGCTATCTCAGAGAGTCTGCATTGCAGCCGTGCAGTACCGTTACCGGTAGTCGCCAGTTTGTCCAACAACATCGTAGAGATCGGGATATTTACTGATTAATTAGCGAGGGTGAAAATGCATTTCTGGGTGTTATATTATCTCACTTATTACACCACTGTTGAACTATGCCCCGACTGTTAAGTTTTATAGAGGAAACGTTGTATTGTGTGCATAACAGGCCAGGGCATTGACGTTGGAGTAAGGGGCTCTAAAACTGCTTTCTTATCATATAATAGCTTAGAATGTCAGCATGGACTTTATAACCAATCTGATCCGCCATTTCATTCAATCCCACGCTGACTGTTAGCTCTGCCGTGAGAGAACAACGCAGATAAAACCTCTAGTAAATGAGAACCTCGAATATGCCAGTCTCAGCATACCGTGATTTGCTAATCTCCAAGCAGATTCTTTGGTTCAAGGTGAGTCTATATTGGCCTCCAGTAACTATTGGCCACCATTACCCCTTTGCCCCACAAAATCTGCTTGGAGATTACACATTTGCTACAAGTTCTACACATTACCAGTTACACTTTGTAAAACACCCACCTGTTTCTCCATTTTGTTGAGCATGGCCAGCCGCCGGTCTAACAACATGTCCTCCTTCATGTTAGCCGAGTAGACCGCCGGCGATCTCTCACTGATGTCTCCCTTTTTCTTATCGTCCCCCATCTTGTTTTCACTCACGGTAAGGCTCAAAACGTCAAAGTATCGCGATCATCCGGTGAATACTTGTTGCGATAGGTTTGTTTGTCTGATGTATATTAATACTGCATCTTGTTGGCAAGGGCAGCTTTACGATACAGTTACTTCCTTGTGCTATAAAGGTTCCACTTGAGGTTTGGTAGAGAACAGAGTAGCGTGCAGTAATCTTCGGCGTCGTCATGAGCGATAGAAATCTTTCCACGACGTTTGGCGAAGTCGTGTATAGAATTAACCACCCGGCTTTTCCACCGGCCGCTCTCCTTCTTTGGTCCTTTCAGGAACGCCAGACATCAAAGGCAGTTGGGCAAATTGCACAAAGTCACTTTTGAATATACGACGGACTCACCCTGGAGACGTAACCACACCGCATGCCGCGTTGTCGACAGTTAGCCAGCGGTGATCACACCCGGGGGTTCACGGCCAACGTTGCTATGGCCTTTGTTAGTAGGGCTCGCAAGCTAGGACACATTGGGTATCGCTATGACGGTTTGCCCGCCATGATACGTGCGGAGAGAAGGAACAGTCTTCATGTCTTCACTCACGTTCTGTGTCCGTCCCTACAAGCTTAGTCCGTGTGTGGCAGAGCCCACACTTCCAACGTATTGTCGTCAGGAACATTGTTTAGGCCGGGATCCATGCAGGTGTTTGCCTGTATTTGTCGTCACGTCACATTGCGACCAATGGGAGCACGGCCACTGGACAAATTCTCAAACAACTGGTGAAAAGTTGTCGCGGGGATGGTCTCAAGACGACAAGTGGATTTCTATACAAAGTCTATACCACACTGTAGCCACGTCACAGCTCTGTATCAATAGTACAAGAAAAGTGACTACGATTTTGTAGAAAAACAAACGAACCATTAGTCATAGTCAAAGCCCAGGTCCACCACATAGGGTCGTCAGAGTTGCATGTTGCAAAGTTATTTTCAAAATAACGACAGCAGGTTTTTGGCTCACAAAACAAGGACTTAATACCCCGTTTTTAACAATTTTTGCGGATGACAACACCGTCGGATCGGTAGATGACTGTACTTACGTTACCACAACAGCCGTAGTAGAGAATAAATGGTTAACAATCGCGCCTGTCTAACTGGTTACACAGCTGTTTCTGAACAACCTGAACAAAAAAGCGCGCGTCTGTTTTCAGCAACAAAATGACCGGTTACTGCGTGTTTCAAGAAAACTGGGTCGACATGTACGTTAGACATAAGCCACGTACGCCGACGTTTTGTTGTCACAGTATTTCTTCAAATCTTTTCTAAATCCGATAAACGTCCTCTAATCGCTACCTGATTACGTCCAAACGGGAGTAAAAACAGTCTAACCGGATTCATGTGAAAAGGACACATGCAGACGGCTCTAGTGCTCTTTGTTAAGGTAGGAGACAATACAAGACGACTTTCCACGCGAGTCTACCCGCCTCAGGGCCGGTCAACATGGGTCAACAGTTCTGTTATTCACCGAGAGCCTTTCGTTTTCTACATGCCGCATCGGCATCACCGAGAAACCCTTGCCGTCATGACACCATATAGGGCACATAGGCGAACCTTAGCGTGCACGGGAGCACCTAAAACAACAAACTATCACCTGTATGTTTTGTCATTACGAAAATACTTGTAACAATTGTATATGCGTAAATAACTACTAATTGCAACACTTGTTGGTAACACATCCATATCTTTTAGAACCCTTCTGGGTTTGGTTTGGATCAGACGCTAACTTTTGAGACGATGTCGCTAAGCCTATTCTACCGAGAACCTATTTGCCAAGCCAACAGGTGAAACGCAAATATCCAGTCTCAGTCGCACCGCATGTTTGAACAAGACCACAGCGTGCCCGCCCGTAGCCCTGCGAGGAAGGAATGCCTTTTCTTCTCCCCGCTATTGTGAGGAAAGAGAGCATGGCGAGCCTTCAACACCGGGAGACTCAACCCTCATTTCTTAGTCATTTATAATCCGTGGTGTTTGTGGTGTGTGGGGAGTTGAACGGTGTTTGTTTGGGTAATATCGCCAAGGCCGCCTGAGCGGAGGTCGGACTTTGCGCCTTGAGCGCGTGCTTGTCATACAAGGCGGAACCACTCACAGTCAGATTAAGCCTCTAACACGGACACAGTTTTCCGTAAACAAGGGTAAACAAGGAAAAACACGCACATTTCGGTACATTTGTATGAAGTGCCTGGTCATACATTTCTGTGAACCCAATGTCGGGTCACAGAAATAACCTAATATTAAAAATTGAGAAGACCTCTTCTGGGAAATGGAGATGTTTTATTGATATCCGTTCATTTCCTTCTTGTTCTGACAATCATAAATCATTAAGCAATAACCCAACGTATTCTTAAAAGCAGTAACGCAAATGTCGTGAAACGTCTTAAGGGAGTTTTTGCTGAGACTTTTTCCCTCCAAGGCTATATATCTAAAATACCCTCGAACTGTTTCTTTATTGTTTTTCAAACATATCAACACGAATCTGTACAAGTTGGCCAGTACATACATATTTAGTGATTCTTACATCACATTATGTATCCTCACGACCCTGCTCCATGGATATCTTTATTTTAGTGAGAGCTATTTCATCCACTGGGCCTGTTTTTCCTCTTTCATACATGATGTAGAGATGACTTTTGTCACCTGGGAGCATCATGAGTGTGGAGTAGCCTGCCCAGTCGGCCCAGATCTGTTTCTCTGAGCTCCAAGTCTTCCCGTGGTCGTAACTCCATCTGATGTACAAGTTCCGACCTAGAAGTAAAAAGCCAAGAACCAATGCAAGACAATAAATTTGCGTAGACCTTTTGTAGATTCTTCAAAACAGTACTTTGCCCACAGTAAAGCTATTTACGCCTGAGATGAAAGTATTGTTTTGGGGTGGCCCTGCTTAAGTGTGTGTGTGTATGTTTGGGTTCCAGAGTGGTAATGGTTGCTAGAGAGTGGGAGATGGTTTGGACAGTTGGTTTATGGAAAGGTCATAGCATGAATTGTGCAAGAATTCAGCAAGTGTTAAATAAAATACCAATTAGATATAATTACTATATAATATCACACAAGTCCCTGTACAGTTCCAAAATATTCACTATTTCCCAGAGGTCTGTAATATCCAACTTCTTGTCTTACATTGTGAGGGTACCCACGTTTTGTGTCATGTTTGGGTCCTGAGTAGAACAAGGTTCCATCGTGGTACCACAGCCCTGATGTGATCCTGGGTTCTATGAGCGCTCCGTCCAAGTACGTGTGCTCCTGCGGTAGCGTTTCTCCACCATCAAAGCTCCGCATGACAATCTTGCAGTGCTGTTTGTAAACCTTTTCATTCCGGGCAACCACGTATAGGGACCCATCGGGTAACTCCACCAGCTACATAGAGTAAACAGGAATATATGAAAGCAAGTAATGCATTAATGTTGTTGCTCCTGAAATTGAGATTTTAAAGTCTAATAGGATATTTAGCTGGTTCACGCATTGTTGTAATCTTTACATTTATGTGTCCTGAGTACATCTGTACTAGCATTTGTTGAACATTTTGCTTGAATAGTCTCAATCAATTGCTTTTATGGCACCCTTGATCATTTAAAACATACGTATATCAAAATCGTTAATGCCATTATGTTGAAACTTTGCTCAAAAAATCAAACATCAAACAAGGAGATTAACAGATCAAAAGACCATCTATTCAAGTACATACATTCCCATTTACGTTGGAGTTAAATTCAAGCAATAACAGAATACATTTCTCGGTACTTATTACAACCCCCTTCTAGCTAGATCTGTTAGCTTACCTGGCATTCGTCAGGGTCAAAGTCTCCGTCCGTGCCGTTAGTGAACGGTATACTCGGCACGAAGGCACCACGTCTCCACGTCATGCCGTGATCATCACTCAGCAGCAGCACCAGGCCTTTCCCATGGTGGAAACCGTGTCCGCACACAACCAGTCTGCCCTTAGCTGGCTCATGCTTTTTCTGAACAGTAGTGCAGATTAAGGATATGAATCTTTTCCCTGCAGTATTCCAATAATACATACAGCTAATGCTCTTCCACTAAATATCAAGGACAAAATCAGATGAAAAATCTCTAGAATTCAGTATTTTGAATAAATACAAGCAGCTATCCCGTAGTAAAATCCATACTGACTCTATGGGTAGGAATAGAGAAAATCTAATGTTAACTGATATAAACAGATACCTTGTAAAGTTCTATCCATTTTCTCAACCAGATGTTTCACTGCAAAAAAACTGTGTAGCTTATACAGTGTATCTAACAACCTCAGTGAAATTCAGCCTGCAGGGCGATTTGAGCTTCTCGTGAATAAACAATGGTTCAAAGTTTGTTTACCTGGATGCCGTACCCTGGGCCTGGGTAGGCAGCGTAATCCTTCCCTACCATGTCAGTGATATTTCTCGGCCTGCCCCACGTGATGCCGTCATCTGTACTGTTCATCAGCATCATGGATATCAGCGGGCAGAACTCGCAATACGCGTACATCAGGAAGACAGTTCGAGTTGTGTCGTCAACAAAAACAGTTCCTAGATACGAGCTTATTCCTTTGTCATACAAAATCCGCTGTGCAGGTGACCACATTTCACCTTTGAAGGAAAGAGAGTGATACTTCGGTTGAAAAAAAATCATAGAATGACGTATACCCATGTGAACAGTTTAGTCAACGGATCGCCAATAAATTAGAAGTCCTGAAAATGTGCTCTTATGCACAGACTATGAATCCTTGGCATTACTGTGTCACCGATAAAACATAAATAGTCATGAAGCAGTGACACCAAAACAAGAAACAAATGTTCAAGCAGCTTGTATCACCTCTGTCTGTAGATCTCCTCACAGAAAATATCTTTGGATGTGTGTCTCCTTCTGGCTTTCTCCTCCCTTCCACCATGGCGACCAGGTTTCCCTCAGGAGTGTAGGTCAGGACAGGTATCCGGTACAGGGGGATCTCTCCTTTCCTCGGGCTCGTCCACAGTACAGTGTCAGCTACTGTCTGTAGAGTAATGCCGACCTGTGGTCCTGGCTGTGTATCATCATTGACCTGTAGGTATAATGTATGATGTTAAACACATTCAGTCACTAGTGTTACAGAAGGCTGACCGACTTTCAAATGTAAAGGCCTTTTGTTTTTGATGCAATTTGTCTCCAGTATTTCTCTGTCCTTGGTGCTGAACACCATCCACACACTAACATGTCTGTCCCTGGTGCTGAACACCATTCACACACAAGTGAACTTACCTGTCCCTGGTACTGAACACCATCCACACACAGGCAAACATACCTGTTCTTGGTGCTGAACACCATCCACACATGGATAAGCACAACTGTCCTTGGTGCTGAACACTATCCACAGACGTGTTGACCATATGTGACATAAGTCACATATTGTAGCAAAAGATAATATGTGAATAACCAACCATTATGTTGTATGTAGTTCACCATGTGTATGAAGAGTATGTAACATACTTACGTGTGGATTACGGGAATAATCTTGCCCCATAGACCCTTCAGCCAGCTGGACGTCAGGATTGATTGCCTACATGAAGAAGGCAGTTTAGTATGAACTGTTAAATATGTAACTTACCTGACCATCGGCACATGAATGTCTTTGACCTTGCATTAGTTACTGTCTGCCATGTCTAGAAAAACATTTCCCGTCTTTATGTGATTGATATCGATATGCTACATGGCAGCTTTTTGTATTAGAGTTGTAAACGTTAACGATAGCTCCACCTCAGACTAAACTGACATTAGCTATGGACTCCATGTAGCCACGGTGGATGCCCATAAAACATGCTCAGTGTGACATTAAATTAAGTTCCAAGACCCACAGTTCAGTGGAGGCATTTGAGAGAAACTGTGAATTTACCATTTGGTAGTTCTGGAGAGTCTTGCTGGCAATCCACCATGCCAGGATGGCTATGACGAAGAGTGGAGCCAGAAGCACCAGCCTCGACCTCCCTGACAAGAGGGGCCATGTTCTCTTAGGGGCGGTCATTGCAGGTAATGTCTGACACCGTCATACCGTACGGTCAAATGTCTTCTAGTAGCAGTACCTGGCTGAAGAAAAGGGAGATAATGTCATGGAAGCGTTCATCTTCTCCGTGAGTGGGTCACCTTGTTGAGTAATATCTATGATACATAGTTCACTAGCCATATTTTTTTTATATCACATCTCTTTTCTAAGCCCGTAAGCCCGTTTTAACTATATCAAGTGGTATTACCTCAATATCCGTTGGTATTTGTCGTCAAAACCAGCTCACGTTCACGTTTGCCCCCCCCCCCTTCAACGACAAGATTGGCACCTGACGGCCGTAAAATTACACCTTAAGGTCATAAAATTCAGTTTGAAAACATCCAACCTTGATTCCCGGATTGCAGCTTGCTGATTTTGGACATGAAATGCTGTTTTCTTTCGATATCTGGGACTGGAAACGTTTCTTCCGGGTACGTGTAAACAGTCCTGTTTACGGTCGCTCAAGGACGTGCACTTTGAACCCTGAACCTTCACCGCTTTTATAATCAAGTTCAAGTTTCCAGTCTGAGAATGAATTTTGTTCACCAAGAAAGTGACACTGCTACTTTCTGACGTTGTAACGCAACTCATACATTGTCAAAATCCCGGGGTACCTTTTGAGTGACATTTCACAAAAGAAATATTCAGGATATTTAGGTCATAAATGCTTTGGTTCCTGTGCATTTTATGCAGTATAAGTGGTCAAGTGTAAATTTCCTGTAAACTTTCACGTTCTGAATGGCTAGCGCTATCACATCCGAATTGCAATTTTGGTTTGTGAAACATAAAGAAGTTGAACTAATGCAACATTGTTTCTGTTTATCACCGAAATGCTGAGGGGTGTGTGGACTACTTGATGATGCAATATAATCTTCGACACAAGGGGGAGCAGCTGGATGGTCTGTTACAGCGTACGCCTCAACTGAACTTGGATTTAACTGCTAACATAAGATTTCCGACTGTATTTACATATGTGGTGCCTGTGCAGACTTATCTTTCAAAACACATAGTCAGTGACACGCTTTCAGCTCTGTTTTATTTTACAATGTAGAAAATTCATCTTCAAGTCGAGGTTTGCAAAGACCAGTCTTTAATGCATGTACAATTAAAAGCAGTCTTTTAAGCAGTCTAATGGTCATTTAACTCACACCTTGTATAAAAAAAATTATACCATTCTATTTCAAGTTTTCGTCCAAATAGCAACTTGTTAAAACTAGTAGTTCATGTCATTATATTGGAAGGACGGTTACAATATGGCTTCGGTTCTCATTTTTACGTATTGTATAATGCAACTTACATTTAACACACGCCTGTTATTTTCTTAATTGCTTCAGCACCTGATGTGCATAATTTACAAATGACATTTGCTATAGCTCTAGAAGTTGACATAATTTGATCTTGTCTTGTGACGACGATTTGCTTTAACGTGGACGGAAGTTTAGTGTTCTTTTACTACTGATGTCATATCAGCGCGTCCTTGGCGTTGGGAGCCCAGCTCGTCAGCCGAGGTCCCCTTCTCTGCCAGTCCTGCAGTTCTGACGGACGGTGGTAGATACGGACGTACCTGGGGATACAAGAGATGAATTAATTAATATATTGAAATCACACAGTGAATCACGAGTTGAAAATAACGCAGTTCCTTTTCAGTGACCACTTACTAGTACTCCTTCCCATTTCGTCAACGTAACGACTTATTTCTCAGTACCTTGTAGCTTGATCAGAGTCATGAAGGCGATTCATGGTGCAGTGTTTAATAGCTAATCGTCTTCTGCCTCCATCCCTCTCAAAATGTAATACAAGTAGCTTAACGATGCTGACACAACATTAGAAGGCACATCGTACTGAAATTTATCACGAGTGCCTCGCTGGCCATGGGTGCATCGTTTTAACTTCAACATGCTTTGTGTGGAGGGCAGCTAGAAATACAGAGAGAAAACATCTGCATTGTTTGCTTACCTGCATTGTGTGCGGATCTTTTCCATCTCATTCATCTGAGAAGTCAGTGCATCTCTCGGCGTGGGCGCTAGGAGGCGCTTTGACTGTCGCATGAGCAGTCCACTGCCGTTTTCGTCATCCTGCCGCTCCACGACGATCACAGGCTGTTGGTTGTCTGGAAGTGACAGTAACGTCCACATATGAATAACCAGTGGAAACGCGTATACATGTGGGAACTATACGCAGCAGTATTTAGAAGCTATAAAACGCTTTAAGCGCATCCCTCATCTTTGCGTTAGAAATACGTGGACTCAATATACATGTGTATTCCATTTCAAAGCAAAATTGCTCCTGTCAATGTGTAGCTCATGAAGAGGCAAATACGTACCTTCTTCGTCGATTTTCTTCAGAAAACTGCTGACTTTTTCCCTCTGCTGTTGCTCCTTTTTCCGGACGTCTTCGAGTAACTTTTGTCTGGTTAGTCTTTCTCTTCTCTGCGGAACCTTAAAGTACTCATACATATCTACTTTTGTAGAAACCTGTTTCTGTTCTGGTGTTAAGTCCCCGTTAGCTTCCTTTTTGTAGACCGTCACTTCGTAGTTTTCTTGGCGCTTCTTTTTCTTTTTTCTCCAAAGACTCCCGGTGGAGGAGCTCCCACAGACGGACCCATGAGGGACATGCAAATGTTTCGATCCGGTAGAATTTTTCCTGCTGTGCTTTCCTTGTTCTTTATCTTTGTCCTTCTTTTTCTTGGATTCTGTTTGAAGTTCTTTCGTATTTTCAACTAAACTCGACGTCTGGTTCTCAGTGGCAGTGACGTCATCTTTGTCGTCCAATCGCGAGTTGGGATCGTTTGACGCCGTCACGACGTCGATGACGTCATCTGATGGAATGATGGGTAATAGATTTTCTTCTTTGTCTCCAGTCTGTGGCCTACCATCAACAGTTGTCCTCTCACTGACACTAGAGTCATCGTCTTCAGACAATTTTGAGTTTAGTGACATATTTTCGTCTTGCAATCTGCCATCCGCAGGCGGCAGAGTCTTTTTCGAAGTTCTCTCTTTCTTATTTCTAGTTCTTTTCTTCTTTTTGGTGTCACTTGGTCCTTCCTTGTCGTCTTCTCTGCGCAGTTTTGAGTCGTCTTTTTTCAAGACATCTCCGTTGGAAGGTTGGATATCATATGTCTTTTGCAGAGAAGAAAGTAAGGACGCCGTCTCTTCTTGTACGGAAGACTTTCTCCTCCCTGGGTTGAAGGAATCCGGAACGTCGAGAAAAGGGCTTCCGGACGAGCGTTCCGGATTTTCCGACTGGTTGTTAGTCCCGATAAAGTCCTGTCCAATATGACCTTCCACGACAAGGCCGGCGGCTGGTTGTACTTTCCCATCGTTGTTGTGAGATGATTCTGTCACCGTCTTCTTGGTGAGGTCCAAAACGTCACTATTACCTGCAAATAAATGTTTGAAGACGTTGAAAATATGCTAACGCACAGGAGGGCAGAAACATTAGGGGCGGGATACATGAAGGTAAAAAGAGGCGTACGTTAAAATGATGAAAAACAATGCACAAGATGTCGATCATAAGAAATCAGAACGACGTAACGTTACATCTATTTTAGTCGTCTTTTCATTTTCTTTACCTGCCGAGGACCGTTCCACAATAGGGGAATACATGAAGGTAATAAAATGCACCAGATATTTAAAAATGATGAAAAATGTTGTACAAGAAAGTTGGTTATATAAGAAATCAGAACGAGCTTCACCTGCCGAGGACCGTTCCACGATCGGAGGAAGCTCCCTCGCCATCTGCCGGGCCCGCTCCTGACGTCTGCGCTCCCGCTCCACCTCTAGCTTCTTCCTCTTCGTGGCTGTCTTCATCAGGGAAACGTACAGGGGGCGCTGGTCCCGGTTCATCTGGACCATGGCGTTGTTGTGCTGCCGGTACCAGGTGTCCAACTGTTACAATATAATGGAACGTACAAACAAGAGACTTTACACTTCATTATCAATAATTAAAGGTATCCAGTGCAATTTCAGGGCCATAGGCAAAACGAAACATATTTTGGATGAGAAAATCTGTCTGATATTGACATTCCCTGCCATTTGTTAGCAGATTTTCGTCATAATTACATACAGGCGTTTGAAATAGCTCCAAAAACAAGCTATATAGCTACGTGAGGCATTTCCTTACCTTTTGGGTACCGGCCATAAATAGATAAAACCAGCCAAGATACGAAACAAGCAACCGCTTTCGGTCGACGACATCGCATTTTTGCCTCACATGTACAGATATCAGTATGCTACGGGATAGGATTGAGTCAACTTACTTTATTAAATAAATGAACAGAAAATTGACTTTGAAAAAGGACGACAGAAATGTACTTGCCTTTTTGCCAAGGTTCCTTTTCTCGGAGATGATGTTGGTGAAAAGAGTTTGCGACTGCGCCCCCGTGCGGGCGACCCTGGCCGGGTGCGAGTCCTGTCCGACCGCCGTCAGCATGCTCTCACTGCCCAGGAAGTTCTCCCGCAGGATCTCAAACGTGCTTTTATTCCCGTGCATGTTTTTCTCCTTCTTCTTATTATTCTTCTAGCATCATAAATGATGAGAAATCCACGCTGTGTGTCGAAGTTTTCCCTTGAGCGTCCTGAACTAGGCACTACATTTCGACTGTTGTACTTGTCACCATGCGTTCAGCAAACGTGCGTTTCGGAGCTATGTCAAACCTGTAACAGAAAAAAACAATCATACGTTAGCGGTAGCCATGGCAGGGATTGCACATATACCCGGGTTTCATGTGTACAAATGCAAAGAGAAAACAATAGAAAATTATCGACACTTATTTCTATAGTAGATAACACAAAGAGGTTATCTTTTCCACCTGTTTGATAAAGACCACCGCCATAACAAAAACCTTGCTCGCTGTCTGTTTGGTCGAAAAGCGCATAATTCGTCTCGACAACTCATGTAAAATAAACCTATCCCATAGGCACCTTAATTACACATGTACAAGTCAATGTATGGGTCATCACGTGGCAATTTGTCTCGTCAAATTGTAGCCTGAGACAATCGCCCATTGTCCTTCAGTTGTTAATTTATGGGCTTTGCGTCAACACGTACTGGAAAACAGGAAGTCCTTTGTTCAACCAAGGTCTAAAACTTTCTCGGTTCACTTAATAGCCCGATAGGGCATGGATGTACAATAAAGCTATTTCAACGGCACTGCGCGACACGACTGAGCGTCCAACAGAGGTCATGGGCGTTGCAAATCGACAACCTGCATGTAGTACACAAGCTCCTAGGTGGTATCAATTATGCAAAAGATTGACACTGTCATTTGTCTAAAACTGGGACATTTAGTCACCTGTTCAACTCTTAGTCTGGTAAGGTTTTCCATAAACACTACAAGTAAATCAACAAAGATACGCCACAGACATGTGTGCACGTGGTTAAGCAGCGTTAAAATCCTGACCAAAAGCGGAGCAATCTCGTACATTGCACAATCCCGTTGTCGCCTCACATACACGACAACTTTGTTTACTGACAACAACAGAACAGGTGTCCTCTGCTTGAACTCAATGCACACAAGGAAGTTACGTAGCAGAAAACATCACGTAGTAACTTACGGTACATCACCAAAACAACTCACCAAAACACCGCATCCGTTCAACACAAGAATATCACAAGAAGCTGGGAAGACAGTGTGTTTTTCAGTGACAAATAGAATGATCAAGTGTCTGAGTTCAACATGGCGGCATCATGTGTCCATGGAAAATAATCCACCTGTAAGAATGCCCGAACTACACTAACGCTTAGCCGCAAGGTGTGGGCGGGTGAAAGGACGAGGGGATCAGCAGAAAACTCAATTACCTGATCACAAAAGCGTATAATGAGTTCAGAGTAGGATTTAATCCCTTCAAATCTCTTAATCGCATGCGGAGACGTTGTTGGCAAAATAACGTAAAGCGCCTTTTGAGTGCATGCGTGCGTTGTGGCCTTGTCAAGAGAACGTAGGAATGGGGTTAGGACGATTCCACTGGTTAGAAAGGGGTTTTAGAATCTCCAGCTATTAATCTCATTTTTTTAGTCCAGATATGTCTCAAGCCATTCTTTGCAATATCATAAAAACCTAACAGTCCGGAACCTTTCTACGCTTTCCCCGTGGCCCGCATATTAAAAGTAGACCCAAGGTAGACTAGACATTCGCAAAACGCTCAGTTTTGCTCAAATTTGTAGCATGCATGTCGTTGTACGATTCGAACAACATCTTTAAACGTATTTTGACAAAGCATTCGTGATCAAAGACCTAAAACTAACACCTGTGCAAAACCTCCCGAATGTTTGCAGTTATCTAAACCGACAAACAGACACCTTGAACATGACTGTTTCTAAAACTCACCACTGAACCATCTAACGGAATGCCTTCAGTGTCGGGATACTGAGAAATGGCCTCTCGTTGTATGGAGAAAGTGCAACAACTCAGGTAACATTCAGACAAAACTTGAACAAGAAAGAGGAAACAACCCCATCTTATCGCAATAAATTCGAATTTCCGGTCTTTCGTTGAGATAAAACCCGTTTACTTCTTTTTGTTATGGACCAACATGTACAACTTCTGGCGTCCGTATGCTATGTTTGACGTACATCGTCTAGATTCTGTAACGATTTCTTCACATTTTTGTCCTTCATATGTTGTATCTTATATGTCATAAGACATATTTGAAGACCTATCTCACTTCACTGAACAAGTTCAGAACGCTTACAAATCGATCACCTAGGCACAGATTCCTCTAGAAGTAATCAAATGCGGAAAACACTCCCATCTAGGTAGGTTGATCAAAAGATAGATGGGCACACATACCTTAACGGTTTAACCTCCAGAATTTGTTGTACAGAATCACAGTAACTCCAGTCGGTATAGTTGCGAACTTGCGACCTTTTCTTCGGAAGTAAGATTGACTACGTACGTGCTCTAGCATCGCCTTATAACCCGAGTGACATCGCATGCATGCACATGAGCGAAGGTGATCAAAGTACAGTGTCCTTACAGTCGATGGCTCTACAAATTTCTAATCACGCCTCTTACAAAGATCAAACTACGACTGGCGGCACTTCGACCGCCTGGGCATACAAACTACGGTCACTTGTCTTCATGTAGTGGAGATTGGGAATCTATAATTAGGTACATACCAGAGGATGTCTGTTTTGCGCCGCTAGATGACACAGTTTCGAAGAATAACTACAGTATAAATGTGCCACGGGTTCACCTGTTTTTCAACAATAGCGCTATATATAGAAGCTCACGTTAGCATTTTAGATGGACATTTTACAAATGTACGTGACCTGACTATAGCATGTTTTTCGTTGACACAGTTGGGTTGACAAGTAGATCGTTTCCCCTTGTAAACAACAAGAACGCGACAGACAGGAAGATATTTAAAGCAAGACACGTCCTCTAAACGTTCAATACCACAAAGGTGTGCTTTATGTTACTCCACGTAAACCTCATGGAATGGAGGATATACATCTGTACCCTGAGGATAGCTTAGGCGAAAGCACAAGATACCTTAATTTTGAAAATCAACATGGATGCTGTAACTGGAATTAAGCATCCAGAACAACATGGTGATAATATTCAGAGTAATGAAATGACATTTCTTTATTGTCTGGTCATTGGTTTTCATATTCTTCTCCAAGCAGATCATAGGGTGGCATAAGACAGTATCAAATTGGCCAGGCGTATTGAACTCTCTCTGGCCAATGGATACTGCCTGGCCAATTTGATACTGTCTTATGCCACCCCAGGATCTACTTGGAGATTGCTATTTTATCCCATTGCTTGAACCACGCAGGAAGTGATGTAACAAGCGCAATGTCACCAATGATTAAACATTCTTGTGTTCGCGCCAGTGTCTCTATTTGTTCGCCAGCCCCACACGGCCCCCCATCAAGATTAACGGCCCACCACCTGGCGAATCGGACCTGTCAAAGGCCACATCAATTTAATTTGTTGGTTCTCGGAGTTTTTCAGAAAAAAATATGAAGCGACAGGGCAAAAAAAAAATTAAAAACAGGCCATCCTATTATAGCCCCAAATGCTACGATAGGAGCCATGAAGTCAACTCAAAAGGCTGGGTTAATATTTAAACAATGAATTTTGAACTTAATCAAACCACTGCATTGATAGATGGAAAAACTGTAACAACTAGGAAGAAAAGGATTTTCCTCAACTGTTGGGGGCAACATATAGGCATATTTAAGTTAATTCAGAACCAGAGTCTTTTTTGTGCAAATCAGGAAAAAGATGAAGAGGCGAATCCGAGAACCAACAAATTTAATTGGCGTGGCCAAAGTGCGCTGTACAAACGATAAGGGACGTCACATGTTTCGGGCATTGAACGAGCGGTGTAATAACTCTGACCCGCCCTGTACCTACATGTAAACATTTGTTTGGGATTTAAACACTTGACGGTGGCCATATGAATCTGTGTAGTGACAAGTGCTGGTAATGGTTGCTTTAAATAGCTATACTATAGCTATACTGAACTATAGAAATAGTTCATGACTCAAGCATCAAACTGGGAGATTAAAATGTCCCATATAGCTGAAGGTTGTAGGGAATGATCTTTGTTAGAACCTGCCCTTTAGTAGTGTTAATTAAAACGCTGACAGAAGTCAACAATTTGTGAGTG